GCCCCGCCACGTCAACCCAAGGCCATCGGCCACGATCCAACACGACTGCTCATGGTCCTAGGCCTGAGCCCTTGACATTGACAACGTATAAGGACCGCCTTATTTACATGCCAAATACAAATGAGGGTTATAGCCGAAGGGAAGAGAGCTGAAGCTACATTTATCACTACAAGGCAGCGGTCTATAAGAATAACAGATAGGAGAGATGTATTACATTGCTCATAGAGTGCCTTCAACCGCTCTAGTACCCAGAGATAGTCTTCCTCTACTTTACTACTTAAGAACGCAAATACAATATAAAAGGACCGCTGAGCTATATAAACCCCAATCATATCGAGGAGAGGCATTCTATACTTGTTGGTCTTATATATATAATCAAGAAGGAGAAGCTCAGGGTAAGCCTACAGGTAGGTAAGCGAGTTAGGGTAAGCAAAAAGAACAGCTATAACTCGACCATCTGGTATAAACTGAATCCGGCTCTAGAAGCCCTCTTTGTCGAGCTGGTTGGCGAGCGCTTAAATAGGACTTTGGCCTTTGCAAGTATCACAACGAACGTCTATAATACGGTTGTAGATATCTTGCCAAGTAGCTAACGAGCTACTTTGTCGTACAAGGGTCTGAATCTCCTTTAGTACAAGGCCTATATTTGAAAGGGTTATAAGCTGTAAGGTGCCTTGAGAGAGCTGTCGGTGGACTAGGTGAGCAGAGGGGTATTGGCTTGGCTTATGGTTATATATCGAGAAACGGCGATCAGGGCGATGCTTAAGAATCTAAGTATTGTCAGGGGACTCCTTTGCAAGGACTGAGAAAGGGCAACCAGTTCCACGAGTTGTTGTCTTTCTTATTCGCTCTCGCTCTCTTCTAGTTGTTGGTAATAGGAACGTTCGGTCACATACGTAAGTGACTGTCAGTCTCCCACTCTTTTCCTTGGTCGATTTTCCAGTCGAAAAAGCGTAGCCTCGAGTAACAGCCCATACGTTGATAGACCTGAACAAGGCCTCTCGGGAGTCATATGTGGCTTCGGGGGGGAGGCAGTCCCCTGGGAAGGCGGCCATGGTGATGGCGTTGGCGATGGCGTTGGCGATGGCGATATTGATGGTGGAATTCAGGGGCGCAATTCAGGGGCACGCAATTCAGGGGCGGGCGTAGGCGCGGGCGCGGGGTATTTTTTGGGCTGACATAATCAATTGGGCTGACTAATACTCGCGGACCCGCGACTCTAGTGGGCGCCCAGCTTTTCCAATCCTTAGAAGAGCCCGGGAGAGAGTTTCTTGGCGGATCGCCTAATCGCTCTCCACACGGGATCAAACCGTCTATCGCCCACTCCAAACCTACAAATCGCCTGGTGATTGCCCCCTAGCATCATGACTTCCTCGTTCGGCAGTCCCATCACGGCTGACGACTTGTCGACGACCTGATGCTCGTTAGAAAATGGGGGCATTACTTGACCTGCGTTGTGGGTGTTGGGGGCCGGGGTTAGAGAAGAGAAAAAGAACTCACCGGCTTCCCCAGCACAGGATGCGTATGCTCCTCCCAAAAACTAACCAACTGCACGCTCCCCGCCAGCGGCAAAAAGTCCTCCGACACGCTCAGTAGCGTCTCCGAGTCGGTCTGCAGCGCATTCAGGAACCCGGAGCTGGGTCTCAGCGACATGCTGGACGCGATGTCCATGACGATGGCCGCCCACCGCGCGGCGTCGGCGCCCCGGTGCGGTGTGGCGAAGAAGATTAAGCCTGTGGTGTTGGTGTGGATGTCGGAGAAGCGGGGACGTTTGTCTTTGGCGTGTTTTAGGGCCTGGAGGAGAGGGGTGAGTATTAAGAGGTGTTAGGAGTGTGGTCTTGTTGGAGGGGTGAGAGGGGTGTGGATGGGTAAGCTTCACCTGCTTGATGATGATACCACCGAGACTGTGGCCGATGAAGACGATGGGGCGGTTTTCATCTTCCTAGATACGACACCTATTTAGCCCGGGTTTCCCGTTTTCGACCACGGTGAAGGAGTGACATGACAAGAGAACAACGTACGTATTCCTCTCTAATATTACGCAGCAACTGCACCAGCTTGCCCGCGGTAGCACGCACCGACTGGTCCGCTCTGCTGTAGATGGCCGAGTCGTACGAAAAGCTCATGACGTGGGCGTTCGGCAGCTTCTGGGGAAGGAGGTCCCGTAACCACAGTGTTACGTCGCCATTTCCGCGGCTGGGGACGTGTGTCCAGGTGTTGAGGTAGTGCCCGCCGAGGCCGTGGACGGCGACGACGCTTGTAAGAAGTTAGCACAATATTTACTTACTTAGGGGCTCGGGTAGGTGACGGGGGATGAAACGACGGAAAAGGTTTAGACGGGGGGATACATACTCGATTTGTTTTGGGGTCCCGGGAGGGGGGATGTAAAGCTCCTGTAGGTCGCTTCCGGCCTCGATAACATCTCTGCTGTTAGCCATGGCTAGTTGCTTCGTTTGTGACTGAATTTCTGCCCCTGGACTTTGCTTGAGTTGGGGTATTGTCGAAGAGTCATTTCCTTTTTTGAGGCATGATGAAACTCCCTTCAACATGCTAAATTGGGTATCAAATTCGTTTCCACCACGTGTGCACTTTTCGGTGACTGTAGCGTCAAACCTCGGTGGCGTTGTGCGTTGGGTTTAGTCGGGCGCCTGACCCCTATCAGGCGTTCATGCATGATTCTTACCACCCGCACTCTCAGCTCGTTGCCCTACCGTACTGGCTGTTGTCACTCCCAAACTGCCAATTATATCCAGGCTTTTAAACGCAGCCTCATTTTGCTTCTCAAAACCTGGTTTTTCGGAACGCCGCAGTCTGATCAGGCTCGCTTGTTGATACCATGGTTGCACAGATTGGACAGTTGTCACCGAGTGTCTTTTGCAACATGAGCCTATGAAATCAACAGATGAGGCTTGATCACTTTGGAGGGCATCGAGTCACATTCTTGGTAAGTGTACGGCCCGAGGTTGATTCTGTCGTCCCGAACCCAACTGGGCCGGGGCTACTCGGCACTGGACGCATCGTCTCAACGATTAGGGGGGTTCATTCGTTCTGATGGATGCTAGGGGTCTGTTCGGGTTCTGGGTGCCTGGCATAACCGCGTCTACCGCGCTGCAGATTTGGGGCTATTTGGCATGTTCGAGTCGGCTGTGGGCTGAGATGTGATGATTCCAAAGTGATATAAGCTTTTGTTTACTGCTCAACAAGTCAAGGACAAGGTTTGACCTGTGACTTACAATTAAGCCAGCAACATCTGAACTATTTACTCTGAGTAACCCCGTGGCCCAAAACCTCGATTAAGATGAGTAAAACCCAATTCAGGGAGGTCTACGACCCGCTCGTGAGCTTGGGATTGACTCCAACTGTCGAGTATGTCGCGCCATCCCAAACCTTCCCTCGCAATCATCATCACACTAACCTCTACCCAAGCCTTGTCCTCGTCCACGGGGTTGACGGCGACCCCATCAAAACTTGGACATGGCAGGAAAAAGACTCTCCGCCAGTCTTCTGGCCGGCGGACCTCCTACCCAAAGAGCGGCCAACAACCCGCGTCCTCTCCTTCGGCTTCAACGCAGCCATGTACCACAGCAACACGACCAGCACAATCCGCGACCGCGCCCGCAACCTGCTCGGCCTAATCAGTGCGCGACGCGCCGGTAGCGGAAATCGGCCCCTTATCCTCGTCGGCCACTGTCTCGGCGGCTTGGTCATCAAACAAGCGCTCTGCTTCGCGAACAACGAGGAGCGGTATCGCCCCATCGCGTCCGCGACCAAGGCCGTCATCTTCTTCGGCACCCCGCACAACGGAGCCGACAAGTCCAGCTGGAACCTCATTGCTGAGGGATATGCTGCGCTCTTTAGGACGCTGCCCGGAAAGAGTTCCGCGGTGTCGCCGATGGCGAACGCCATCATCCGGTATGCGGACGAGCTGGAGGAGATGAAAGAGGATTTCGCATGTCTGTCGCCGCGGTATGCCATCACCAGCTTTTATGAGACGCACACATGGGGCAAGACGGGCCAGCTTATTGTGCCGAAGATGAGTGCGCGGATGATGGTCCCGACGGAGGTTGCTTGTGACGTGGAGCAGGATCATCAAAAGATGTGCCGGTTCGAGAATGCTGAGAACGTCACGTTCGTGATATTGTGTCATCGGATCAATGAGGCTGTGGCTGAGGATACTTCTGGTGGTGCAGCTCGGGGGAAAGGGGTCAATAGTTCCCAAACTCCGACGAAGGCGCAACTGGGACGGGAAGAGGATACTACAGGGACAGAGATGGTTCTGCCCTCGAAAAGACCCGAGGTTGTTGCTTCAGATCGTCGAAGCGATGCGCCGAGGATGGTGCCGGAAATTGAGCTCAATAGGGAGGACCCGGCTGTGGAGGTTGTGATGGATGCAATCAGGGGTGCGTCGGGGAAGGGGGTTGTGGTCAACAATCTGTTTGTCGTTCCAACCCCCGTTCCTGCTAGTCATCCCCCGGTTGTAGCGGCGGAGGTCCCTCAGAAATCCGGGAAGCGTGGATTTGGTAGACTTTGGAGGAGGAAGTGAGAAGTGGCGGCGGTATTGCCTGTTTGTATGTCCTCTTTATCGAGTGGTCTGTGTTGTAACCAAGGGGGACCCCGAAGTAGCTGGTGAGATGAATGTATAGATGGCGTCCGTAAGCGTCGCCTGCCATACTTAATAGTCGTCCTTGCCTGCCACCGTCGTGACTAAATTTCACACCAGCAATTAGCAAACCTGGATGCTCTAAGGGGTAGCAAGTATGTAACGGCGCGTTATGCTCACCCAAATTCCCAATCGCCTTCTTGACCCGCTTGAAATAAGGCTTGCGAACTCGTGCCTTTTTCGGCGCCTCAACCATATGATCGACGTAGCACACCTCGATCGCCTTCTCAAACACGGGCTTCTCAACAAACACCTGCTCGATCACCGGCTTCTCGACCACTTTCTCAACGAACACCTGTTCGACCACCGGCTTCTCGACAACTTTGTCAACGAACACCTGCTCGATCACTGGCTTCTCGACCACTTTCTCAACCACCACCTGCTTCTCAACCACCTTCTCGACCACCCTCTCTACCACCCTCTCTACCACCCTCTCTACCACCCTTTTGACTACATTCTTCGCCAACTCCCCAACTCCCTCCGTTGGATACTCCTCCGACCCACCACGTACCACATACCACCACACCTCTGTCCAGCACCGTGAATACCCGCTGTTCTTATCCTCTAGCCAGGCCTTTCGTTTTCGGATCTCGTCTGCCTGAGGGGCAGTCTTCGCACTTTCTTGGCCGGCAGAGGGCCATGCGGATCCGGCCAGGGCGAGGTGTTTGCACCAGTAAAGTGAGGCGTAGCGGAGAAATGGGTAATCTTGGAGACGGGAGCGCATGTCTGCGGACCAGCTGGGGGACTGGGGCGGTGAGGGGTTGGAGAGATCTGTGAGGATGGTGGGTTTGGTGTTAGTGGTGTGAGATGATGAAGTCGGGTTGGGGGTGGGATAGAGCTTACTAAAGCAGGGCATCGTGAGGTAAGCAATGCAGAGGCTGGCGAGAGCGGCATGTGAGATTTCCGGGTGGAGGAAGAACTCTGAGGCGGTATTGGGCTCAGAAGATGGCGAAACGTTGGTTGAGGTGGTCAAGTAGTCCTTCAGGCCTCGATGAGCGAGTGAGAGGCGGCCGTCCGACTGAAACTTGACCAACTGTCCGCAATGGAATGCCGCATGTGCCTTGATGTTGGGTTCTTCACAGTCACTCAGTGTGTCTGGACTGATGTCCCAGTTGGGATGCTTTTGGACCGCCTCAAACAACGCATGGGCCTGCCTGAACTCGGGAAGCGCAAGGCCTTCTTGCTGAAAAACGGCCCATTGGAGGACCTGCTTGATGAACTCGGAGTTGGCCGTGTTGTTTTTCATCTCCGTGAATGTTTGATCGTAGAACCCTCGAACATCTCCGGGTGGGTACTTGTTCAGCAGAGACAGTATCTCTTTGCCGTCCTTCTTGCGTTGCCGTCGTACCTCATCCACTGCTAGGGTTGCCCATTGATAGGATCCACCCGCATTTTCGGCAATTTGGCGGGATATCTCTTCCGCCTGGGTGTTGATAACGCCCTGACGTCTAGGCCGCAACCAAGGCTGAAGACTAGCCGCGACCGTTTTGTGGACATCTTCCTTGGTGTCGTCAGAGCGAATCATGTAGGAGTTGAATTTCAACTGTCTGAGCCGACCCCGGATGTGGTCATTAGTGCGAGAGAAAGCGAGCATCCTCACTTGTGGTTGCGTCTTCCCATCCTTGTTTTCTAGCTTTGAAAATGCTTGTTGCGTCTTTTGTGGCAGCTGAGACAAGCAGCGCAAGAACACGTCTAGAGACTCTGGATCCATCTGATCGAGGCCGTCGAACACCAATGCTATCGGGCAACGTGCCATGACTTTGGCCATAGTGTCCGGCCAGATTCGAGTTAGAGTATCCTTTGTCCAGATCTCCGCGGTCCCATCCTTTCGACCCTGGACCTGCTCAAATGTGGGCAACAGAGCCTCTGAGACAATCTCAGCTTCCGGTACACGGTGTAGCGCTTGATATAGCAAGACCCGTAGCAAAAATTCTAAGTCGTCCATCTGCTCCAAATCATTGTCGTCCAGAGAACAAAACAGTGCGTCTCGCTTGGTGGTCGTTTTGCCTTTGTTAAGACACGAAACAATGTAATGTGTCAGGACGCTTTTCCCAGAGCCTTCCGGGCCATTGATCCACAGGTTCTGCTGACCAGGCTCACTGGTGAGCCATTTCTCGACTTCGGGGACGTTTTTGATCCATTCACAGGTTCCCTCCGTTGGTTTAAGGTGTTGAGAGCGCGAGAGCCTGGGGGACGGAGATAGCGAGTAAAGCGCTCGTTTGAGGATGTTCGTAAGTTTGTGTACTTCCTTGACCTGACTGTCAATGAGGTTTTGGATGCCGGTATAGACGAGTCTGAAGTCCCCCGACTTGATCTCACTGGCGGGAAACTTGCAAATCTGGAGGTGATCGCCCGGTAGCTTCTGGGGATCTTCGGAATCGGCCCCAGTAGAACCATGCACCTCGTTCACGAGCTAACGGGTGGTTCATTGTGAAATTAGTCACAGTGAACCTCGGCTGGGGGACTATTCCAAGGAAACTAACCACATCGTCTAAACCCTCCATCGGGGCGTCTTCAATGAACGTCACAAACGACAGCTCAGGGTGCAGGGGTTTGAAATCTTGAGTCACGGTGCTGAGCATGCGACAATTAACCCGGAGATCTTGCAACATTCCCTTTGAGGGAAGTACCCCGCGGGCGGGCGCCTGTCCAAGCAGCACTCTGTAAACAAATTCCCCCCAGGTTTTTTCATTGAGACCAGAATGAGGCGTTGCGAAGAACATAACACCTCGACTGGCGTCCCAGAGATGTTGATAGCGGGGGTTGAATGCCATTTTACTCAATGCCTTTGAACGTCGCCATAAATATCGTCAGCTACCCTTAACAATGATGACTCGCTATGACAGGTTGACTTGTGGAAAAAGGAAAGGAAAAACGCAAAAATGAAAATGCTGATAACTATAATGATTTGCCTACAGCTTTAATTATCATCCCACCCAAACTGTGGCCTACGAAAACAAGAGGCCTCATTGATGAAAGTTCCTCGTCCTCGCGTTGATCCCGGAGACAAGTCACCAGTTGCTGGGCATGGTCCCGAATTCCGGCTTGACTTGTGGTTCCGTTGAGAGACGTATTGTACTTGAACGACAGAACCCGGATGTTATTTATGTATTTAGGCAAAGACTCGAGATTTTGTGGCCACACGTTAGGGAGCTCATCATCAGATTGCCAAGTTCCGATATGGTGCCCCCCCAACCCAGGCACAAATATGACACTATTAATTGGGTTAGAACTTGCGGTGAGATTTTGCTTCTAGAGTCCATTGTGTCTTGGGGGGATTGAATCGCTTACTCGGCTATGATCTCAGCGGAAGGTTTGTCGGGAAGATACAATAACTCTAACGATGGCCCCTCATACTCGGGAACATCGAATTTTCCGTCGACCGGGGGCATCTTTTGTTGAGTCACGAGATCAAGGCTGGGAATGATTCTGAATGTCCATGCCGAAGACGGTCTCTCCTGCTTCGTGCAGGGTCACAACATCTAGTTAGTAGTGTTGGCAAGAGGTAGAGCCGCATCGGGAGAGTAGACTTTCCTTCACCCGTGAAATACCTATTAGGAAATTGACCAATGATGCGAAGAAGGCGCAGCCGCTGCCAGCTGTAAGTCGGGCATGGCGAGCAGGAGCAGGACGGCTCGCCCGCAGGTGATATTCGCAGTTTGATTGCTGCCCGAGCGTAGCAATGCAGCGCCACGAGACACAACCAATCCCGCCTGACGGTCACGCTCAGCCCTCTGGGTCCCAATGCATGAATATTGACAGGTTTTGAAGACTCGCAATCCCACGAAGCATTCGATTCTAAAGGAAATGAGTTACCGCCTTTTTCCCTGGCCTCTCCGAGATTGACTACACGTCGCTCTTGGACGCGTGATCGGCTCATTTTTTTCACGATCCTTGGCACCTGATTGTACTTGGCAGGTCGCACAACCGGTTTATGCCGCATTGTAAGTGACATCGGCCTGGGTACAAGCTCTCGGTTCGGCGTGGCCGACCCGTGGAGAGACGCGCCAGTTTACCTTGTCGTTGCGTTGTATTCCCGTAATTAACATACAATTTTACTATCGTCAGGCAATAAAAAAAAGGCCCGCACAACAAGTCGACGGAAAACATGGCCAGCCGCTCAGAACAAATTCTTCCGGATTCGGGAGACCAGGAAGTCGATGTTCTGGAGAAACTGGCAGAACAAATACCACCTTTGTTCTCTGAGCTTCTCAGACGTTTAGACAATGATAGCTCCAAGCGGTGGGAGCAAGAATACCGGGTGCGTGACTTAGCCCAAAAGGTGGACCAACTCAAGCGGCAGCTAGAAGACGACCAGCTCATGGGGAGCGACATTGGGAGCCCAAGGCGGGGGCGGCGGGAGTTTACTGCGCTAGAGGTAGCACAAGACAAAGTCGAAAGGGACTTGCGCAACGAGGTCCAGCTCCTCGAAAAGAGCCTCAAGAGCACGGTAGAAGAGCTTCAAGACACAAGGTCCGAGACCTGGGACTTGCGATACCAGTGCCAAGACCTGAAGCAGGAGATTTGGAGGCTCAACATGCATTTGAGCCATAGTGTGGCTGTCAGTGATTGGGAGGATGGCATTGCGGTTCCTAAAACTGCGCGTGAACTGGTGCTGGAGCAAGAGAGGGTAAGGCTGCAGAGGAAGGTGACCGAGTTGGAAGAAATCGTGTGGAGGAAGGAGGAGAGATACAGGTACAAGACGGGTGGTTTCAGCTTGTCAAGGACAAGGTCGCTTTGATGATCGTGGGGTGATCGATATTGGGTTGGTCGACCCCCACAGCGGCTTGGTGGGCCCGGTTTTTTTTGTTAGGGGCGATCTTGGGACTGCGGCTCCGTACATGTAGTATGGAGTGTGTAGGTGTTCACTCTAATGCATGATGTTTCAGAGACCATCGTCATATGTTGGGGGTTTGGGCCGCCACACGATGACGAGTGCGCCGGTCCCTGGGGCTTGCAAATCATCTGTGTAGATACTAACCATGTGGGAAGGGTCCTGCCATCTCCATACGCACCTCTGAGATTTGCGACGTCGAAACTTTCTTCGATCCTGTGGGGGTTGTTATCGTGCTGCACTGCTGGCCCACTGCGGGCAGCGATGGTTCTGGTTTTGCTGGCGTCCCATTATTGGCCAATGCTCCTGCAGAAACCGGTCTCGAGGTCTCCTGCTGAGGAATGTCGGGGCCACGAAAATGGGAAAGAACGGGTGAGGGTGGCGGCCCACGAGGAGCTGGATGCAAGGTTCTCGGTACCTATCTTTGACCGAATTTCCCTAGAAAACCATTGTCCCTTTCAGTAACAAATTGTTTGCCCCACATCTTCTTCAGAGCCGCGCGCCTCGCAGAGATTTCCTCTCTTGCAACGCCCGAAACGCCAATCTTAATCCGACTCGCGTCTACCGCTTGTTCGCGTCGCACACATTCCACACTAGTGTTCTCCACGGTGGCAAATGGCGACTTAGATCATCAGGCATCGATGAGTGCGGTGTGCCCGACTGAGGCTCTGAGCACTGCCCTAGTGCTTCGGCGACACCTTTTGGGTTCGGCCAGCGGTCTGAATTACCTTCCACTGCGGGAGTCAAATTTTCTTTGAGCCTCATCTTGTCACCGAAAAGTCTTTGACAACAATCGCACTGCCGTGGAGATTGACATGTTGGGCAGCATCGTCGGTGACGTGGTGTGATCATGAGGGCTAAAGTGGTCTGCCAGACCCAGGAAGGACTTCGAAAGGTAACCTGGGCGAAACATGAGATGAGGTTGAAGATGGCGGTGAAGGTGTTGGCTTCTGGTTGAGGCTCATGGATGCGCTCTGGAACCGAACTTAAATAGCCTGCTGGTACGCTCTGGGATGGTGATAGTCATAGGTAAACTCCAACCCAGAACGCCAGACAACGAAGACGCCAGACAACAAAGACATCAGACAACGAAGACAGCGGCATTACCGACATCTCATTGTTCTTTCGGTGTGAGCATGACTTGCCCCATCCCGAACACCACATTACGACATTACTAACATCACGTTTTGCGCAGAAAAAAACCAAATAAGATCCCCATCAGTGATCACCTCCCAGCCCTCACCATGACCGACGTTTACACTCCACCCTCTTGCGGTTTCCGCAACCTGCCACTGCGTCTTGGGGAACCGTACACCAAGACCCTCAATGTCGCCTTCCCCACGACCACAGGCCTCACAAAGGAGGTCAAGGATTATGTGCGCAATTACGTGGCCCGCTCTAAAGCCCTCATCCAGAGACTGGAGAAGGAGCGGGATGAGGCCAGAAAGGAGGTCATAGACCTGAAGGATCTGGTGGAGCGGGCACGCGTGAGCACCGTGGGGGCCAATGATGACCTGCACATGCTTTTGGTGGATGATGAGTTCTTGGGAGCCGACCCGGAATCGTACCTGCTGGGCGAGAAGGAGAAGGCTGTGAAGCCGGAGGGCGGTGATCTTCAGCCGCCGAATGGTGTGTATTCACCGCCGGCCTCGAGCAGTTCGGAGGACCCCGAGGGGGGTGATTTGGAGGAGGTAGATGGGCTGGACGAGGTGCTGGGCACAGGCACTTCGGGGGACCCGGATGTCACCAGTGGTACTGACCAATAGATCGGAAAGGGCCTGGAGGATCCAGAGGATCCAGACGTTTATTAGGAGCGAGTAGACCAGCTTTGCGCAGGAGATGGTCGAGGTTGAGGCAGCAGAGAGATTAGGCGAAAGCGGCGCACCTCGGGAGGAAATGGGATGGGGAGCTGAGCTTGGGGATTCAAGAATGCGGAGGCAGTTGAGATGAAGGGGATTTGGGTTGGGTTAAAAGATGTTTGGCTTACCTGAGCACCAAGTGCTCAAAACCACGCGCTGCCGCGCACAATTTCCTTTGTTTCTTTTTGATAGAATAGCAGTTAAATGTACCAGCCTTTTTACACATCTACCATTGCACATGTCGGGATGTTATGTAGTGGCGTTGAAACCTGGGTTTGCTGTTGGATAGTTGAAAGCTTTACTATTCATTGCGAAATCAAGGCACTCTGCGTATGTGAATTTGTAATGTTGTCGGAAGTGAGAGGTGTATGGATCTTCATTCCTCGAGACATATCACAACCCAGGGTAAGGAATGGACACATGAAGTTGGAGCGCGTTTGAATTCCATATTTGTTGCATGGAAGCAATGAGTCATGAGAATTCGCTATGGGGGTCCTATCTGGCGCCTTTCAGCCCGCTTATAATATTTCTTCCACAGCCTGACGATCAATGGCATATATCCTAGTATCACGCCCCAAATCCCTGGAAAAATTGCCATTCTGTGACCGATGCCCCCATGTCTTGGCTCTTGCCGTGCTTTCACCGACTTTGTAGGTTGAAGTTCCTTTGCCGAAAGCACAACGTCTCGCACACCCTCCTCCTGGAGATACCGGCCTGCCCAAGTTTGACCCAGACCCAATCCATCATCCACCATCTCGCTCTGTATTTTGAGCTTAACATTGCCTTCATTGTGAGAAACTGCCCTAAGCATTTCGAGTATCTCCCAAGCAGACTCCGCGGTGTTGTGATGGCGGACGACCCGGCTCTTCCTGTCGAACAGATCATCCCAGTACCCCTGAAGTTGCTTCTGCCGCTTGACCGCACTCGGGAAACCACCCCCCATAAAGGCGGTGTTGCTCCACATGGTTGTCGCTAACATGACGCACCCATAGTTGGCGGGACCAACAAGTCTCTGGAGAATGTGAAAGCTTCGGATGGCGGAATGTGAGAGTCGGACGTCGGTGATGCGCTGGAGGAAGATGATGCCGAGTAGACGCTCGCCGTTGGTGTAAGATGTGGTGAGATGATTGGCGATCTCGTTCAGAATTTCTGCATCTGACCGGGTGGTGTCTCCAAACCCGGGAGTGTCGACGACGCGGACCCTGCGCCCATTTCTGTCGGTTGCTGTATATTGCGTGGCGTGGATAGTTTCTGGCGGTGGTTTTTCATGTTAGTCCTGACTTTCCACGAGACAATGAACGTCGGACCCTTGTTGGACCCAAGTGTGTGGACATTAATACTCACGAGAAGTGAGACTGTGCCCAATTTCCACCTCATCCCGTCCATGACCGGTCAGACTTGAGACGAATGTTGTTTTTCCCGATCCGGTCATTCCCATGAGTATCACCAGCCCCGTATCTGCATCTTGAACGTAAGAGGTGTTGATTTGTCCGGTAGAATTTTCATCAAAGCCCCGGAAAGGGCTTCGGTGTCGGACAGTTGGTCCTTCACTCATTTCCTCGGATTCTGGACTGTAACTTTCCATTGTGGCGAGCGACTCTCTAAGAATTAGTTAACACCAGGTCGAAGACTTCAGTAATAGCTGTAGCAATACATAAACAGAAATCCGCTAAACTTTGTGAAGAGTATCAATTTTTCTCCGACATTTAAGAATAGAAGAGCGCATCTGAAACTTTTGTTGATTTGTTCTGACGTTATCGCAACCTGGGTTGGGTTTTGAATGGACACCCAACAAGCAACCATATCTCGGCACCAATGAGATGTGTTCGATTAAATGCTCGCAAACTCGAAACTGATTTGCACGTTCAAGACATCAACGGAAGGCAACCTGTGGCCATCCGACACGAGATGCTGTTGTCTTTCCCTGAGCATTCTAGCCTGTGCGGGGGGAACCCCTGAACGCAGCTTTGTGTGTTTCGGCCCAACCCATCGGTGTCAGGTTGGTCCTCCGCCACGTTTACTGGGACGACACCGGAACGCACATCCACTATTTGCTGGATGCGGCCGTCAACTCGTCATTTCAATGGTGTGTTGGATCCAAACAACGGGAGCCGCAAATCCCCGAAGAACAACTCTCAGGATAAGTATGCAGTCACTAGCTGGCTTTTCTCAAAGCAAGGCAGCCAGTCTGTGCTTCGGGTACCTGTTGCGTTCGTCAGTGCCCAGACGGACCTGACATGTTTAAAATGCGTGGGGAATCCGGATGTAGAATAAAAAATACGAGAGGATATCCTATCCTTTCGACTTGTTAATTTCGAGTCCGCTTTAACTCCTTATTATTTACCCCCGTCTTCCATCTCACAACCTGGACGAGCGAGGGAACTAAGCTAATTCAGAAACCTACATTTTCTGAAGAATAACGATGGGCCAGAAACACTCGATCCCAGAGAGTCAGCGAGATGTCTCGGATTCGGAGTCAGAGTATTATGCGACACCACAGACAACGCGGCCTTCCACTCCCATTCCCATGATGCCTGTGATTACGTACGTTACCACCACCCCTGAGACAGCTGGGCGTGACGCTGGCTACTCCTTCTCTGTGACTGACTGATCTGCGTCCAAAAGGTCCGATGATATCGTGATTCCCATTATGGGCTTGACCGGGGTCGGGAAAAGCACATTCATTTCCCACTTTTCCAACACAGCCGTGGTTGGCCACGGCCTTGCATCATGTAAGACAGCACTGATGGCCCAATTCTGGAAGGACATCCCCTGAGAATATCTTTCCTTTTGCAACACCCAGGCACCTCCACGATAAGCATCCACGCCGCGACTCTCGACGACCAAACGATATACCTCATCGACACGCCCGGCTTCGACGACACCACTCGCTCTGACACTGCCATCCTACACGAAGTAGCGAAATGGCTCAAGGCATCCTACGACGCAGACATCCAACTGGCCGGCATCGTGTACCTCCATCGAATCGAAGACAACCGTGTCGGCGGTGCAGGGACGACGAATCTCCGCATGTTTCGGGAACTTTGTGGAGATGAGGGGTTGGCTTGTGTAGTGTTGGCGACGACGATGTGGCCTCGCGATCCGATGATGGCTCCGCCGGAAGAGGAGGAGGACGGAGAAGTGGTTGCCGGGGAAGGAAGGATAAGAGGGGGAGAAGGGGAGGAAAGGGTAGAGGAAGCGGGGAAGAAAGACGAAGGGGGCGAAACAATAGTAGAAGCCGCCGAAGCGAGGTTAGCGGAAGCACACGTAAAGGCCGAGGAGCGAGAGAAAGAACTCATTACCCAACCCGAGTTCTGGGGCGGCCTAGTGGAGCAAGGCTGCCAGGTTTGGAGACAGGACAACGGCCTCGCATCAGCAGAGCGCATTCTGCAGCACATAGTCGCCCAACGACGACGTACAACACTCCAAATCCAAGAGGAAGTGGCGAGTGGGGTTCCCGTGAGGGAAACGGGTGCCGGCAAAGTTCTGAAAGAAGACTTTGAGAGACTACAGCGTCAAATGAAGGCCATGACGCTCGAGATGGAAGTGCTTCGGGCGGAACTGGCATTGCAGCGACAAGCCGCTGCCAGGGAAAGGGCGGCGTGGGAAACGGTGGTCCAAGAGGAACGGAAGGAGCGGGAGGACGAGAGGGAGCGGAGAAGGAAGGAGCGGGAGGCGGAAGAGGCTGCTCTGAAAGTGATCACGGCGCTGGAAGATAAAGTGAGGAACCTGCAGGAGCAGGTGGAGGAGACGGACCGGCGACAGAAACGAACGAGCGCAGATTTCGAGAAGATGAATGAGAAATGGGGGAGCGAGGGGCGGGGGTGGTGTGTTGTGATGTAGGTAGTTGAGGAGTCCGGTGGCTGGGGTGCTGGGCTGGTCGGGCGGGAGGATGCTTTTGATAGATATACTGGGGTATCTGTCCCTTTTTCAGGTTTTTTTGTCTTTTCTTATTTTTTTGGCGGCCGGCATCTTATTCCAACTCACTAATTTTTGCATTCGCATCACGTTCATCAAGGCTGAATCGTCTGGTACTCTGAATACGTTAATAAATGCCTTACAGCTTGGCTAAATCTTTGTTACCGGTTGGAATCCATTACAGCCAATGAATTCGAGTAAAGCAAAATAATCTGGCCCAAGAAGTAACCTGATCGCGGGGTTTAGGGGTTGCATGATGCGGTTGTGTTGATAAGAGGCCCTGACGTCACCGGATGCCATCCTCACCCATCGTTCTCCAACCACATAGACACGAGAGTAAGATTACCCAATTAATCGGTATTTCCCGTCCCTAAAGTGCCCTTTAAGTTTTGACATCTTGAACCACCATTTACTCGTCATGGGAAGAAAAGAGAAGATAGCTCGGTCATTGGTCACCGCGATCACAAAGACAACGCAAACGGCCAAGCGGCCCCGGAGCCTTCTTGCCCTCATCCTCAGCTTGTTTTCGGCCTTCTTTTCACTCTATCAGCTCACTCTCCGGAAGATTCGCCCCGCCGAATTTTCTCGACTTCGTAGGGAACATTGGGAGGTCAACGACGATGACTACACACAGTCCTTCCAGCCCGACGATGATGAGGACGAAGAGAAACCTCTGAAGGCGATAGGGGATATGGGTTTCTCCGGCTCGGTATGTAGCCGTACATCAAACGGATCAAAGCTTGAGCTAACCTTATGTTTAATTATACCTTCTACACGACCCGAGATCACAAATACCTCGTCAAGTCGGTACCCCGGCACTCAGAGCATTCATTCTTTCGAGACAACCTCCTGACTCCGTATGTCCACCACATGGCCCACCACCCAAACTCCCTTCTAGTCCGCATCTGCGACTTTCTCGCCGTTACCGGACCATCCATAGGGCGCTTATTTCGCCTCGCGCCATCGCACCACATCGTCATGGAAAATATCATGTACGGGAAGGAAGACTCAAGCAAATGGAATAAGAACGACTGGCAAAACTGGGACTTGAAACCGACGTCGTACTTCTACCCGGAAAGGGATATCGCGAATGGAGCCCTCACAAGCGACGCAACGAAAGACCAACTCGCAGATAAGTTCAAGGATAAGATTGTTCTCCGACGCAGTCAGGCGGACGATCTCTTGGTTATGCTGGAGGAAGATACTAAGCTACTCGCCGAGCATAACGCGGTCGATTACTCGCTATTCCTTGTGCGCATAAAACGACCGGGCAGTACCTCGTCCGAGTCTCAGGACCTAACCGCCGTCCCGGTCGATCCACCTTCGGCCCCCCCTGGCCCGCCTACTTGGAGAACGGGAATACCCTCCGCGGATGGGAAATATCTATTTCGGGCATCCATCCTCGATTTCTTTTGGGCCAAGCACAAAGCGCAGCCACAAGCCATGACGATGTTGATCAGTCTCTGGAACTTGTTAATAAGCAGGCAAGGACATATGAGTATCACCACCACGCCAGACGAGTACCGCGAGAGATTTCTCAAGATGTGCAGGGAGATTGTGGAGGTTAAGGAGGATTGAAGCTTGTATGTTACTTTGCCAGCATTTATGCTTCTATGTTCACCTCCACTGGAATGATTAGGTAGGGAGTGGATCTCTTGATCAAATACGCCCACCATGGTTACTTGCCAGGTGTTCCTTGGCCAGTTTGAAGAAACTCAGCCCAAGTTTCCATTGGTCCATCTGTGAGATCATTGTCATCGTAACTCGACTTGTACGATAGAGGTGAACTGAGGTAAAGACTGAACTGTTGCTTGGAGCTACATTCTCCAGCGACCAGTAGAAGAGGCAAGGAGACGGGGAAGGGGCCATCTTGGATGGGGTATCTGTATTAAATTATACCAAGACTGCTAATAACATCACGCCACCTCGCCACCCTGACGGTTTCTCCAACTACCAGCATAGTGGTGCGTGACTAGCGGCGGAGGTAACTCTATATCTTCATCGTAAAAATTAGTTGACGCCGCGAAGGCGTATCCGGGCAGAATCAACACATCCCCAGCCAGTTTCGGCTCGAGAATCCCCTGCACCTGCTTGGCCTTCGCTTTGCCCATGCTCTTCAGAAGGCTTTTCGTGAACCGCCTTGGACCGGTAAGGTTAATGACATCATCAAATGTCTGAAGATTCAACTCCTCCACAGAGATATTCTTCTCCTCCATCTTAGCCTGAAGGGACTGAACGATATCTTGAACCACCGCCCAAATATGGGATGACCTGGGTTTGGCCATGATGATCCATGTCGCAAATTGGTGATTGAACGGCAGGGTCCAGCCAACATCGAACTCCCAACCTACAACAACGCTAGCCTCGGCTTTGTACCGTAGCGGAATCCACTCGCTGATGGGCACTTCGCAAGAGACGTCAAGGTCAGAATAGACGCCTCCCTCGGAAAAAAGGACGAGGTAGCGGAAAAGGTCGGCTTTGAGGATAGGAACTAAACAGCCAAACGCATGGTCAGCAGGCTATGGGGCGGATACGTGGGATGATCGGCGGGAAGCACGAACCGTTGAGGCCGAGGTAAATCTCAACAAGATCGGGATGTGTTGCGCCAAATTTTTCCTGGATGAGCATGTCGGCTGAAGAGTCGGTCATGAATCTGACTTGGTAGTCTGTGTTGTTTCCAATGCAGGTGTTGGTCCATGCCCGCGCCTCAGCCGTTAGGCCTTTTGGTCCTAGCTTGTACCACAAAGTTTTCGGTATTGGCGAGGAATGGGGTTGGCCCGGCCACGCCCGCGTGGCCCAATCGTCGGCCGCTCGCTGAAAGACGTCCGCCAGGAAGCCAAAAAAGAAGGTCAAAACGAACGTGGCGAGGAGGATAAGTCGGAGATACTTTCGTGATGTAAAAACGCGCTTATTCAGAACCATAGTGCCGGCGCTGCTGTCAGGTGTCAGGACGGCGCACACATCGTGAGCGTGGGAGCGCTGGTTTTTTTTTTTTTTTGCAACATTGAACGCCGCGAAGACGTGGCGCGAAGGGGTTCATGCAGCTTGGCGCCGACCAGTTCCAGCCTTGGACTGTTCCCAAGCCCACGTCCCCCATCATTGGTGAGTGCGAGGGTTTTGGAACCCAGCCGCCAATTGACGCTTCATCCACGCGGGAACGATTGGGGTGAAGGTTGATCCTAACCTATTTCGATCAAAGCCCAACCAATTGCCGCAAATCGCGAGGAGGAGAAGCGCGCAGCGTGCTTGGCGCCATAAACCTGCCCCTCTTTCTGGCCAGAAGAACCCTAGACGTTGGACTAAGCCGCGAGGAGGCGCTTAATTCACGCCTGGGATCAAGTTGCAAGCCCAAACCATACCTCCGTACGGCCAGGAGTAAAGTCTGAGCGCTGGCCAATCTTGTCCAATGGAGTGTCGCGGTTTAGCGCAAACCTGTGAACTGGTCCATAATGATGCCTTCCGCACAGTGCAGAATGAATTTTGGCCCTTGGGGGCGAGTTGAAACCAACGGTTTACCAACCGGCAACACTTCCCAGGTTCCCGGGTGAACGGGTCGCATTTAGAGATATCTTTGATGTCCTCAAGGTCCCGATGCTTTTACCTGTCGCTCCCAACCTTCCTCCCACGCCGTCGTGGGCTGAGAGCGTCCTAGAGTCTCGAGACACTTCAGAAATGCGGCTCAGTTTCGCCGCCGCGGCGTTCCTGCCATGCACCATGGCCGGCAACATTATGACATTCATCAACCCACCCCCCGGAAATCACCAGCACGATTTTGGCGACAGCCCAATGTATCAAGTGGGCAGCGTGGTGGATATTGCCTGGACGCCGGCCAATAGTCCCGGGGTACAAACGTCACTGACGTTGTGGCAACTTAATGAGACCACGGGCGTTTATATTGGGGATCAGGAGTACATCAGCCGTAAGCTTATCTCTGTTGATCTACACCCGCCCTAACTAACACCGAAAGCTCGCAGGTAAGGCTGTCGATATCACAACCTTCAAGTGGATCGTGGCCACAAGCAAGGCCCTGTCGGTTTCCCGAATGTTCTACCTCAGTATTTTCCGGGAAGGACAGCTCGATTCTGACTCGGAAAGCCATACGTTCTTCATCGTGGAGTCCGACAAACATTCCCCGCCACCACCAACATCAACATCGAAATCATCGTTTGGAAACTCAGTTTCCCCTTCGTCCTCAGGTTCCTCCTCATCCTCAGCTTCTCCTTCATCCTCGATTGCCACCTCATCCTCGGCTTCTTCCTTATCAGCCGCTTCCCCATCATCTTCAGCCTCCTCGTCATCCTCAGCTTTAATTACGGAGCAATCAGGATCGCCCCCCGCCGCTGCATCCCCATCCACCGGAACCAACCCCCATACCACTACCCCACCGACCACCAGACAGACAAATACTTCCTCAGGACCTGCATCTCCCCATACGGCTACAGACACCATCGAACCATCGACAAATCCCAGTGACACACCTGTATCCAACAACGGTCTCGACACGGGCGCCATCATTGGAATCATCCTTGGTATCACTTGCGTTGTAGTTTTGGGTGCCATTTTCGGTTTCCTGCTTTTCAAGCGGCGAAAGATGCGAGCGCGGGCGCGAATGGGGAAGAAATACAACGGCATGGTTGAGGACCAGTCCGCTGGTCCCTTTGAGAAATGGGCTGGCACGCCGAGGTTCATGGGGAACGGGATGATTTACCAAATCTCACCGTCAGAGTTACCTGTCCCGCCGACAGAGCTCCCCACGGGATTAGAGAAGCCTCAGGTGTACGAACTGCCTTAACAGCACCAAGTATAACATGGAAGAATCTGGAAGGGTCTTTGGGGCATTTCAGGAGCTTCATGCATCGGTTTAGGTTGTTGCTGTACACCGCCTTCGTGGTTTCACACCTTGTTCCTCCCAGAGGTGAGGATACCAACTTTTACTTGATGCCTGTACAAAGAAGAGGTTGGGCGTTGGGGCGGGGGCGGCGGTAAAATTTTGGCTTTCATGTAAATATCTTGCCTAAATTGCTTGTTGATACCCTTTTGCCTTGGAAATACAGGCGCCACTTTGTAAGTCAGCCGCCTGAAAAACATGTCTCTTCAACGGCTTTACAGCTCGGGCTCGTTCGCCCTGGGGCGATTGCAGAAAGAAGTTTGGTATTAATGAGGGCGCGGGAAAGGGCTTGATCTGTTTTGGGAAGGAGCGAAAACACCAAAATACTTCTCACCACGAAAATGCTGAATGCGGATCAAAACAACAATTGTCATCATCGACTGCTATAATTAATAAAAGTTTAAAAAGATAGGTAGCCGGCTAAAGCTAGTGGGAGTGAGTATTCCAACATCTTTTCAAGGGCGTCCCGGTCTCACATCTCAGGAGAACTACGACAACAGGACCTAGATCGCATATTAAGAGGCCGTGTTGAACGGTTAATATCTAAATATGCGAAAGGAGACCATTGCTGGGAATCAACCCAAGGTGCTTCTGAGAGAGAGATTGAAACGGTAGCGTGCATCGGTAAACCGTTGAACTAGCCGCCAGATCACTCCCAAGGTGTTGAAAATCAGGACCGCACGGCCGCGTTATATACCCTGGGCGGGAAGTGAGGGTAGGAGCGGTTTTGGCGGCGGCATGTGGGCTAAGACAACAGAGGGAAACCTCCTCTTTCAAATTTGGGTTACCCAGCGATATTGTTCAAGTCGGTCTGCATGTTTGGTTTGGGTTTAGCACTGGAGCATTACATGTCCCATTCTATTCGTTCTTCCGCGCTTCCAGTTCCCTAGCCTTCTGCTGGGTTCATGAAGATTATCTGACAACGTCGGTTTGTTAGTCCGTGGGAAGGAACCGAAGGGTATCGCTACACCACGGGAAACCCAGACCGTTATGCCTTTGATCTGGTTAGCGCCCCGCAGATTCTGTTGTAACTCAATTGGTACGCCTTGTAATCTGAGTCTACCAAAGCAAATACCGGCTACGACGCGCTGCAAACATGTTCTGTGCAGAATCCTTTTCGCAGGCGCCCGGCTGGAACCGTAATTATTGTTCAATTCCGGATGTTTTGATTCGGGACTTATATCAAAACAGAACTTTTACATTTCTATCATTATTAATTTGAGGCCTCCATTCGAGAGTGTAGTAGACGAAGAATTCCTACCCTAGCGGCAGATGATAACGATAATTAATTATAATTACCTGGCCGACTTTCGACATCTCGAAGGACTAAGGGAACCCATCTCATTTAATCAGAACGTCCAAGGGTGAGGTAGTCACCCGACTTTATTCAAGAAATCGTTTCCCAGGACTAAGAATCAATTACACAAGTACAAACCTCACAGACAGCTTTGGACAGACACCCAGCTATTTTCCTGTTCCTTTCCTGCGAGACACAAGATCCGCTTTCCGGTGCGCAGTGGAGTGGCATGCAATGCAACGTTGTTGTTGGTGCTCTCGGCTCGATTTGCGTTGGCCTTGGCATGTGAAAGTTCTTGGGACTGCATCAAGCTAAAGAGATATTTATTGATGATGAATCCTGAACGTGGCCTTGGCTCTCTATCTTCTTATTTGTTGGCCAACAAGGGCCATGAAGACGGTTCGGGGTGGATAGCGGAACGCAACATCCGCGCTGCGAACTGCTGCACCTTTCCTCTCATGATTTAACTGGGCAGTTCATGCCGCAGAGCTGCACTTGAGTCTGCGATGGCCACTGGTTCAACGCGGCTCGGCCATTACAACTCTCGGGGCATGTGCTATGGGCCAGGACACGAGGTCTCGTTCGTGGGCTGAACAAATAAATTAGTTGTCTGGCTCAACAATCGTGTGTAGGCCACTACCCAATACACCTTGAATCCAGCGTTTTTCTGTGACCGAAGAATTTCTTTTCCCCAAGCAACGACATTTTTTAGGGAGCTTTGGAGATACACGGGTTTAAGCCAACGCAGTAATTCTCAAACTGCAGGGTCATCACCCGGACCCCGAGCACCCCGATTTCGCGAGAAACATTTTAACCGAATCTCCCCAACCCGGAACCGAGAAAATATTAACGGGTTTCCTGTGACTTTTCCCCGGGCCAGAATCCATAGCCACCAACAACCGAGACCACTTCTGCCAGGAACCCAAACCTCAACCAATCACCCCATGTGATTTCTGCTGACCGGAACTGCAGCACATGCGGGATGAGCCAGTTCTGGCCCGCCTCCCCCCCTCCTCTTCTCGCTTCCATAATTCCCCGATAAGCCGGCGAGAACGATCTCTCGAAACGGCCCCCGCAATCCTGCCCTTGGAATGGTAAAGTCCTTCCGCAGCGGGATGATCGTATCCTGGGATCAGGGATTGTCTCGCGTGGCACAAGCCCGCTAACCCGAAAGCTCGCTAGTGGGTTTAACGGTTTTGACCCCCCCTGTCAGATTCACACCTCCAGACTCTAGATCGAAGACGCAAACCCAACACACGGGGTTCGGCTCACGGCTTCGAGAACCGTTTCTGAGCAAAGGGTCGTGGTACCTAAGGTGGTGTGGGGATCTATGAGTATGCCCTGTCCTTGTGTTTCCTCGCGCGCAAAAATGATACGCCTGAGGAAGGGCGTATCCATCCAGACGGGCTGTGGACGGAGGATCGAGCCCCTGTAAATGCGGAGCGGAAAGATGTTGGACACCGGGTCAAAGGTGATAGATATCCTGTGGTCCTGAATCTCGCAGTGGGCAGTGGAAGGCACGTGTACTGAGTAGTTTATGGTCCTGGAAGCAGGGGGTGGTCAGCAGCGTCGGGATCTTGGCGTTTCCTTGCTCCTTTTGTGCCTTATTTATTGTTGGATACCCTGGTGCCCAGTTTTGAACTCTGCAAACTTTACTTCACTGCCGTGGGTTTCTGATCAAGATCGGTACTTAAAACTACACTCAACATCACAATGGCGACCCCAGAGGCGGCGGGGCCCCCGGCCGAGAAACAAACCCCGGGATTGCCGGACTACGTGTTGCACGAGGACGCTGTGCTCGGGGACATCGATGTCAAATGGAGACACGGACGGACACCGGACTACTCTAAGACTCGTCAGATTTATTCCGAAAGTATGGATTCTTTTTGAAGTTACCAACGTCCTCTGCCTCCTGCCTCGAAAATCACACCTACTGACAAGGGACCCTTTCTCCTCTAGCAAAGCGCGCATCTCACCAAGCAGGTAGCCTGCCCGACCTCGTCGAGAAGCTCGTAAAAAACTGGGAGATCGAAGCCAGTTACAAGGTCGATCTTGCCGACTGGCGCACGATCGATCGCAACTCCTACACCTTCGCCGTCAACGGTGGTCCATCTCAGACGGCCGAGCACATGCTCGCCGTGGGCACATACAACGCGATCGTTGAGGGCAACGAGTTTTACTGTCCTGCGCGCTCGAGTTTCGATGCCTCGCATAAAACGTTCAAACGAATGATGCCGACGTTTGCGTGGGAGGTGCTGGAGGTGTATGCGGGCCCGCCCAAGGTCGCGTTTCGCTGGCGGCACTGGGGGGTGATGAAAGAGGATTATTCCGGCATTAATAAGTAAGTCGACCCGTTTTCTGTGGCGATACATAGAGTGCAACTGGAACCATATGGACTCTCGATTTGGAGCAACAGCATGCTGATGTGGTTCAACTTGGTATAGTAAGGGTGAAAAAGTCACGGTCAAGGCACACGGAGGGCCGATTGACATTGAAGGGGTTGCTGTTGCGGAGGTGAACGATAAATTGCAACTACGCAGTGTTGAGGTGTTCTTCGACCCTATGCTCATGTTCAGGCAGATGGCCCCGGATGGTCAAACGGGCGTGACCAAGGTGAAGATCGATGAGGGGGAGGCCGTTGCGTAGGGCGGTATTTTGGCGAGGATTGTGTGAGGGCGGAAGGAGACCCGACCGCTTTCGGGCCTGTGTACGGTAATTACCGTTTCGTGTCACGAATGTACACCTTACATTTGGATGGAAACTCCCGACCCCTTCAGAAGCTCGAGTCTGGGAGACGAGGGACTAATTTTTGGGCAACCTCGCTAGACGCCAATTAATTGCGCATATTCAAGAATTCGCGCGTGTCAATGAGGCTTGTCTCCCTACGTATCAATTTCGTTAAGTTATTGGCTTCGTCGAAGCAAGATTTTGGCTGCGCCCCAGGAGTCCTGCAGATATCCTGCAGCTCATGCTGCAAACTGGTGCGCCTGCCGTTCCGCAAGGCTCTCCCGGTCCAAAGCTGAAGACCCCTCCTTTTCTCTGTCCCTTCCCCTCTCCGTTGTGAGTTGATCTTTCCGCGCCCCATCATATCGACAACAGTACAATCTCAACGGACTAAGAACAACGACATCTAGATTTTGCATCATGGAGATTGGCACTATTGCCGCGGCGGCTTAGCTAGCCGATATGGGCTGCCGCGGCCTCTTTGGGATCTACCGTTTTCTCAAGAACATGAAGGATGTGCCGACGAGGCTTCTCCTTCTTCTTGAAGATCTCGGCCACTTTTCGAGTCTCATGACTGACTTGCAGTCAGTTCTTAGCAACCACGATCCTCGGCTAAGCAATTTGAGCCCTGAGAAGCTGGACCGCATAACTCGCATTCTCGACAGCACGGCAAATGTCTGCAACGAACTTGAAAAATCTCTCACAACCTGCCTCCTTCTCAGGGATTCGACTAGGACGAGCAGGGTGTGGCGTGCATTTGTTTCTACCAAGAAGGAAGCGGATATTGCCAAGCAGTGTGACAGGCTAGAGAGGCTTAAACATGACCTCACCCGTGAGCTCCAAACTCAGGGGCTGTTGTTGATGTCGTCGGTGAAGTAGAATCACATTTGAGCTTTTAATGCAAAGCCAATGCCAACTATGATGACATGAATAGAAACAATCTTGGGATAGTCTCCGCTGAGATGCGCCAGGCCAATGTGTCGCTCTCTTCCATTGAGAACAAACTAAGTGCAGTCGATTCTGTTCTAGAAGACGTGCGCATCGGCTTAAAAGATCGCGACTCAGCAATTCCACAAACTGTCGAAACCCCCAATAGAGGGCGCCAGTCTTCAGTCGGCATCATGAATGAAACGCAACTTCTTAACATGAATGAGCTGATCACCGAAATTCATAAATGCGTGGTCCTTGGCATGGTGCCTTCTACGGCGACCCAACTGCATTTCCAAAACGCCTCTTCAGCGCAGAGGTCTCAGGTGGTAAGTGATATCTTGCGTATAACTACCTCAGCTCTCTCAGTTGTGCGTCTGAATCTCCGTGCCCCTACTGATAGCTGGGACCAAAACAGCTCGCGGCTTCAGCTCGCCGTATCGTCCAGTACCCACAGGATCTAAAGACGGTTCTTGATCGTGAGCTCACACCCAAAAGCGTGGAGTCCGACCGCCCGGCAGATTCCTGGACGACCCCCAATTTGTCTTGCCGATGCGCACGCCGAGGCCATCGAGTGAAGCACACAACCAGTGCGTTCGGCCCAATTCGGTACAGCACCGTGGTACGGACGAAGCACTCAAATGAATGCCCGCTTTATTTTCCGGGAAGCAACCGCGAGACGTCGGGATCACTCGTGTTCCCGCTGACGCTGCCATTCCTTTCGGCCTCAATCGAGTTCTTTTACTCAAGCTCTTGGGCTCGTAGTCCTCGAGATTTTTCTATCAAGTATCAGCCCACAATCAAACGCCGAGACTCTCTAAGGTATAAAGCTTTTCGCGAGGGATTGAATGTGGTTTATCCGGATTTCAACCGCAGCCCATGGACTCCAGAAAAATACCATGTGCCGTGGTTTGGACTGCTGTTTTTGGCGGGCGGGTGGCCTCAGGTTTCAGCAGTCTAAACCAACAGAATAAGGACATGTCGGGCGGGGCACATGTTTTCTCGGTGTTACCAGTACTCGCACAGTACTAAGCCCCTGGCACACACGAAAGCGCTGCACACCTCCGATCCTCAGCAGGTCGTCAGGAAGCCGAACCAACGGCGGTTCACACTTGCGGCAATAGATGCCATAAGCCTGGCTTAAAACCTGCCATTTCTGCACACACTAGCCTTTTTGGATAACTTCCTCGGCGTCACAGATGTCGCTATGAGGAACAAAGTGTTTCATCTTGGTTAGGCGGCAGACTACGACTAGTATCGCATCGTAGCCCTTGCTCTTCGGCAGGTGTACGATGAGGTCCATAAACACGTCTCTACAGGCTCTCTCGGGGATTGGTAGTGGTCTTAAGACTCCTTGGCGGGCTTCACGGGAGGCAGTGACCCGGGTACAGGCGTGGCAGTTGGATACCCAACGTTCGACGTAGGTGAGCATCCCAGGCCAGTAATAGTCACAGAACAGGGCCTTGTATGTGCGTGCTCGCTTCAAATGTCCAGCGATCGCGCTCTCGTGGTAGGAACGGACCAGTTCAGCGAGCAGTCCGGGCAAATCCGGGACGTATAAGCGGTCCCGGTAGTACAGGTACACTCCCCGGTCCTTGCACTCGGCGAGCGTGATGCCTGGGTGGCAGCTCAGCGACTTCTTCATTGCTTCGAGGACAGAATTCAGTGTCTCGTCTGCCTCGTAGGCCTTAGCGAATAGCTTCTTAATGTCCGGTGGCACCAGGGGGGCAGTCCTCTCGGTTGATAACGCGGGGTGGGGCAATTCTGTTGTGGGGGGTGTTTCCCCAAGTGGGATTCCCGTTCTGGGTCGGGCCTGGGATCGGGTAAGGACGTTGAGTTGCAAGGGTTCGTCCATGAACCGAACTCGCTTCTTGCCAGGCAGTTTCTGAGTTGGCAGGGACGGCGGGTCGGGAGTCTGGGACGGTACTAGCGGTACTACCGGGAGGTAGTTGGTTTGGGCTGGTGAAGACGGTGACTCAGGGGTAGACGGTAGCTCAGGGGCTTGGGGCGGTGTCGGCGGTAGAATTGTAAGGTCCCCGTGGATCAGGGGATCCCGGTTGGCACGCTTCAGGACTATCTGGCTTTGGTGTAACAGGCGTTCATCCCCCTCTTTAGGCTGGTCCTCTGACCTCCTGATCAGAGCGTCTGGCTTCGTACCTTGCTTTCCAGGTCGGTAGGTGATCGTGGAGTTAAACCGGGACTGGAACTCAGACCATCGGACTTGGCGACGGTTCAGGAGCTTGGTCGTGGTTAAGTACTCCAGGTTGCGGTGGTCGGTAATGACCTTGATCGGGAAGCTTGTGCCTTCGAGCTCGGGTCTCCGTTACGCGAAGTAACGGATAGTCGCTAGGAGTTCCGTATTATAAATCTCATAGCTACACTCTATCGTGGGATGTTTCTTAGAGACGAACGCAATAGGTCTCAGGATACTATCGTCTCCATACTACGCGCAAAAGGACACCAGCGGGCCTCTTTCAGACGGTTAAAGGACTCTTCGCAGCGCAAGTCCCACAGGAACTTCACATCTTTCCGGATTAGGTTGACTATCGGCGCGATGATCTTAAAGAAGTTGCGTACAAAACGCCGGTAGAAGTTTCTAAACCCTATGAATGCTTGGAAGTCGATCAGGCAGGTCAGGGTTTTCCAGTCTCTGAATATCTGTACTTTCTTGGGGGCCATCCGGATACCGTGGCGGCCAACAATAACCGCCAGGAAAGTGGTCTCTTCCTTTAAGAACTCGCACTTCTGGATCTTGATAAAAAGGCTAGCTCTTTTCAGGCCTGTCAAGACCTTGCGGACGTGGCTTAGGTGTACCTCCATCGTACGGCTATAGATCAGGATGTCGTCTAAGTATACGGTGTAGAAGACGTCTAGGTGTTGTCGAAGGGTGTCGTTGATAAACCGTTGGAACGTGGCTGGGGCTCCGGTCATCCCGAACGGCATGACCAACGTTTCATAGAGGCCAAATCTCGTTCAAAACGCGGTAAGGTACACCTGGCCCTCCTTAATCCGGATATCATTGAACGTAGAGATGATATCAATTTTAGCGTAATACTTCATTCCCTTTAGGTCATCCAGGGATTCTTTCTTTAACTAGGAAACGCGGGTAACGGTCCTTGACTGAGATATTGTTCAGGCCGGGTAGTCGACACAGAAGCGGAGGCCTCCATCTGGTTTCTTCACGAATAGGATAGGTGACGTAGCGGCAGAGGAGATCGGGCGTATAAACCCCTTCTTTAGATTCTCTTCCAGCCAAGCCTTCAGAGCTTGCAGCTCGGTGCGGGATATGGCGGTGGCCCGAGTGGTGGTGTCTTGCCCTCCATCAGCCTGATGGTGTGGTCGTACGGGCGGTACGGTGGCAGCTTATCGGCTTCTCTCGGCGAGAAGACCTTCTCAAAGTCTTGGAGCTCGGGCGGGAGCATCTTCTTTAGGACCGGTTGTCCCGGAGGGGATAGTTGCCGGTCAATATCTTCGATCGTAACGGAGAATACCTCACATGCCTTGCAGATATATGCCGAGCAGGCTCGGAGGGATACAGCGGCGATATTAACATTCTCCGACCCGGCGGGGCATGCGGGCAGATATCTCAGACATGCCCTCTCTGGCACATCGCGTAGGGCTTCAACTCTGGTCGGTCGACTCGGGGTGTTACAGTTTGCGCAAAAAATGCAACAGAGAACCGCACAGCTACAGGGGATAAGTCCCTGCAGTTGCAGGGCAGTGTAACTCCAACCCTAGCTATGAGATAGCCACAGGCAAAGCTTGTAACGCACACGGCCTGCGGCAAGATATATCGGAGTTTCCAGTCAAGGACAGACAAAAGGGCCAACCGCGAGCCTTTAGGCCACAGAGGCCCACAGCGGTAGAGCTCTCTCCCAACAACCTGACTGTGGCGGTGTCTAGGAGCCTCACTCTGCAATCAAGGCTACAGGGATGCTATCGTAGAATCTGCTGAAATACGACTTTGAGTTGCCCTTCAACTCCTGGGTCTGCCCTTTTCTATCAGCCTGATTTCCTCCGCAGGCGCCTCTCTTCCCTCTTCTACCCTACGCAACACCAAGACACCAAGGAAGTATCACCACATTCGCTGTTCTCGTGGTTCTCTCCCCCTTCCCTCCCCTCCTTCTCTCTCTCTGTGTTTGTGTGTATGTGCAATAACTCTTACCGCTCCGACATTCCGCTTAGCCCCGAAGCTGCTCTGAATGTAAGCCCAAAATCATCATGCTCGCAAAGCCGCAAATATTCAAATACGCACCTGTTCGCTTACTGACAAGACCATCTAGAATGGCTCCCAGCTGAAGTCCTACGGCGTCGGGTTCCTGGTTCGAGTTGATACTGTGGACTTTATTTCGGCTTCGGAAACTATCAATCACCTCATATGTCGTTTTCTGGAACGTTTCAATGTGTCTTCTGATATTATCTTGGTTGTCGTCAAACCGATTGCGGTCAGATAGCGTGAGACGCTCTATCATTGTGAACTCTGGGCAGTCGAGAACGATTAGAAGCGCAATTGAACTAATAGATTGCTCGAAGTAGTCACACTGCTCCTTGTTGCGTGGGAAGCCTCGAGAGAAGTGCAGTTAGCTTCAGGGCTGCTCTAGATCACACGCGCTATAAAGACATACCGTCAAGAATGAAAGCGCGCGTTCCATGCGCAACGCTTCTCAGTATATGCTCTCTCAAGATAGCGATGGTGAGTTCCTTTGGGCCGACCCTGCCAGCAATCATGTTTTCGCGGATGACGTCTGCATGCTGACTGCCTGGGCGATTGATCTGCCGCAACACATCTCCAATGCTGATATGGGCGAGGTCGAATCTCTGCGAAATCATCTGACATTGAGTTCCCTTGCCGGATCCAGGTCCGCCCAGCATGCCGATAAATATGGCTTCCTTTAAGGCGGGGTGGCATCGGGGGAAGTCGTCAGGTATACCAGCCTCAGCCGTTGCCATGCTGTGCGATTGAGCTCCCGGCGTGGAGGGCTCGGCCTACACGCAGGCATCAAGAGCTTTGTGTTTTTAGTGGTATCTGCGGAGCAACGGGGTAATGGTGTTTAAGGAGACTGCGCCGTTGGTGACAAGTTGGTTGCTTGCTTGAAGGGGGGAAGTGCGCCGAGCAACTGTTTGCTCCGGTTGTGGATAAATAAAAACCCAACACCCCAAACGCCCCCTTCTCCCGCGTAGTATTCCTTCAGAGTTCCGATGAACCGCAGTTCTTCCAATTGACAACGAAACGAGTCCGACAGGATGGGCGCCTATTTCTCTATGCCGCTAGAGGATAAGGACCCCGTCTTTGTCTCACTAGGCATGGTGGTCCTGGACGAGATTCGCTTCCCCAATGGACCAGCCCTTTACAACGTTGCTGGTGGCTCAGGCCTGTACAGTATGTGTGTTTCAGCTAGGGATGGTAGTCGGTTTGCTTACTCCGTACAGGCACACTCGGCGCGCGCATGACAGACACGGCAGCCGCGCGCCCTGAGGGGGTCGGCTGTTGTGTTTTAGCAGGGAGCGATTTTCCCAATTCTGTGGAACAGGCCATCATGAGCTGGGGCATCACCGTGACAATCATAAGAGATCCCTCCAGGTTATCCACTCGAGGCCTCCTCAAATATTCGGGAGATGGCTTCAAAGGTAGGCTAGCGGCCTTGAGATGCGGTCGGTGAGGTATACTGACACTTGCGGGGCCTAGAGGGAACGTTCGAGTACACCACCCCTCCGCTGCAACCAACACCCGCTGATCTCAACGGCTCACCACTGCTCCGGTCAAAAGCTTTCCATTTTCTGGCTTCTCCGGAGCTTATGACCACGTTTGCAACGCACCTTGCTATGCTTCGTGCTTCGGCCGAAGTCGCCTCGCAGCCTCTCATAGTCTGAGAGCCAGCTCCAGCTTCCTGCATTCCGAGGAGCCAAAGTGTACATCTCCGGACAGCCAAGTTGGTGGGACGTATATTCGCCCAATCACATCGAGTTCCTGGCTACCTTTGGCTCCGGTGACGGTGACGGGCCACCGGCGGAGTTTGACCGCAAAAAGATCGAAGAGCAGGCGCTCCGAGTTTTGGAGTCTGGGGTTGGGAGAAATGGAGACGGCGCCATCGTGATCCGCTGCGGTGAGTATGGCTGCATGGTTGCCGCTCGTTCATACTCTACCCGATGGTTCCCAGCATTCCACGGATCATCTCGTGTTTTGTGTGCCACAGGTGCGGGAAACGCGTTTCTTGGCGGCTTCGCAGTCACCCTTAGCACTACGTCCGACCTCACCGAGGCTACCATCGCAGGCGTCGTGGCCGCGAGCTTTGTCATAGAGCAAGTTGGGTTGCCTTACAGAACAACCTCACGCCACGGCAAGGAGATGTGGAACGGAGAAGCATTCTCAGTCAGGGTTGACCGGTTTCGTACCGTACTTGAGACACCTGCCAATGAATGAGCTATTGTGGAATAAGATTGAGATAGCTTCAGCACGAAGAATTTTAGCGCCCACTCTCATCATCTGGCGGGAAGAGCCACTCATTTGGTCCTTCACGCTCGAGTTCTCTTGAGGTATGCAGCCCACCCTGCAGCTTGATACTGCTTCGCGGCTTCCACGGGGTTTGCAGAAGCGTAGATACCTCTACTAGCAATGATGAAGTCCGCGCCACGTTCGACCGCGCTCGCGGGTGTCTGATACTGCTGATCCAACTTGTCGCCCTGGCTTGCCAGGTTTACGCCAGTGGTGAAGACCAGAAAATCTTCATTCTCGTCCGGCTGAGCCTCACCGAGCGCCCTCGTTGCGACAAAGCCAATCATGGATCGTGGGCACTTGCGGGCTATGTCGATGCATTTCTGAGTGTATGACCCGGTGGCCAGGCTACCCTTCGAAGTCATCTCCGCCAAGATCAGAAAGGCCCTCTGCTCGGGAAAGGGAAAACTGGGTGCCGTCACAATCTGATCTAGCGCCTCAACGATTCCATCCCCGCCCAGGACGCTGAGGTTCACGATGTCGGCCCATTCCGAGAGGCGTAAGACGCCGCCGTGGTACTGTTTCTGGACAGTGTTGCCGATGTCCACGAGCTTGCGATCTTCGAAGATCAGAAAGTTATGCTTCTTGGATAACTCCTTGAGCCCTTGAATGGTCTCATCACCAAAGTCCGCGACCACATCGACATGAGTCTTGAACACGGCAATGTAAGGTCCAAGGCCTAGATGGCGTGCAACAAGGTCAGTATCAATAGCAACGATTAGAAGCGACCGGGGCACATGTGAAAGTTGACGAACTATCAGCGCATTGAAGCAGGCTCTCGCTATCGGTCAGATCTGCGGATATCACCAGATTGGATTTCTTGGTCTCGGCGATCTGAAAGAGTCGTTTGGCAACAGGGTGGGGGTGAGCGACAGCCCGCTCCGGAAATGGGAGTTTCGAGAGGGAGGCCATAGCTGAACTGAAGTTTTGCGTGAAAATAGTTCGGAGTATTAGACTTCGGTGCGCGGTGACGCTGTCGGAGTTGTCAAGTGGGTAGGCAGGTAACCTTGCTAACTTCTAAACAGAGAGCTTTTTGTACTGCGGTACGGAGGTTTGGTAGGTGAACTGGCTCAAATCCCTTATCGCCCCACCACACTCGCGTTAAAATCATTTTTTGCACTAACCGAATTGAATTAGGCACACATTTCGACAGTTCCCTTCATCGACTTCCACACGTTGATAATCGAGAATCGCTTCGCCCTGCTCTCAATCAATGCAGCGGTTTGCTGGTCCAGATGGCGGCGGGCTCGCCGTAGAGCGCCTTCAGGTGACTGGTCGATATATATCTTCCGGACCTGTCGAGCGGGGGTTTTGGTTGCGGGAAGTCTTGCGGACAGTGTGATCGAACACGACAACTTCTATCGCTCCGGGACATTGACCGAGGAGTAGAGCCTTAACATGCGGGATGTACCTGGCTGAGATGTGAAGATGGTTGTTGAAATCAATGCCATGTCTTTCTCCGGATGTTGAAAGGTTTAGCCCAGAAAACGCACCGGGGAGGGCGGCGAAAGAATGCATGCACAGCGTAAAGTCGGATTCTCGCCCTCGGATATCTTGGATGGTCATTACGGCACGGTGGTGCGCGTAGTTTCTGATTCCGGGGGCATCCGAGGTTTCGGCAATGTAGGAGGGAGCCTCGCCGTTCAAAGGCTCGTGGTAGAAGCACAGATTTCGGCGTATGGCGCTCCCACTTTCCGGTGGTACCATCTTCATGGGAAGCCTTCAAGCTAGGTTGGAACTACCAAACTGAAGAGAATTGGGGTTATTTCACAGGCCGTTCACAGGCCTGGAACGAACAGACTTGGGCATATAGAATCGCACATAGAGGTGGAAAGGGATCTTCGCGAGTCAGAGGTCCTGTTAGCCACCCAGATATCCAGGCTTGGTGACTGTTACTTTTTGTCCTACCATCTTGCGTCGCATGCTTGCCTGATGAGACGGTGGCATCCCCTTCGGCTAACCGGGCATGTCTGTTCCTGCATCCGATTGGTGCTGCGAAAGATGCGAGGCTGTGGTAGAGTACCATGGCGCCGAATCGCCGAGGACATCCTCTGGTGTCCGGGCATCGTGCCATCAATAAAAGATGGTCTTCCAACTTTCCGCTGCGCATTCTTCGCCTCACTTCATCAAGATGGCGCAACCGGGAAGATCGATGACCAGTGTACAACTCGCCCAGCCCTGAGAGCCTTCTTCATTCTCATCAGCAGTATGTTTGAAGCTGTTGGGGTTTTTGGCTTGACACTGCGCTTGACCAGTTGAATACCATTTCTATTCCATCCATTTCTTTTCTGCCGCGCAACCCACCCGTATTGAATCCAATCAAACACGCTATCTGCCAATGTGCAAGGCGTGGCACCCAACACTCGCTTCCCCATCTCTACAGAAGGCTGGCTGCCACCTCCCCAACCACGGACAGCTAGTTACATCCAACCAATTCGGAGTTGTCGGACCCGAGGAGGCGCCGCTACCTTCTCCCCGTTGCATTCACAACGAGAACGGAAGTGTCACAATGCAACCGAAGGGGGTTCAGTTCATATTGCGGAGCCATTACATGCGTGGCAACGGGCCATTGCGATGTTGGCAGGCTTTCTCAACCTCGGTTTGGTCGTGGATCCGGGCCTGCGGCTTGGCCAATGATTCCAAGGAAACCAGAGAATATTTGTATGATGCGTGTCGCTTAGAGGTTTTCACACGGTTAGGGATGGCGCATACATGTTGCATGTTCCAACGGGCGACATCACGTATCAGTCATCGGCCGCAGCGGTGGATGGAACGACGAATGATGAGTGAAGAAACTCGACACGAATTGAGACATGAGGACGAGGAATCGTGCGAGCAGCTTGAAGCGATCCTGCAGGCCTATGACAAGGCGATCTCCAACTGGCTAGGTCCCGGCTTGGACGAGTTTTGGAAGTGGTGGTGGACGACACTGGAACCTCTTCTACCAGAGAATACTATAGAACCGGGAGATCATGACATGGGTGTGTACGTGAAATGGCCCAACATCCCGCCAGAAGCGGGCGCACATTACGAAATCTGTCAGAGGGCGAGACCCCGCCCCAAGGTCGCGACCTGGAACAACGAAGCTTATGGCGTTCTTGGAACCCAGCACGTGAATTCCAGGGTGGATCTAATTGAGGAGAGTAAACAATATTTTGACGGCGTTTTCTCCGGCCGTGGTTCTGGAACACCTAATTACGCCTCTTCGGCCCGCCTGCTCTCCTGCCCCTGATCACCGTTGGCGGCGTTGTCTTCAAATTTAGCAGTTCTCGGGTAACATAATTATCGAAAGGGATGATGATGCCTTGAGTTTGGCGCGGGCTGTTGGTACTTAGTGAAGCGCGCCTAAAGCTTTTATGGCCTTCATTTCTCCTTCAGAACAAACCTCCCAACCCACCACCCATACGACCTCACCAACCGTCTTCCCATCCTCCGTGCCGTCCGAAACGGGATCTTGCCCACGGGATGCGGCTCATGGAACTGGATAGTCCGCTCTACATCCAACGTGCTCGGCGGCTGGAAGTGCCAGACCGACCCATACAGCTTCTCCGCCCGGAATCCGACGCCGGTGGTGATGGCGTGTAAGAAGTCGGTCCAGGAGACTTCTCCGGGAGTGGACGTCACGGCGGGGCTGAAGAAGAGAGCACGGAAGACCTTGAGTGCGCGGGCGTCGACCGCGAAGGTGGGTTGGGCGTCGAGGAGGTTGTCGGGGTTGAGAGTAAGGGTGTTGAGGCGGGCTTCGACGGATGGCGGTGGATTTTGTGAGGCTGTGCCGCGGGTCTTGCCTTTGGTTTTGGATTGGGATGCGGCTGGTGCAGAGGTTGACCTTGGCGGATTTTCTAGTTCGAAGTACAGAGTTGAGAGAGGACGGTAAATGGAGTCGTTATCGATTGATACTGGAGCTGATTTCGATGTCTTTGTCTTGTCGGGGACGGCCGGGGCAACCCATCCTGGTGCTCGCTGCAGGGTGCGGCCTCGAGAAAGCAACTTCCGCAACGCGCTTCTACTAATATCCCCGGCCTTTGCATTAAGAAAAATATCGATCTTGCCCCAAAATGCATCAAGGTTGGCCTCAGCTTGCCGCAAAGCGTCGACAGTCTCCTTAGTTCGGCGCTTCTCGACGGGGTAAAAGAATCTTTTGTCTCTCGGCTCCGCAAGAGTGAAGCTATCGCACACAGGCCGTGACTTGAACATCCTCAGGACGCCAATCCAAGTGTCCTTCCAAGCCTCAAGGTCCTTGTTAATGCTTTTCTCTCTGTCCATCAGAGCACTCTCATATCCGTTCGCCCACGGCTGGTAAATGTTGACCTGCCGAAGACACTCGCAGAGGATGGACAAGTCACCGATACGTCCAGCGATGTAGCCAGACACCAGTTCCCGGGCCCGCGGCTCTGTGCTAATCAAGCGCTCAAGCTCATCCACGATATCCGGCAATCGGGCCAACAAGAGATTCTGGCCATCCTCCCACAAGGTCTGCAGAAGCCAAAGTAGTTCCCCTTCCACCTTGGCTTTCTTGTGACCCGGCTTGCCCTGGATCAGGATCATCTTGATATCTTGGGCAGGCTGGCGAACAAACCAACTGCGCAGTGGAGGCGAGGCCACGACACTCGTCTTGAGGTCGTTCAGCCATTCTTTGGCAAGCTGGTTGATGAAGTGGCGGAAGCGTAGGATTCCTAGGAGATAGTCTTCCGGCAGGTCTTTGAGCGGCGAAAGTTTGCCCTCGTACTTGGCCTGGAGTTTTCTCAGCTCTTCGGCCTGGCGCCGCAGCTCGGAGAATACTTCGAGTTGAACGTGGGATGATAGTAATGTGTTGCCAATGACACGCTCCCAGAATACGGACATTTGGCCCTTGAAAACTGGATGGGGTTGTCCGCGAGTGTCGGGGATCAACTCTTGTCTGTGCTCGCGGTAGATCAACATCTGATCGGAGAAATAACCGGGATCCTCCCTCAGAGCCCAGATACTATTATGCCACACACGTCAGTAAACAAGTCGATGAATACCAAGGCGGTGACCATATGCATACTCATCTTCACACGCCGAGGCACGAGCTGCCAGAAGCGATTCGATCCGCCCAAAGTCAAGGCTCCCAGGCCGACGATAAGGGGCTTCCTCAGCCATGACAGCCAGCGAGGCGAACCCCTCCGGTTTCACGCCCGACTTCAACTCCGGCTCCGGTTGAATCGGATGCTTGTCCGAGAGCAGCTCCGCCTTCGGAATGTCGTGCAAAAGCTGCTCTTTGGCCGGAGTAGATCCTCCTCGTTGATATAAGGCGAATAAAAAGCCTCCTTGTACTTGGTGCCGGCGGAGCGCTGGGCCTCCGATTCCTTCCGGAACGCCACGAAGTCAGGTCAATGCGTGGTCGGCAACTTTTCCCACGCGGCCTTCAAGATGGTGAGACGCTGCTGTTTCGTCTTTTTCGTCCAGCGCTTCTGGATCGTGGCCTCGTGCCGGTCTAGGATCCCGCGAAGGCGGGCTTGGCTGGTGAAGATGGCCTTGGATCGCTCTGCGCAGAGGCGTTGGACTTTGGGAGCCTCCATCACCTCTGGGAGGGGCAGCGCCCCGGGGTTCCCGGCGCCCATGGCTTTAAGGAAGCGGAGAGGGTCGTCTTCTTCTCCCCAGTCCTTGCTGTCGAGGTCGGGTGGACCGCCGGGGAAGGCCCCGGCCAGGCCCGCGAGCCCGGCGGAAGGGTCGTACGTGTGGTCGTTGCGAGGTTGCATGGTTGTTGACGGTCTTGTTTTCAAGAGCTTTTGTTTGAAGCGGTTGTGTGTTTGTTTGTATTCATGAAGCAGGGGTTGGAGTTCTGACGGCCGTCGTTCGTTTACACACCGCCGGAGCGGGGATGACCCTTGTTGGCCGGAGCACGTTAAAGGATAGGAAGGTTCAACTGACAACGACCTTCCAAAGCAGTATAGATTAGTTACGTAGAGTAAAAGAGAATTTAGATGTCCGTTATCCTAAAATGTGGACGAAGGAGGTGCCGCAACACATGTAACCCTAACCCTGGCAAACACCATGCCCCTTTTCAGTCGGATCCATCAGTTCAATTGGGCTCAATCAACACCCTAGTCAGATCTATGTTGGGTTGTCAAGAGGTAGTATCGAGGCCCCAAGAAAACGCTCGCTGCCTTACCATGCAGTGGGTGGTTAAGGGTTTAGTCGAAGGGTACCTCTGGTTGGTTGTTGGAGAAAGGGGCTCGAGAGACCAAGATGTTTTGTTAAAGTTGTGACTAAAGATTTAGGTTAGAGAACTCTGAGAACCTGAACTTGAGTACATCACTGCCACGATGCCCGTCCTATATTTTGCCTTTGCCACTCGCAATTGCCAACTTCGCTATGATCCGTAACAATAGCTAGCCCTTGTCAGTTGCAAGGCGGTGAATGTGGCTGGAAACTGTGCAGGAGGACAACATTCCCGTACAAAAATAAAAATTTTAGTTGACCCGTCTTTAACAGCATTTTCGGAGAAGTCCCCGTTCAACGCCCGTATCGCGCCCCTGAAACGGCAGGTCCCGGTGCTTCGGGTGATGCAACAGGGGGCGCATACCGTCGGCTTGTGGAGCCAAGGGCCTAGGCGTCCCGCCGAGAACGTTTTTGCCCCCCACCACCGAACATCTCCTCACATTTGTCCGCTATTTCGCCATCCTCGGCTTCACAATTTGTCGCCTCACTGGTATTTCTTCGAGACATAAACCTCGGACGATTTGGAGCCCCCCCGATTGCCTCGACATTTGCCGATCGGTCACACGGTTTTCATCCACTGACAAGATCATACACGGACCCCGCCGAACGAAGAGAAACCCAGTACCACCGACACGATGGCGGTCCCGAACGGCCAAATTCCCAAGTATGAGGCGCGCCCACCAGTGCCAATTCTCGAGGCGCCCAAGCTAAGCGTCAAGCTGTCAGCCACGGAGCTTATCGGCAACACCCCGCTCGTTCGCCTGAACAAGATTCCCCAGTCGCTCGGTATCGAGGCCGAGGTGTATGCCAAGGTGGAGCTCTTCAACGCCGGCGGCAGTGTCAAGGACAGGATAGCGCTGCGCATGGTTGAGGAGGCCGAGAAGAGCGGGAGGATAAAGCCTGGCGATACCTTGATTGAGCCCACCAGCGGCAACACGTAAGTTGCACATTCATTCCTCGTCGTTCTTGGCAAGCTGCGGGGTTATCGCTGACCATATGTTTCGCTATGATAGTGGTATCGGTCTTGCTCTGGTTGGCGCAATCAAGGGCTACCGTACGATCATCACCCTCCCCGAGAAGATGTCAGCCGAGAAGGTGTCGGTTCTCCGTGCCCTGGGCGCTACCATCATCCGTACGCCGACCCAGGCTGCCTGGGACGCCCCCGAAAGTCATATCGGTGTTGCGAAGCGGTTGCTCCAGGAAATCCCGAACTCCCATATTCTCGACCAGTACACAAACGAGAACAACCCGCTTGCGCATGAGTTTGGTACGGCAGAGGAGATCTGGGCGCAGACCGGGGGCAAGGTGACTGCTGTTGTGGCTGGCGCGGGTACTGGTGGCACTATCTCTGGTCTTGCCAGAGGGTTGAAGAAACACGATAAGAACGTCAAGGTCATTGCAGCGGATCCTCACGGAAGTATCCTTGCGGTGCCTGAGGCGTTGAATGAGGAACAGGCCAACATCCCTTACAAGGTGGAAGGCATTGGGTATGACTTCATCCCTGATGTGCTGGATCGTGAGCTGGTCGACAAATGGTACAAGACCGACGATCGGGAGTCCTTCCAGCTCGCCAGGCGCCTCATCGCTGAGGAGGGTCTCCTGGTTGGTGGTTCTTCCGGCAGCGCGCTGGCCGCTGTGCTAAAGGCGGTCAAGGACTTCAAGCTCGGCAAAGGGGACGTCGTCGTCGTGATCCTCCCGGATAGCATCCGCTCGTACCTTTCCAAATTCGCGGATGACGACTGGCTCGCTGCCAACGGCCTCCTCCCCGACGACTCCGACAACATTACCGTCTCGACACCGGCTGCCAAGACACCCGATAGCCCGGTCCTCGCCCGGAACCGCAGCCTGAGCAACGCCGATGCCTACGGCGGCGCAACCGTTCGCGCCCTTCGCTTGAAGCCCGTATCGTCCGTCACGACGACCAGCTCCTGCTCCGAAGCGATCGAGACCATGCGTGACAAGGGCTTTGACCAGCTGCCTGTGCTTGCGTCTGCGGGTGGGAAGCTTGCTGGGCTAGTCACGCTCGGTAATTTGCTCAGCTACATCTCTCGTGGCCGTGCCAACCCCCAAACGCCTGTGAGTGATGTGATGTTTGACTTTGGCCGCATTGATGAGGTCGTGACGGACCCGAGAATGTTTGGATCCGATCTCAAGGGGAAGCAACGCAAGTTTATCGAGATCACCATGGACACGCCGCTTTCGGCCCTGAGCAGGTTTTTGGAGTGGAACAGTGCGGCCGTTGTAACGGAGGGCGGCCAAGGCGAGGTGTCGAAACCGGTTGCAGTAGTGACCAAGGTTGATTTGTTGACCTGGATGGTAAGGCAAAAGTCTTGAGGCATACGCACAGAGTAGGAGGTTGGGTAGAGTATATTGCTTCCCTTTGTCGTTAGCATTTTATGGCATTGTGGGAGGGGAACCGAGACTTAACATCTATGGTTGGGTTGGTTTAGCAACGGCGTGTTGGAGATAAAGGGTTCAACCCGGGCAAATTAGGAGTTGGTGTCAGCGTCGTTTAATACCCACGCATAAACAGAGATCTCATTACACAGCCATGATAGTATTACATTGTTCGCTACATGCACTTTGCCCCTTCCCCGGGCCATCAATTAATGCCATAACCCGTGTATTACCATCCATATCAATCTATCGCACATCTAGACCCGGTCCCCAATCCACCGCCACCACTTCTCAGCACCAGGTCCATCCCCAAACACATTCCCGCCTACCACTTCCACCTCCACATCAAACTCCCTCATCTCATCAAACGAAAACTTCTCCGCCCCATAACTTCCCAACCACCCCTCCTCCTCATCACCCCCAGGGCCATCCAACGCATCTCCCTCACCCGAGTCCAACAACCCCTTACTCCTCGTCTTCCGAATCCGGCCCAACTCCCCCTCCAACTGGCTCTTGACCAACCCCGCCGGCAACGCCGTGAACAAGTCCAACTTATTCGCCGCCACAAGCACCGGGACACTAGCCGGGGCGCGGGCACCGCCGCGGCGCTGGCGATCAAACCGTTGCTGCAGCGTCAGGAGCACGTCGTAGAGGTATTCAGCGGTCGATGCCAGCGAACCGGAGTCGGAGTCTGCCAGCGCCGCGGCGTCGACGACGAAGACTAGGGCCTTGAGTTTCGATTTATGGGTTTCGCTGCTGCTGCTTGTGCTGTTCTTGTTGTTCTTGGATGAGAGGGAGGCGGAGAAGGCGGAGGGCACGATGGTCGGGTTGGGACGGGACAGGGCGGTGAGCGCGTGTCGGCGGAGTTTGGGATGGCCGGGGGTATCGACGAGGAGGAATTTAGTCGCTGTCGCGCCGGCGGCGTCGAGGTCGGTGGTGTAGCTGTGAGCGGAGGGGTCCGAGGACACGGCGAGCTCGACGGTTGATGGGGTTTGCGAGGTGTGGGTTCTTGCGACGGGGGTCGGGACGGAGGGTTTTCCGTCGTCGGTGGGGGAATTGGAGGCGGGTTGGTCGGGTTTGTAGAAGGGGCCGCGCTCGAAGAGGGTGAGGAGGGCGGTTTTGCCTGCTCCTGATGGGCCGAGGAGGAGGACGGAGGGGAGGGTCGTGTAGGGTGTTGTTGCTGAGTAGAGAACGTGCAGGAGGACGGGGACTAGGAGGACGATGAGTAGTCCAATGGTGATTACGGTGGGCGAGGGTGTGAAGGCCGCTTCAATGAAGCCCTTCAGCGTGTCGAGGATCGTCATGGTCGTCGTTGGTGGTTTTGTCCCTGGGTTGCGTTTTGCGCCGCGAAAAAAAAGAAAAGAAGAAAATACTGCTTGAGTAACGACGAGGACAGACGCCGCGAGTCGAGAGACCAGGCTGGCTTTATCGTCTGAGGATAAGCATAAATTCGTTCTGGCGTGATGCGGCTGGCAGAGTTCCGGTTGAGTTAAGTAGTTACCGGGTCGTTAACATCCGGTCGTGATCGGATCAGCTCATGCACTGTAGCTGCCGATGCAGATTGCGGATCCTCCAGGAGTTGGTTACGTAGCAGTTGCTGTGCGTGGATGCCAAGACTTTGCTCTTGCGCCTTTGACGGAGACCGGGGTTCAGTTCACAACCCCAGCGAGTTGGTAGTTCCACAGTCCGGGCTCTCTTGCGTTGAGTGTGAAGATGTTCGGGGCCCGGAAGGCCAAATTCTGCCCACCATTGCCGGTACCTAACCATGTAAGAACTCCCGGCCCAGGTGACAATGGAATGCTTGTCTTGCTTCCTGGGGTACATTGAACTGCAACAAAAGCTTCGAGATTTCCGCTTTGCACTTTTGTCTGAACCCAGCCGGCCAAACCGAGATGCCAAGGCACCCACTTAGTGGGTCTCAGCCCTGCAACGGCCCCTGGGAACCGAATCAGATGCGAGCCACACGAGGATTCCAGCGCTCAGCCTCGCTAGTTCACCAGACTCCTGGGCCATCGACGGGTAAGACGGCCTTTCGTGGGCGGTCGTTGATTTTATGTTCCCATTCTGGGTCCTTCTCAAAAAGCGAAACTGAACGCCCTCGCCGCATGGTCGCCTTCTTCGGTCCCAACCGTGCAAACGATCCTACGGCCCCAACGCAAGGCTCCTCATTTGGCCCCCGTGAAACAACGGTCATCGGTGCAGTTCGGTTGCAAGTCGTCATGCAGTTGCTGTAATTCCGGCGCTAATCCTCAACCCTCCCTGATACCCAGACTTTGTCCCATTCTTCTCTCCTGCGCCTCGTCAACCCATCCGATCTGCTGAGCTGAAGGAAGAAAAAGGACGGGAGAACCACGATCGAGAGTCAAAGATTCACTAAGGACCGAGAACAACAAGTCCGAACTTGGCGCACACCGATCATGGCGCAACAAGACTCCTCCGGGCCACCGTCTTCGAGCGGTGCGCCGGCGCAACCCCCCTCGAAATCGGACACAGCTACCCCCAAGCTGAATAACGAGGTGGAACTCGGCGACATGCCAGACAATTCCGCGCAGACCGATATTATGCAGATGGCACGACTAGGAGATATGGTTGGCATGGAGAAACTCTTCGAGACGGGCGACTACGATGCGACCTACACCGACGACGAGGGCATCACCCCGTTGCATGTGCGTGCACTCTCCTCCCTATCCCCCCCCCAGACCTGGCCAGCGACTAACAGAACACCTCACAGTGGGCAGCGATCAACAACCAATACGCCATGTGCAAATTCCTGATCGAACGCGGCGCACCCATCAACAAAAAAGGCGGCGAGAGCATCGCAACGCCCCTCCAATGGGCCGCCCAACGCTGCCATTACTACACCGTCCACCTCCTCCTCCAACACGGTGCCGATCCACTCATCACCGATGCCCAAGGCTACAATACCCTCCACATCAGCACCTTCAACGGCAACCTCCTCCTAATCCTCCTCCTTCTCCACCAAGGAATCCCCGTCGACGTCGAAGACTCATACGGCCACACAGGTCTCATGTGGGCAGCATACAAAGGCTTTCCCGCATGCGTGGACGCTTTCCTGCGCTGGGGTGCCAGCGTGCACGCGAAGGATGAACAAGGGTTCACGGCGCTGCACTGGGCGTTAGTGAAGGGCAGTGCGGGGTGCATCCAGAAAATTATCGAGTACGGCGCGGACCGGTTCGCGAAGACAACGACAGGCAAGACGCCCTCTATCACGGCGCGCGAACTCAACACGGCTGCTGCGTGGCATAAGGCGTTGTACGAGTGCGGGTATGACGAGGAGGGCAACGCTATTGTGCCGAGTTGGCCCGGGGCAGGGTATTTGCTCCAGGACCGGAGGGCGTTTACGACGAAATTCTTCTTCTTGTGGCCATTTTTGCTGGTCTGGGGGACGCTGGTGTTGTTTGCAGGATTGCCGGTCTATGCGGGCGTTCCGTTTGGGTTTTTGGCTGCGTACACTGTGCAATGGGTGGGCCAGCAGCTGCTTACCTATGCGCCGCCAGACATGAGGCAGTTTGAGAAGACTGTGGGTCTCTCCTGATTGGGGATGATGAATCGTTGGGGCATTGCTAACCGTTTCACAGCCTTGGATGGCCGGTATCTTTGCGTCCTCCTTGACGCTGGTAGGCGTAAACTGGCTGTTCACCATTTTCCCAGGCACCAGTTTCGGTGACGGTATGTCAAGGCGGTTACCCCTTTTCGCTAGTTCAGCTGACTGACACGCCCTACAGAAGGAACATGGCTGTGGAACTTTGTCTTCGCGGTAGCCTTCGCTCTCACCGGATTCTTCTACACCCGTGCCATGGTGGACGACCCCGGGTTCGTCCCGAAACTGAACGGCATCGCTGAGCAAAAGGCCGTTATCGACGACCTCATCAAGGAGTGGAAGTATGACGAGTCGCACTTCTGCGTAACGTGTATGATCCGTACGCCGCTGCGTAGCAAGCATTGCCGCCGGTGCCAGCGTTGCGTCGCGAAGCATGATCAGTAAGGTTTCCGGAACTCTTGTGTTTATGTGAACTTCAAATTCTGACTAATTCTCGCAACAGCCACTGCCCGTGGGTCAACAACTGTGTGGGTATCAACAACCATCGCCACTTCTTCATTTACCTCATCAACCTGACCATTGGCGTGCTTGCCTACGATGTGCTTACCTACCGCTGTGCGTGCCCCTCCCCATCCACATTTCCCCTTCCCGCTATCGTGCTAACTAACCTATCCTAGATTTCACCGCCCTCACACCGAATGCGTCTGAGGAATGCAACGTCTTGTCCCCATCCCTCTGCCGCATCATCAATGCCGATTCCTACAGCCTCCTCCTCTCCGTCTGGGCCTCACTCCAACTCACCTGGGTCTCTATGCTCCTCTTCGTACAATTCATCCAAGTATCCCGTGCCATGACGACGTACGAGAACATGTTTGGCGTCAACACCCGCTCCGCGGCCTCGCTCGCGTCCGCTTTCACATCCACCGGCGCCCCGCTCGACCCGGCTTCCGCCGCCCCACCAACAGGTGCGGATGTCGGACCCCATGGCCCAGCTGGCCGACACGGCCACCGACACGGTGGGCTGCTGAAGCACTGGGGCAGGTTGCTCGGTGTGGACACGTTTATTGAGACAGCGCGCGGCCGGGGCGCTGCGGCTGGGGCGGCTGGGAAGAAACGGGGCGCGAACCGGAATCCGTTCAGTAAGGGGTGTCTGGCGAATTGTAAGGATTTCTGGTGTGATCCGGCGCCGGTGTTTGGGAAGCGGGAGACGGGCGCGGCCGTGTTGGGGGGTGTACCGGTGAATTACACGGAGATGTATGAGAGTCCCGCGGTTATGGAGGTGCTGAGGGGTGGGGGTGCGAGGAGAGCTGGGGGGTATGAGGCTGTTTCTGGTGAGGAGGTGTAAGTGTCCGTCTGGAAGTGTAATGTTCCATCATGGTCCGGGCTGGGTTGGTGAATAGTTCTGGATGTGCAAGGCGTATGATTGGAAATCGGTTTCTTGAACCATTGGCTCAACGGGGGGAGGAGACGGATTAGAAATCGTTGGGTCTGCGGTACCGCTGTCGATATTACCGAGCAGGTTGTTGTATAGTGGGTTCAGCATGTCGTTTTTGCGTTGGCGTTTCGCGCAAATAGAAGGGTGCTCCTTTTCGATACATATGCGCGGTGTTAAGAAAGTGATAGGGCCATTATCCCCGGCGATGCTGTGGTTCTTGAAGGAAGGGCATACGATGACGATTCGCGGACAGGGACTCGGATGACCCGGAATCCCGGCTCCCAGCCGTTTCTCCCACAAACGGCTACCGTGCTCGGGCACGGAAGTGACTCAACGTCACCCCCGGACAACAAAAAAATAAACTAACCCATTCAGGCCGAAGAAAGAAGTGGTAATACTTCCAGTCTCGGTTCTCGGCCGTCAAGACGGCCCGCCAAGATGTCCCTTGCTTACTGACGGGCAAGAGCGGCCCCGCCCTCCCCGCCCTCGCTGCCGGCAAGGCCCTCGGACTAGTGCGGTTCAAAGATGCAGGTGCGATGCAACCAGGTCCAATCCACATTTGACCACCCCCGAAGCGCAAAAAAAACATCGGCTTCTGGTCCATCGGGGCATGTCTTCTGCCGGGGCGGGATGATACATTACCCTTGCTGTTATTGGGCGGGTAATCTGTCGAGAAAAAGGTAGGAGCATGCGTACCGGATTAGAGAGAGCGCCAAGTCCACGGTTCAATACGCATGCCGAGGATGGGCAACCGACTGGCTTCCATCATATGCAGTACAGGGGGGTTCCGATCACTCATCTACTACCCTGTGCATACCTTAACGTGTTCGGATGAACTTGAGATGCGACTCCGCACGATGGCGTAACCGTTTGGATTACTGGATCGGATGAGGGGGTAGTTGGGGATCGTTATAAAGTGGTGTCGCCGCCTCGGTGATCGGTGACGGTTGAGACTGTTCAACATTCGTCACTTTCCGGTTCTATCAAAATCCATATCGACTCCTGAAACATCACCATGAGGACTCCTGCTGTTTCGGTCGTTGGCACCGCGCTGCTTCTCGCAGGAGGAGCGGTCGCTAAGCGTCACGGACAATCCGATACTACTTGTGTGGATGGCTCACTCGTGGCCCATACTGGCGATCCGCTTGGGGAAGAAGTGGTTACGAATGATAACAGTAAGCCGGAACCATCGTAACGTACCGAGAGCGCCTATGCGGTGGCTAACTTGAGTTTTAGTCACGCTGTACATCACGAAGCCCGATCAGGAGAATCAACGGGCTAAGGCAAGAGCGGGCACCGCCGTGTTGTACCTGTCCGACGTCTTCGGCCTTGCCTTGCCCGAGAACAAACTGTTCGTCCACCTCACTGTTTACAGCCGGCCTAAGAAAATCTTGTAATTATCTCTCGCTTGAACTACTACTAACCCATCCCAGCCTCGCGGACAGCTACGCGCGTGCCGGCTACCTAACCATCGCCCCCGACCTTTTCGCCGGCGAGCCAGCCCCCGGCGACATCAACGTGCCCGGCTTCAACACCACCGCTTTCCTCGCCGCCCACGAACCATCCGTGACCGACCCCATCATCGCCTCCGCCCTCACCTACCTCCGCACCGAACTCAACGTCACCCGCGTCGCCGCACCTGGATACTGCTTCGGCGGCCGGTACGCCTTCCGCCTGCTCTCCCCGTCGCCGATCGAGGGCGCCTGGACCGAAGCCATCGACGTTGCGTTCGCCGCGCATCCGAGTTTGTTAGAGAGCGGGGAGATCACCGCGATTGGCGCGCCTGTTGCGATTGCCTCGGCGGACAATGATACGTTGTTTACGGCGGAGGCGAGGGCGGCTGCGGAGCAGGACCTGTTTGGGGTTGGACAGCGGTATCAGGTGAATCTGTATTCGGGCACGGAGCATGGGTTTGGGGTGCGGGTAGATTTGACGGATGAGCAGCAGAAGTATGCGAAGGAGGAGGCGTTTGTCCAGGCGGTTAAGTGGTTTGATCGGTTTTTGGTGTAAGTCATGGAGGCTTTTGGGAGAAGATAGAGCGGGGAGTCGGAGGTTTCAGTGGTGATGCAGCCCTTAGAGTGTACATTCAAAGGGAATAATTAGTGGATCCGAGCAGTTTTATCCGTTAGAATGCTTCATTATCATGAATTAACCATTATTTCGAGAACATGATTGTCATCGTGGATATTTTAGCGTACATTCGACACAAGCACCGGAAAATGTCTCCTTTGCTTCCTGTCTTTTTCTCGATTCACTTTACATGCTTCTCCCCATCGTTAGGGATTGCATGCCGGCGTCACCCAAATAATCATCGATTAATTACCTAACGGAGTCCTCGAGGCTCCGTTGACTGACTGTGTATTGACTGGTTGGTCAACAGGCCGATGGCGATCGGGATCCAATCAACATTAAGCTTCTTATTTTGTGTGAGGCCTACTGCATACAGTTGCAGATGTGCTGCATAGTTACACAGGCTTTGATGCCTGATTTTACTTATTTTATACCGCCGAGGAGTAGCAAACGGTTCCTTGTGTTCCAATTCTTTCCTCAACTCTCAACTCTCCAATATTTACAATGGATCGCCAGCTCCCCTGGAGAACTAGCAAACCGCTTCCACGGGTGCCGGAAAAGCCTCGAGTTCAGTGCCGCTTCTATACGCAAGGAACTTGTCTGAAAGGGGCAGCGTGCCCATTCTCGCACGATGCTGTCGACAACGCAGTCCCTCTTCCGCTGGAGTCGAAACCTCAGCCAGGCCCGGCACAGCAATGCCGATATTTCGCCGCCGGCAGCTGTGTTAGGGGAAGCACCTGCCATTTTTCCCATGAACCCGCGCCATCTTCTGCAGCACCTCAGGTAGACTCATCATCTGCCCCTCCATCGCCAACCGACTCCCGAAAAGAAGTACCGTGCCAGTTCTTTGCCAGAGGGGCTTGCCGGAATGGCGGCAGTTGCCCGTTTGCACACATCCGAACGGAGAGCACTAATGTTGACCATCAACCCCCGAATGCGACTGGTGATGAGAGCCATGACGCACATGACGTTAGTTTCTTAGTTCCTAGTATCGGGTCTTGACCCTCTCAGAACTCTGGCTGACTTGATGTTTACTATCACAGGACGAGCCTGATAACGATGACTGGTCTCGAGTGTTTGGCGGAGCCATAGCACTGTTTGGGGTCGGTGCAACAGTTGCAAAAATATCTCTTCCGACCGACTTCTCCGCCGTCCTTCTCGAAAACCTGGCCGCGGACAGCTCTCCGACGTCCGTCAAGGCGCTACTTTCCAGACTCGATGTTGATATCTCTTCAGAGGATATTCGGATGATCACCATTCCGAATTCGGACGTGTGCAGTGCCAGCATCACTGTTGAGGATCCAGCGTTTGCAAAGACCCTGTGCTCCAAATTTCTCGCTGCTTACAGAAAACCGCCTGGTGTCAAGGTTACGCAAGCGCAGGTCCCCATGCCGCGAGATTCCAGTCTTCAACGTGTGGAATGCCGAAGAGTTCTGGTTTCCTGGCATCGATCAGTTCGGAATGTTTGGCTCAACTACTCCGAGGATCGGATTGCACAGAGGGTATATGACAAGTTCAACAATGGCACGTACACAATAAATGGTGCCACAGTCAAGGCAAACCCCCCAGAGAGTAGCAAAAACCAATGGAACGCTCTGGTGTGGACTGTGATGCTCACCGGCGTGGATGGAGCTGTCAACCGGCACACAATTTCCAAGGCGTTGCCGAAATCTGACACCCCAAAACACATCGAACTGGCGGCCCCAACGTACCACATGACTACCGAACAAGCTATTGCTGCGGTCGAATCAATGTTGCGGCAAATCGGACCCGTTGAGTGGCATCGGGCTTCGTCAAATTCTAAGGGAAAACGCATAAAGCTCCAAGCTCGCTTCTTTGACGAAGCCCACGCGAGAGAGGCAGCATCAGTGCTTGACAACAAACCGCTTCCGTTTAGCGAATCGGCACGGCTCACCGTGCGGTTGGCGACAACGACCAAAGTTAAGGTCTCGGCACGAATTTATGTTGCTATCAGCGAAGCACTGGCATCTCAGGGGTCCAAGTGGGAACTGGAACATGTGAAGTTTGTGGCATACCCTCCGTCCAATGGCTACCGGATGCTGAAGCTGGAGGGGGAGGATAGCAAAGCTGTCGGTGAGGCCAAAAAGACGTTGGAACAACTTATTGGCGGCCAGGTCGTGAAAGGAGAAGGTAGTGACCTGTGGCACGCCAGCCTCCGTAAAAACGGACCCGAGTCTCAGAGACTCAAAGAGATTGAAGGACGTTACGGAGTGGTGCTCGTCCGGGACTTGCGCAAATCACAGCTTCGCGTGTTTGGGCCAGAGATCAAGTGCCAAGAGGCTACTCGGTCACTTGAGAACTTGATTGCAGATATCAGCTCCTCGTCCAGCCTCGCTCATGTCATTGAGCTCGGTCCTGACGACTTCCATTGGGCGTGCAGAGGAGGGTTTCAGGCGCTCAGGGCGCAACTTGGTGATGCCAAAGCTACCTTTGATATCACCTCGACGCCGAAACGCATCCTCATTCACGGATCCAAGGCGGACTCGACTGTGGCGAGAGCCTTCATCTCTGATAGAAAAGAGAACGGGGCCAACACTATCTCATCCGACACCGCCTGTCCGGCATGCTTCTGTGACGCGGATGACCCTCTTCGGACGTCCTGTGGACACACTTACTGCTCCGAGTGCTTCTCTAATCTCTGCACGGCTGAAGGGTCAACTACCAACATTTTCCGCATCACCTGTGTCGCTGAATCTTGCAACAAAGCCCTAGAGCTCCCCGAGCTGCGAGACCTGCTCTCTTCCGCCTCATTCGAAACCCTCTTGCAATCTTCATTTGCCTCTTACATCCGCCAAAACCCAACAGAGTTTCAGCATTGCCCGACCACAGACTGCAAACAAGTCTACCGCGCCAGTAGCACCGAATCTTTAGCAACCCACACTGTCTCTCCCACCTTTACGTGCCCGGATTGCCTAGTATCAATCTGTACTTCTTGCCGCGTCTCTCATACGCCACTATCTTGTGCCGAACACCGCTCTAATCATGCTGAGGGTGCCGAATTCTCATCTGAGCAGAAGGCAAAGCTTGGTATTAAGGAATGTCCACGCTGTCGGGCCGGGATTGAGAAGAATGGTGGGTGCAATCATATTTCGTGTAGCTGCCGTGCGCACCTGTGTTGGAAGTGCTTGGAGGTTTTCAAGACGAGTGAGGAGTGTTATGCCCATTTGAATAGGATGCATGGGGGGATTTATGATGAACAAGATTTACTTTATTGAAGGGCTGAGAACGGAAGGAAAAATGGGTTTACTTTCCCGCGAATCGTCATACCACTTGCAAGTGGCATTTGTGCCATTTTGAATATCTATCATGGCATATCTCCAGCGCCTGGTATAATTGCCCCGAACGGAAGAGGGTCAAGTGGTTTTCAAAGGCCCCCAATAAGATTCATGACAGAGACTTATGGATAGCTTGGAACAAGATCCGTCTTTGCACTCAATGATCACCACTGTCCACACAGAGCCTACGGGTGCAGAGCGTAGACAACAGTTTTCAAGGCGCGTCCTTTTCGTCACTATCACCTCTCCCACTCTGCTCATAAACAAGAAAATAATCTCCAAAGTCTCCAGGGCCACCATATTCTGAATCATCCTGGATCAACTCCCGCTCCAGCCGGAATCCCAATCGCTGGTAAACCGGAACACCAGGCTTCATCGCCCGGACGAATACGTCAAGACCCAGCTTGTTAGCCTGCTCGAGACCGCTCTTTACGAGTGCCGTAGCAACTCCCTGCCGTTGATGTTTCGGATGAACGGCCAAGTAGTCAAGCCCTGATATTTGACGTTTCAGTCAGCATCCCGGACATACAACTAAAACGCGAGCCTGCAGTAATCAACGAGGCGGTCATAGCTCATACTCATGTACGTCTTGCGCGCCAATATCTCCTCCTCAATCTTCCGCGCCGGCTCCAACAGCGGATCCGTAGCGCCATCCGGATCCCACACTGCGGTCCCGGCAACGCGTTGTATCTCCTCTTCTTCCTCCGGCGTCACCCGCGGCCCTACCGCCTCGGGCCACACCACCACCGTCTGCCCCCCTTCCTCTCCGACACCAACCTCCTCTCCCCTTTCCACATTCCGGCTTGTCGTCGCATCGATCCCGACCCGGACGGCATCAATAGGAATAGTCCACCTTGCATACCCCAGTACTTCACCCGTACCATCATCAACAGCCTTTTGGTGCCGCGAGGTATCGGGGTTTCGGATCAGGGTACGTGGGTAACGCAGGGCGACTTGGGAGATGTGGTACTCGAGGGTGCGATGGCGCCATTCGAGGCGCCAATGGGGGTCGGCCCAGAAGGCGGGGATGTTGTTGGCTGCGAGGGCGGGGCCGTCGGCGATTGTTACTTGGGTGAGGGTGAAGGGCATGGTTGTGAGGCAGGGGATGTTGGTGGCCTTGGTAGTTGGGTGGTTGTCTTTTTTTTTTTTTGTTGTTTTTTTTCCTGGTTTGGATGGGGGGAGTGTTCTAGTGGGTTAAGCAACGTCGGGCCTTTGGTGAAGCAATGAGACAGGTAATTGACGCGAGGCCCTTGTGCGAGGTTCCTTCGCCCAATAATTCGTAATTCTCCCTTCTGTGAGCCGGAGATAATAATTAGTAGTAATTTCCGAGGGGCTGTGTTTTACGAGAGTCGAGAGCCCCCGGTAGGAATCCAAGTTGATTCCCAGCGTACACCCTCATGGATTAAGTTAACGGTCCTTCACATGAATAGTTCATCGTACGTCCGTCAAACATCCCGGGCTTTTCAGCGCAAATGCAGAATGTTCAACGATACTGAAAATCGATACTAACATTTACGAAGCCCAAACTCCCGCTACCAAACTAATTAATTACCGGATACAACTCAACATTTACAAATTCCCCTTCTCCAAATTGAGCCGATTTTTGACATCATAACCAGGCCCTTCAAAATGCTTCACCCCCTCCAATTCCGAAAGCCAGCCGACCCGATTCTTGGTGAAGTGTTCGGTCGTAGGCCTCAACTTAGTTTCCGCCAGGTTGAAATCATCCACGGTCCCCAGACGAAGGATGCTGACACCAGGGAAATGCTCGCCGACCCGGTACATGAGCGTGCCACATTCCGAGCAGAAATGATTGGTCATCTTCTCGCCCGAGGCGATATGCTTGGACAGTCCAAAGGTTTTGAGAAGTTCGCGTCCTCGGATGTGTTTCAGGTGAGAATCGCGAATGGTGATGTTGGCGCCAAGCATGGACGAGTGGATCTTGTGACAGTCGCTGCAGTGACAGACGAAGGAGTTGACGAGGCCCGGGGCTTCAGTCGGCTAGCCATATTGTTAATTAAAGACTGGGCAATGTCACACTGTGTAGGGAATGTCTTACAAAAGCGAGTTGTACTTTCCCACAAAAGCAAGTTGCGGTCGCTTCGCCATCCCGAGAATATCCGTCAGTGACGAGGCCAGTCGGGTGGAAGTACGGTTTGGTCTTGTCTGCGGAATTCGCCATGGCTACGTAGGGCAATACTGAAACGGCGGGGATGACGGGTGTGAAAATACAGTTGACAGTGTGTAACGAGGTAAAATGTGCTTGAGTTGGATGGCTTTAGTCTATCTATTGCAGCAAACAGTGTTGGGTCGCTGCTTCTTTAATGAACTGGAAGATATCCCAGTTTGCTGTGAGTGAATGTTCTAGTGTAATAAATTATGTCAGGCACAGCTGACTACATGTATGACACAAGCTGCAAAGCAGTCGGAGAATCTTTTGCCCATTTGGTCGACCCCTCAATTGGCCATTGTAAGCGATCCGGTTTGTGATCGTAGCTCAGGAAAATACAACTTCCGTGTGGGATTTAGAACTGACGTTGCAAGCGCCCAAATTTCTTCGATTCAGATACTTAGCGAAACATTTGTCAATTAAAGAGAATCCTGGAGAACATCACTCCCGTCAAACGATGGCTTTTTGTCAAGTTCCCGTCCAGTTCTATGGTGTGCTTAATTAGGAAAGAAGCTTTGACCGTCCCGGACGTCCTCCAACGATGATTGGCTGTAGCCAATCAAAGCGGGGAGGGACTCTTTGGACACCAGTACCAACCACAATGATCTTTGTCGTCACTACACGGTTCCTCCACCATCTGCACACCCTGCGGGGTGCGTAATGCGCAAAAGCTACTAAACTCTGTGACGATGATAGTCTCAAGCCAGAAAAAATATGGCTGTGCCAACAAATTTCGCAGTCTTACTGTGCACGACGCTCCGGACTAATGCGCCTCAGGTTGTCCATACACAGTGACAAGGCAGTGGCGAACCGTCCCCACTTATTGACCACAGCCAGCTTTTCCAGCCCGAACGAAGGCTTACACGTGTCGCGGGGGAACCGTAGAAAGCTGCACATCATCGACGCTCTCGACGAACTCGAACCTAGGGAACGTCATACACTCCTTCAATCACTTACCACGGTTCAATCCGAAAGCCCAGGCGTTCGGATATTTTTTAGCAGGTCGCGAAAGTCTCGTTGCAGAACTGAAGAATGTGGCACCTACCATTGAGCGTTTGCCAATGGCATCGCCCGAAGCGTGCGCTGATAATATTGCGTTTTACGTCAAGCGGGCGGTTCGAGATAGGATGGAAGCCCAGGAGATGGTGGTTGGTTCTCCCTCGCTCATAGTGGATATCGAAAATACACTTGCCCAGCACGCAGATGGCGTGTAAGTCCAGCGTTTTCCAACACCACCCTGATTTATGTTTTGTTAAACAAACGACCAGGTTCCTTTGGGTGACCTTCCTCCTCGATGAGGTTTGTGCGCAGCATTGCGATAACGAAATTCGCCTGGCCCTCAACTCTCTCCCTAAAACCCTCGCCGAGACCTTCAACAGGGCTCTGATGCGGATAGTCTCCCGACGCCGTGATGCTGTTGCAGCAAAAGCGTTCCGTTGGATCGCTGTCGCCAAACGGCCTATGGCTCTGGGAGAGTTACGCGATGCCATCCCCATAGAGATCGGGCAACGCAGCACAAGGTGTGATCGGCTCGTCAACGGTATCGGCCAGCTTGCGTCCTGGTTTGAGAATCTAATTCAAGTTGACGAAGTACTCCAAACAGTGCAATTTTCCCATCAATCAATCGGCCAATTCATCGTCAAAGGGTCGATGGAATCGAAAAGCGGCGCCTTTCACTTCGAGCTTGCAGCCGCTGACCATTACGTCGGTGAAATCTGCGTCACGTATCTCCACTTCACGGATTTTGACACTACTTTAGCCCGCCGGCCGCAACGTATGCACAGAGTAGATCCAACCATGATGGCGGAGGTAGCATTATCGCAAACGTGCAGCCTATCACGTGTCATTGCAACGACGGGAGTACTCTCAAATCTCTCAAAGAACCACAAACTGATCCCCGAGGTAGACGTGGTCAGAGTTTTGCTCCGCCCAGAGATTGACGATGACAACGGCCACCCATTTCTCGAATATGCCTCGGCATACTGCGTTTCACACACGAAGGGATTTCGGGAGACATCTCAGACTTGGAAGCTGTGGCGATAGATGATCCTCCATGGTCACAAGTTGGCAGATCTTCCGTGGCCGGAGCGATATCCGTTCGATCCTCAAAATGAGGGACTCCTATATTGGGGCTTGCATAGCCAACATATGGGGCTTCTGCGTGTTGTTTTCAGTTTTCCCAGAGTAACTGAAGCCTTAAAACGAGCTTATCTCACTCGTTCAGTAATTGGTGGCTATACCGAGTTAGTGGATGTGGTCCTGGAGAGCGGGGTATATACGGAATGGGTAGGCGGCGCGCTGGTTGAGGCTGCTCACGTCGGTCAAGACAACGTCGTTGAGTACATACTTGCAACCGGGGTGAGAAACATCAATCCCGCACATATCCACAGGGCGCTGTGGCATGCTTCGGAGTCTGGACATTTGGGGGTTCTTGATCAAATATTGAGAACAGGGATTGATCTAACAAGTGAAGTTTTTCATGAATATTCCCCGCTACAGCCTGCCTCGGAAGTTATCCACCGCCAGATTGTCTGGAAGCTCTTCGAGGCTGAAGTTGACCTAGAGGTTGGAATCGGCGGCAGGTCCCCACTCGTTGTTGCGGCCGGAATTGGTCACGCAGGGATTGTCAAGTGGCTACTAATCGGAGTCGATCTCAACCGACCAGATATTGTCCAGCAAGCGCTACTCGCCGCCTCTTCGGGAAATCATAGCGACACTATTTGCGTGCTCCTCGACGCCGGGGCCTACGTGCACGCTATAACCGACAACAGGACACCCCTCATGGCCGCCTCAACGGAGGGATGTCTCCACGCCGTCGAGACACTTTTATGGAGGGGCGCAAACGTCAATTTGGTGGCCGGCGGCCGAACCGCACTTGAGGAAGCTTTAAGCAACGGTCACGCAGATGTCGCTGATCGGCTGGTGAGAGCTGGCGCACACGAGTCCTTGTCGTCTTAGAAGCAAACCGAATCATTGTACTCGGAACAAGCCTAACTAGGACTGGCCAAGATACGTCTAAAAGCTAAGGGAAAGAATAATTACTGCACAAAGATGGTTAGAGCAGCGCGAGAACAAGAAGTATTGGGGCCGAGTCATCGACCCCAACGGACGAACTGAGGCGGAGGAAAGTTCAGGGGGCGGTACGTCCGCAGAACGCGAGAGGAGGTAGCTGAGTGACTGAGACTCTCGGCTTATACAAATCACACGAAGCTTGTGCGATAATTACATCTGATTAGTTACTCCGACGCTCAGTCATCTGTTCCCTATATCCACATCCTTCCTTCCATCATGCCCCGATGCTCCATGTCCGCATATCAGAACTCAACCTTCGTCTTCACAATAGCAACAAAGTCTTCGACGTCCTTCAAAAAAGCTTCAGGTTCCTCAAAGGCCGCAAAATGCCCTCCCTATGTGACGGTCAGCAAATCCGTTACTCATCAAGCATCGGAGAGAGGGAATTCAACTGCGACGTACCTTTTCATGCGCGTGGTACTGCACCAGGTTCTCCCCAAACCAGTGCTCGAGCCACGAGCGGGCCGCTGGCAACACCTCCTGCGGGAAATAAGAATATCCAACGGGCTTGTTAGTAATGGCCAACGGCGAGGGGAGCTTGCCCGCAACGTCCTTCAGGACGCCTTCCCAGACCGAGCGGTACGACCACAGCGAGCGGCTGAACGACTTGGTGTACCAGTACCAGGAAACCTGGGTGAGGATGAAATCGATGGGGGTCGGGGCGGCTTCAGAGAGGAGTCCACCAATCCTGCAGAGAGATTGGTGTCAGTTATTTGGACGGGTGGTTAAAGGGGTGGATAGGGGTAGCGTACCATGAAAGGAGGGCGACCGGACTACTTCCCAGAACTAGCGCGATGGTGGACGGTTTGGTTCCGTGCTCGAACATGTAGCCGGTGCCGGAGTACGCAAACACTGTACTCGCGGCAAGAGAGGTGCTTTCCTCGGGGGTGACGGGAAGGTCAGCGACAGACGCGATTTCCGATGGTCTCAAGAGGAGGTTGTTGACTAGATTGTCAAGATTCGTCAGTATCACAGTGACAGCTTCGGGATGATAACACAAGCCCCCCAAGAGGCTCGTGGGATGAGGAGAATGAGGAGACCTACACAAGACAGCCTTGACCTCATCATGCTTCGCTCCAAGCGCAGCCGTAATCGCCGTGCCAACATCACCACCCTGCGCAACATACGCATTGAACCCCAACGACTTCATCAACTCATTCAACGCCTCAGCCGCCTTATAATAATCCAACTCCGTCTCCAGCAACCCATCCCTCGTCGACGGCCCATAATCCGGAATCGACGGCGCAATCACATGATACGGCAGTGTCTTCGGCGTATACTTCTCCGCCAACAACTCCAACACACCCACAAAATCATGCCACCCGCTCGGCCAACCATGGGACAACAACACCGGCACGGCGTCCTCGCGCTGAGAGAAGAGCGCGCCAAAATGGAAGTTGAACACCTGTCCGTCCGACGGGGCCGTGACGTTGATCGTGAACTGGGGCACGGCGTTCCAGCGGGCTTCGTGGGCGCGCCAGTCGTAGTCGTGCAGCCAGGTGTGGGCGGCCTCGGCGATGTAGTCGCGGGACGCGCCGAAGGCGAAGTCGGCGCCGTCGGTGTAGTTGTGGGTGTTGTAGAAGGAGGGGGGGTCCAGGGGCGCGTGCTGGACGAGGGTGCGGAGCTGGTGGATGTCGTGGTTGGGGATGTGGAGGGTGAAGGGTACGGGGGTGCCGGGGATGCCCGCGGGCACGAGGCCGAAGTCGGGGTTGACCATGGTGGTGGATGGGAGATGGATGTGGAGGGGTTGTGGTGTTGTGGTGTCCTTGACTGGAGTCAATGGACTGGGGAGGAGATATTCAAGCCTAAAATCGGACGGGGCCGTGGGTTTTAAAGGAGATCCAGCATGACAAACAGCAGGCAGTCGCGTAAACAATAACACCGCGAAGTGGTATCCATGATGTGATTCTTGATTATAATAGCAGCTCCGAGCTCGAACGCCGTCGTCGATTTGTCAAGGCCGATCCTGCGACTTTTCATAGCGTGGGCGTCCACGTGTAGGGATCTTGGCAATCCTTTGCTGACGCCAAGTCGCTCGCGTACCGAATACATCAAAGAGATTTCGTCCTAATAGGGTTGCTGGTGGTCTCCGCATTTCGGAACTTCCGGATGTCGTCGCTCATTGCCCCGGCCGAGCCCGGGTTGTTCGTCAGCACCAAGCGTTGATTGGCCCGAAGCCGGCCCGCAAGCTAAGTCCGACGATGCCTTCAGTTACTTTCCGTTTTGGGTTATACGACGGGAGGGAATTCCCCAGCCCGTCATGACAACGGCGGATAACGGGCGGCGTCCACTCCAATCCCTGTGCATTGCTGGTGCACATGGGGTTGCAGCCGGGTATGTGGGTTAAAGCTTGAATGTTTTCTTTAATACCTTGACACCAAGTTATTTAAACTGCCGAATGCACGGAGTAATCAGTAATCATAAAGGTACTGAAGACTACTATCCGAGGTTCTCTTCTCCACATTTTCCATCGGTCATGCAGCTAGCTGAATGCTTCTCAAAAAGCTTCCAAAAAGATATACATGGACTACGAGTTCCGATCTAGGTGTGCTGTATGAGTGTTCGATGGCAGAGGCCCAGTTTATAGCGACTGATTCATCCTAATGTCCACCCTAGTCTAATGTATCGATTCCTATCCTAACGACCGCTGAGATGCGACCTGCACTACCGAGCCTCCACGAGTATCAATCAATCTCATACAGAACGCGAAATTCAATGTAATCATTCTGATCAATACGAACGAGAGTACCGCTGTCGACCAGCATGCCGTTCAATGGCCCAGCCGCCCTTCGCGTATACTCAGTGCCCTTATGAATCCTGGTGTCCTGAGAGCCCCGCTTGGTGAGTCCATAAGATGCACAGTCGTTTGTCGAGGCTATGCAGGAAAGAACTTCAGCAGCTGGAAGTAAGCCCCGTCCGTCGTGGGATGTTGCGGAACGTTCATGCCCAACTGGCCCTGCTGTTGGAGATATAGCAGAAGAGTTGACGTCCAGTCCAGTCTGACTACGCATTTGCACACGAGTACTCCACTTTCTTTTCCTTACACCTCATAGACGCAACCTATAATTGAGTTGGTCGACGCTGTGGAACATTAGAGTGCCCTATGCTGAGAGGATGGTCCTTAAACATACCTGACAGGAAAGTTGTCTTTCCGTAAGAACTCTAGAATTTCGCTAAGGGTGTGGTCCTTGTACCACTGCCGTATTTTTTCTTCGTATTTTCCCCAATCGTCCGCCGACGTTTCGAGAGCCATTTTCTGCGAGATCTGGAGTCCTATGCTAAAGGTTCATGTGGAGATTAGTTCACTGCTTGCGTCCGCTCGAGACCTGGCTGCATGCTGTCATATACAAACACAGTATAGTTAATTATTGCAGGGTCTTCGGGCATGCTATGATATACCAACTGCCCAGTCTAGCCACAAACTAGGTGGTGGATGTACATACCAGTGAGCGTCCGCAGTCCAGAATTCAGGATGTGGGAGCGCAATAAGAGGCCACAGCCGATTTGTCTACTTGCCCGACACGAGGCGGGTGCCGGCCGTGACCCAGGCCACGGCTGGTGTTGTCAATCCGCAACGAAGGCCCTTAGCGCCCGGGGCGATGCAGAGAAATCCAGGCTTCGGGCAGCCGTGACCCGCGGGAGCGGGCGGCGACGAAACGCAACGAACAACCAAGACAACGCAGATAAGGTTATTGACAAATACCGGCGAACAGACGAACAGGGCTAGTTATACACACATAATTGGGACCCACCAAAGCCCTGGCTACGCCCACCGAGCGGCACCCAGGCACGTGCCAGGGAAGCCGCACTTATGGCTCAAACAGGGCCGAGTTCCTCCCCATGCTGAAACTCTGGCTTCGCACGCCACAAAGCTTTCGCTACCTGCTAACCGACCTGCACGCCGTCCAAACGTCGTGGTAAGCCCCTCCAGGATAGCCTGAATTGAAGATCTATCAATCAAAGAACCGTAAACTACCAAAGCCAGCAGATCCAGCAGCCGGATTTTGATGATCCACCAAATCAACGAGCCGTAATTATACTACGAAAGCCAGCAATTCCAGCAGTGGAAGCACCATATCCGACAGCCAATCATACACCCCCTTGCCACCCAAACTAGCGGATTTCGTGTCCCCGAGATCACCTCGACCAAACCAACTTTGCGACTGCTTTGTGACAAAACGAACGACCTTTCTGTCGGCCAGTGTGACCGCCGATAGAAATTTCATTCCCCCCTGCACGCGTCGCCATGAACGGCGGAGTTTCCAAGCCGTGGACCCGCCGCTCTCGTGCGGAAATATCCAAAGCCTTGCAAGGAACGCTACTGGACGCTGTTACAAACAACGCTGCAGGTGTGCATGCCGATGTCCCCGGAAGACTCGTTAACTCATCACCCTTCAGGTACAGAGCCTCCGCGGAGCCACCGAGAGCAGTCTCGGGAGAGTGGAGATCTCGCCGGAGACGTGACGCCGGTACAGGCTCGGAAGGGGCGACTCGACATGACAACGGAAAGCGATCCGGTACCTGCGAAGCAAGCCCGGTTGACATGGAGAGACTCACAACCGCCTGAAGTTGAGGATAAGGAAGTAGATGACAAGGTATGGCACCAGTCGCCCTATACGTCCTCACAACTAATGTGGAAGCTCGTACAGACCACTGTACGGCAACCAACGCCCAGTCCTCCCAGGCGTCCATACCCCCCGTTTCTCAAAGATTTTGTCGACCCGGTGCATTCCAGTCCCTGTCCCGCATCTGTCCACGCCTTTGTTTCCGAGTGGCTCGAGTCGGTCGACTCAGACCGAGAGAAACACTGCCCGTCGGATAGCCATCTGCACCACTCAGAAGACGACCTCGTCCCAAGACAGCTTACGAGATCGGCGCCAGAGATGGGTCACACAAAGGACGCCGATGGGTTTACAGTGCCGCCGCTACCGGCTTCGACCGGTTCGCGTTCAGACCGAGCTTCACCCACCGGATCGGTCGCGCCGTCGGGGCTCACTGGTGCGACCTCCGGTCCAGGGCGATCATCTGGAAAGAGCCTTGTTGAGGATCCATCTTACCGGAGGCTAGACCTAGCCGCGAACAACATTTACATGCGCGATCTCCACGAGCAGTTCCCGGAGCATATTGCCGACCTGGTCGATCATGTACACAAAGACCGCGACTCACCTGGCCCATCGTCAGATGAAGTGCGGCAAGATACTGAGTTGAATGAGCTCTGGATGGGTGCGGGAGAATCGAGAGTGGAAGCCTATTTCAGGCGCAGGATATTCCCTGAACCCGAACCAGGCGACGGTTTGGTTCGCGATGAGAGACAGCCGATGCCCAAGCACGCTGTTCCAAGTGCTGGATCCAGCCTTAAAGTCAGCACTCCAGTACCCGATATTCTTTATGGATATCACAGGAAAGCATTTCCTCAGCAACAAACCCAACTTATTTCCATGAGAAATGAGATGTTGGGGAACAATCAAGGTCTTATGTATCCATTCTTCGTCATCGAATTCAAAGGGGATGGTCCTACTTCGTCTGGTAGTTTCTGGGTGGCAACAAATCAATGCTTGGGGGGTTCAACATCCTGTGTCAATATTGCTGAACACCTCAACCACCACTTGATGAACTACAAGAGCAATGAGGTCCTGCCGATCAATAGCGCCGCATTCAGCATCGCCATGAGTGGCACAGAGGCGCGACTCTATATATCGTGGAAGCACAATGAACTGGACTACTACATGGCAAACGTGAAGGGTTTCTTACTCTACGAGCCCGAGCACTATATCGAGTTCCGCAAATACGTCCGGAACATCATCGACTGGGGGAAGGACAAACGGCTAAAAGAGATTCGGGATTCCCTGGACACCCTTCTGGAAAAAAGGAGGCAGAGAGCCTCCGAGGGCCGTTTTCGGATGACCCCCTTTATACAGCCTGTTGCTCCCCAGACCTGATATGTCCACGCAGAAGCTTCAAGTACGCTTCCATCCACTTGTCGTTGACAAACTTTTGGTGGCGCTGGTATCGCACAAGACCCAGGAATACGCTAGCAGCGTCTGACAACATCCAATTCGCAATTGATGTGTCCCCATCGTTACCGAGTCCCATTCCGGCTTCCGCGGTTCCTACCATGTCTTTGTATTCCTTGAGCTTCGGCTCTGTCCTCTTGATCCGCTTGATTGCGGCCGGTTTGGTCTCAACATGTCCCGGAGGCTCTCGGTTTAGCCCCGTCAAGACTGGATACTGCGCGACGACCTCAACCGGTGCAGCCATGACGCCGTCCAAGTCGATGACGCTGACAATTTCAAAGTTATCGTTCACCAAAAGGTTGTGGGCTCCAAAGTCGCGATTCGTGAGGCAGAAAGGACCTCCTCCCGTGGAATTGTTGTGGCCGTATAACGACATGAGATGTTTGAACAGAATTGGAATCGCAAACGAGCAACTTGTCTGGACATCCGGCTCTGCATCACGCACGCACACTTGGAGCGCGTGGTCCGCGAGATCAGCGTAGTAGTCTACTGAAGCCGTCCAAGGGCCCTTGTCGGTCTCAATCTCTGGGCCGATGAAGAAATCCGACGTATCTTCATCCCAATAGAGGCTTCCGATCTGGTCGAAGTGGAAGGACGATAGCGTGACTTGAATTTCGGCCATTTACTTCCGGAACTTGTGGTCCTGATCCGATGTACCAAACAAGCCCACGTCACAGTCTTTTGCGTCTCGCAATTCTGTCGCAACCGTTCCGTGGACGTAATCCATGAGGATATACGGGGCTCCGACGTCGTTGGTTGGATCGACGCTGTAGGAATGCACTTCCGGGACTGGGATGGAGGTTTTGGTCCTTTTAGGTCAGCATAACTCCATACCCATGTTTAGACTCGAGTCACTCGACCTACTTCAAGAACTTCATACTAGCTACTTCCACCTTGAGAATCCTAGCCACCTCCAGCGCCTCGCGGTCACCAAATACCCCCCTGAGCTGTGGCATTCTGACCCTTGCAACCCAACTGACCCCGTCGGTGAATACGATGCGGCGGACCATATTGAAGTGGCCGATAGAAAAGTTCTCGGCGAATTTGCAAGGGATCCCATTGCGAAGGCCGGAAGAAATCGACGCGAGAACGTCCCACTTGACTGCAGAAGAGAATGTCGTGGCTCGCTCGTGGAATTCATCGCCTGGCTCGTATGCGTCGGCTCCGGTCCAGGACGCACTTCCAAGGGAAGCGGGGGGATCTTCTTCAACTAGCATGGCATGCTTCGACGGTGGTATCTCGGCTGGTTCTGTCACGTTGGAAGGCGGTTTTTTGCGGGGTTAGTTTTAAACCGCGAACAAAATTTCGCGGCGAGGTGGCTGTTAAGCAGGCTGAAGCATGCATTTGGGACTGTGTCCCTCAGACCTCCCGGACTGTATACGTGATGACACCCATACATGACCCCAACCCCGAAAGGCGGCCGCCTAATTCTCAGTCACATCTAGGCAGTTGTCAATCTTGGAGCCGCGGAAGAGGGGGACAATAAAATCGCAATGACGGAATCTTTTTATTTTCCTTTCCGTTACCTATGTAGCTGCCCCTCTTGCGCACCCTCCCCTGCGCCAACCTAGACGCCCAGCTTCCGTGATTAACTAGTGTCTGGGTGTAATTATTGTGTGTGTACATGGGTGCAGTACGTAGGGATATAAGGCCTACGAAGCGCTTTCTTCACTAGGTAAATTTCCATGAAAAGTTGGGATGTTACTCAATTGGGATGGAAACTATCTCGATGCAACACGACCCAGGTTAGGTGAGTCGTCACATTTTAAGTGACTTGCGCCTTGGAGATGCTTTTGGGGGGGGGGTTTCAGGGTTGGGGTTATGTATGGGTGGTGCCACTTACAAAATCAGGAAGGAAACAGTCCGCCGTGCGTGCCTGTTTAACTCCGATGACAAATGCTCGCGACGTCGGCGAGGACAAGTCGATCCCGACCCATCGACCCTCCCTTCTTCTGTTGCCCAGACCGAACGGATGTTAGCCGGCCGGCCGCTGCAGCCGTGGCCTGGTTTGGTGAAGTTCATCGCGAAAGATTTTCGATTCAGCAGCGCACTGCAGCTCAGCTCCCCCCATGCGGCACCCTACCGAGGGTTTGGTTGGACGCAGCCCAGGGTGCAGTGGGTGACAGTGATGCACGCCGCGAAATGATCGGCAAACCCGCCGAAGCCACAAACCAAGCATGAACGAACCAGCCTGTCGGATCTGCGGGCGCGGGCCGCGACTCGGAGAGGGGGTGAGACAGAAAAGTGATGAAATTCCGGATAGATGTGTGAAACAGCCAGCCACGGTGAAAAGTTGAGAATTTTTCGCGGTCCAGGCGGCCAGTCTGAAAAAGGGAAGCAAGCTAAAGATCAAACTTTTACGTGTTATGTGAAAACTCGGAGGCTAGCCCGACGTCGTTCTGCATTGAAGATCAAGAAGATCGGATTCAGAAGCATACCTATTATATATGTACCACGAACAACATTGTGGTAATTATTTATGTTTTTCCCCCATCTTTCTCTCCTTTCTCAGCAAAAGAAGAGCACCGATTTTCTATAGCGATATTCGGTATATTCTTTGAGGTCTGAAAGGGCAGTTCAAATCCTTCAAAAAACTCTTCCTAGGATGAGGAGAGCTGAAGATGAAAAAAAGAAGCCCAGGAGCAGGGGGTTGAACCCCTGGCCGAGACCAGCTGCGGGAAGACGGGACATCACGCACATCCCAACTTTCCTATTGGACCTGACTGTCGTGATCAGAGACAAGATCGCCGGAAACAGATCTTGGGAGAAATCATGGCTAGCTTCATGGTTCCACGAAGTCGAGGGTGGACGAGGTATGAATTCAAGAACAAGACGCCGACTTCTGTCTCCAGTCTGAGGTGTGTTATTCTTCTTTTATTGCGCTGCTACTAGCGACCTAATTCCCCCAAATCCATAATATTCTTATCTCCTTAAGTGTCCGAAAAAAAGATGACTCCCGTGACGGCAGAAACGGAGTCGGAGAGATGTCAGTTACTCGAACACGAAACCGAATCTTACCACCGGGATGGTAGAACCAGCAATGGGTTTGAGCTTGGGGATCCAAGAAACCCTCTGAACTGGTCCCCGTCGATGAAGCGCGGGATCGTGATGTGCCTTACTGCGGCTGCTTTTATGGTGTAAGTCATTCCACCGAAGTTCACCCAATAAAATAAAATAAAATAAAATCTCCTAAAAAACGAAACTAAACCGTTGCCCTAGCACCTTCACCTGCATGTCCGTGGTCCCCATCGCCAACACCATCGTCATCGACCTAGCCACGACCAACCCCCTCCCAATCCCCGCCGCTCCCAACACCACCACAACCAGAACCACAACCCTCACAACCAACCCGCTCACCCCCCTCACAACCCCCTCCACCGTCCTCCCCATAACAATCTGGGAATTCGGCGAAGCCCTCGGCCCCCTCCTCATAGCGCCCTTCTCCGAACTCTTCGGCCGCGCCCCCGTCTTCCACACCGCCAACGCCCTCTTCTTCCTCTCCACCATCCTGTCCGCCTGCTCCCCCAGCATGCCCCTCTTCATCGCCTCGCGCGCCCTGACGGGGTTATCCGTCGCGTCGAATGTCCTGGGCCCGGCTATTGTGGGGGATGTGTTTGTGCCGGAGCAGAGGGGGGGCGCGTTGAGTATTGTTGGGGTGGCGCCGTTGCTGGGGGGGACGGCGGGGCCCGTGGTTGGGGGGTTGCTAGCGGAGTTGATGGGGTGGAGGGCGGTTTTGGGGGCGTGTGTTGGTTTGGCGGGGGTGGTGGGGGTTGGGTTTGTGGTTTGGTTGAGGGAGACGTATGCGCCGGTGATTTTGCAGCAGAAGAAGAAGAGCGTGGGTGAGGCTATGGGGAAGGGCGGTGGGTTGGAGAGTGGGAAGGGTGGTAAGGGTGGATATGGGGCTGTTTCTGTGTCCGTTAGAGAGGTTGGGATACCGGAAGGATCTGATTCCGACTCGGACTCGGATTCTCACTCCCAGTTTCACGCCAACTACCCCGCCGACGGGAATAAACAGCAGCATCCAGGCAGCCTGTTCTGGGCGTCCATCGTCCGACCGGCCAGTGTGCTCTGCAGCTCAGGGGTAATGGTCGGGCTATCACTGTTCAGCTCAGCTGTGTACGCGCACTTCTACATCCTCGCTACGACCCTCCCAACCATTCTCAGCGATCGGTACGGCCTCTCCCCTTCCGCGACCGGTTCCGCGTTCCTGTTCAACGGCATCGGTTCCTACATCGCCATCCTGGTTTGCCGGACTTGGCTGGACAAGATCTACGTCAAGCTCCGGGACGCCAACAACGGAGTGGGACTGCCCGAGTTCCGGCTCCCCATTGCCATCTTTGCGGCGTTTCTCATGCCGGCGGCGCTGCTGCTCTACGGCTGGAGCGCCGAGTACACCCTGCCGCTGCCGTTTATTCTCGTGTCGATTATTGGGATCCGCATGTCTATGACCATGATCAACGTGCCGGTCATGGTGTATGTCGTCGACGCATGTGGGATTTACTCGGCCTCGGCGTTTACTGGTATTACTGTGATCCGGTCGCTGGCTGGGGCCTTCTTGCCGTTGGGCACTGCCGGGCTGATCCATCATTTGGGGTTTGGGTGGGGGTACACGGCGTTGAGCATGATGAATCTTGTGTTGGCGGTCGTTCCTGTGTTGTTGCTCAAGTACGGGTCGAAATGGAGGAAGTCATCACCGTACACGCAGGCCTGATGGGATCTGGGTATGGAATCGATGGTAATGAGTAATGAATGAGAATAAAAGCAATTCGATTGGCATAAAACTGCCCTCTTCATCAACGTCAAGCCTAACTACCTGTAGATGGTAAGTCGTCCAGCTAATTACCTGATCTCCTACTGATCCTCCCTACACTGCTGCAACGTCCTCTTCTGTCGCCCATCCCCATCAAAATTCCCATCATCCAACCACGCCTCCAGCCCACGCCTCACCCCAGGCCACTCATCATCTGTCATCGAAAACCACGCCGTATCCCGATACCGGCCCTTCACAATATAATGCTTCCTAAACACCCCCTCAGCCACGAACCCCAACCGCAGCGCAGCATTCACACTCGCCCGGTTCAAATTATTCGCCTTCCACTCCACGCGGGTATACCCCTCCTCAAACGCCCGACGCAGCATCAAATACGACACCTCTGTCGCCGCCCGCGTCCGAGCCAATTTCTTCCCCAACACCACCGCGCCAAGCTCCAACCGCCTCGACCCAGGCTCAATATTGAGATACGCTATGATCCCTGCGGGCCGTAGCAGCTCATCATTACTCCCCCCCGGCACGGAAGCGAGAATGGTATAGTATTGCCTGTCAGGGGACTGGCTCCAGGTCTTGACGTCGGCTTCAAGGCTGGGGTAGTCAGGGTAACCGACGGGTGGGAGGTAGGTCCATCTGTCGAAGTTGTCCGGGCCGCCGAAGTGTTCGAACAGGTCGGCTGCGTGGTCGGGTTGGAGCGGGACGAGGTTCACGATGCGGCCAGTGAGAGGGGTGTGAGGGGGTCGAGCGGTGAGGCTTGGGGGAGCGGGTAGGCCGGGGGCTAGTGGGAAGTTTATGGTGGTTGACATTTTCAGGGGCTGGCTTGGAAGACAGACTGGTGGTGGTGGTGAGGTAGATGTGTGGGATTATTCTTCGCAAGAACAGAGCAAAAAATAGAGGAGGTGAGAAGCTGACCGGTTTTATCATTAGGGGTCGGATTAAGAGTCGCATTCCTCGGACTTTGGTGAGATGAGAAGCAAGATGACTCGATGGATGCGGGGCCCTCCAAGTTTTGAACTGTTCCTCTGAGTCACTAGAGATTAAATCTCTACTACAAGCTACACTATCAGGCCGTCGATAAAATAGCGATCTTCTACTGCTTTCAAAGTTTGTTCAGTTTCTCTTTCTGTCGGTTTCTTATTCCCCTCAGGTTTTCTTTATTTCCTGGTGTGTGTGTGCGCAGCCCACTGTATTTGATATTAGGTTGTGTAACACAACAACAGTCTTGCGTGATTTGTAGCTTGCAATTGATCATGGCAAAACCGCCCACACACTCATGAAACCAAGTTTCGACAGACGGGAAAACCACAGCTGAGGCCCCCATGATGCCTTTCGGCTCTCGATTTGGCACCGGCCATCGGGCCGCTGGGTGGCTTGAGCCCAAGCGTGCCGAAAGCGATCGGATCGGTCCATGACAGGCTCACAGGCTTCAACCCTCAGCCCAGCGGCCGCTCACACGTTGTCCTTCGGCTGTTTGCCCTCGAGACAACTCATCCGCGGCCGATTCACAAATTTTAAGGCGACCAACAGCCGGAATGGAAAATTTGTCTTGCTTCCAATGAGATTACGGGGTTGGATTCCCTCCGTTGTGCACAAATCCTCTGCATCGCATTAGGGGCACTCCCATTTCTTTGTGGTGGTGTGATTGCCTAACCCTAACCCTAATTATCACTACCGCAAATAGGGGAGGTGGCCCCACTGAAAAGTTCGGGTGAGAAAATGGTTCTGACACCGGATTCAAATTTGTAGCAGCTTCATGTCATAACCCCCATTGACTTTGCCCGTGTAGCTCCTCCAACCCTCCAATTAACGTAACCATCCAAACTTCACAGTGGTGTCGGTGGATCAAAATTGCGAATCGAGTGCAGTTTGCAACCAAGCCCACCGTAATTACCACAAAGTCAAACCGGACGATCGTGGCCCATGCGCCAAGGCAGCTGGGCTCAAAAACGGCGGGATGCGCATGTCTGCCTGTGACAGCCTGTCCATGCCTGGCTCCAAGCTTTGGCCCGTGAATGGCTTCAGGGGGGACCTGGGGGGTTGTTGGTCGGCCGCTCTTTCACTTTTCACGCACACCGCACCCAATCGGCAATTCTGCGGGTGCAAAGTTGTTCAGCAATGTGGGGGACGATGGACCGATGGGCCGATGAGGAAAGAGTGTTGGAACCAACAGCCTGGGTCTGTTAGGCACCGGCAGGACACAAGAGCCTCGCCGACAAGAACAATTCGTTGATCATGAACGGACAGGCTTTGGGCGTTTGTTGCGGTGTACCAATTGTCTGGCACGGGCCATTGCAAATGGATGATAAAATGGGACAGGAAGTCCGGTTTGATGAGGACTGGCAATCCCACTCTTCGCCCAATGCTCTTGTCTGATCAAACCAAAGCTGTCCTTAGCATTCTGCAGACAGCCGACGACGAGAATTAGTCGACAATATGAGCAACTTGGACGACGACGCAACTCCCCAGGACCCTCTCGCCCCCCAGTCCACGGTCACCGAAACCCCTTTGCCGCAGTCCGCCGATGGGGATGCCGTAAATGCGGACGACGTGGGGTCGCAACCCTCAGACCCGGCTCCCGACCCCAAGGCCGACAACGTCCCAGCTGTCACTGAGCATGTTGACAGTGGCACCGACACCCCCGAACAGAACGAGGCCGAGCCGTCTTCTTCATCCAGCTCGTCGTCGGACGGCGAAGCCACCTTGTGCTCCTCCGACGATGAAGAAGAGAACGGAAGCGAGGGCAACGATACTTTGCTCACCGTCCCAGACGAGTCCGGTGGTGACTCTGCCGAAAACGAAGAGAAGAACGACAATTCAGACAAACAGCAACCGCTTACCGATTCGAGTGCTGAGACTGGGCAGTGCCCTGTTGTGGAGCAGGATCCGTCACCGGCAGAGAATGACAGCCCCGTTGATGTCGCCGATGATGTTGGAGATGTTGAAGCGGTTGATGTTGTGGAGAGTCCCGAGACCGACGAAAACATTGATAACCAGGCAGACGGACCCGAGGAAGATACCTCCGACAATGTCAGCCCGACAGATGAGCCCGAGGAAGATATTTCCGACGTCAGCCCTGCATCTGAACCCGAAGAACATGTTTTTGACGACGTCAGCCCAACAGATGAATCCGAGGAAAATACTCCCGACACTGTTAGCGACACAGACGAGGATCCTTCCCGCAATGACAACGACACAGATTCTGATAACGAATCCCCTTCTGATGATAACGCAGTCTCCGAGACCGTCCCTGCTCCTTTGGAAGACGACGATGGTGAAACCCCTTCCCAGTCCCAGGGATACGAATATCCTGACTACTTAACCACCGAGGGAGGGGGCGATGCTTCCGACTCTTCAAACATGGAGATCTTAACCCGCTTGCGCGAAATGGCCGACGACTCTGCTGCCCGCAAGCGATGGATCCTCGGCAAGGAAAATGCCGAGTGGACCATCCAAGCGATAGACAAGATCATGCTGCAACATGGTATCGAGAACGTGAAGGCTCAGTTCCTGTGGGTTTACAACGAGGCGATGCGCGCCAGGGATAGCGGGGATGACCTGAAGCGTGTCGGGTCGCTCAGCCTCTGCTTTTTTGAAGCCGACCCTGACCGTACGTGCTCCTACTTTTCTTTTGGTCTCGTTTTTGCATCGTCCAATTCCTGGGGAGCTCCCACGCAGCAGGTTCGAAAGTAAGGTATGCCTACTAACACCTGTCTCAGTTGGCGAGATGTTGATCAAGATGTACATTGATCTCCTGCAGACATTGGGGCTTGTTTCGCGCGATGCGGTCGTCTATAGTGACGAACACAACCCAATACGCACCATTTGGTCCACTATCCCCGAAACGTCCTCACGCACGGTATGTACTCCATGTTCCTCTCCTCCAGTCACTCGAAACTTAGACAGCTGACTGGCCGTGGTGGGTCCCAGATCATCAACATCAAGTACCCATATACCGATGACGAGTACGACTCCTTGAGGACCCAACTGGCGGAGCTGTACCGCACTTCCACATTGGAATATCCTCCCGTTGTTGTTTCCCACGTGCCACTGCCGAAGACCGACATCACCGCCAAACGCTACCTCGTCTGCAAGGGTGAGCGCGCCCAGCACGGCTACGGTATTACGCTCCGGCACACCGAGGACGACTTGCGCCACATATTTACCGAGAAGGTCAACGAGGACCGTGGGGAAAAGGAGATCGAAGGGGGCTGGGAAGGGGCCGCGATGAAACGGTGTCTTCAACGGGCCGAAAGCGGTGGTCATTTCAAGACATACGCCGGCATGAAGGGAGTGTTGGAAGAGCTCAGAGACCGACATTCCAAGAGAGTGGAGTTTGAGAGAAAGGGGCTGGCGCCCAAATCGCCAGACGATATCCACTTCACCAAATCCGACATATTGGGTCTCAGCGCCCAAGAGATCGGGTATGGAAGCCCGACATGGCAAGAGCTTCAGAAAATGGTCGGCATGGAGTCTGTCAAGCAGTCCGTCCGTGAGATGCTCGGCGAGGTTGCCCTCAACCGTCGGCTTGCACTCGAAAACAAACCGGTCCCAGAGGGTTGGTCGACCCGGCGGTGCTTCATCGGCCCACCCGGCACCGGCAAAACGACAGTCGCCAGGATGTACTCCAAGATCCTCTCGGAGCTGGGCCTGCTGGAGAATGAAACCATCGTTGAGAAACGGGCATCAGATCTCATCGGAAAGTATATTGGGGATTCCGAGTACAATACGATCAACGCCTTCAACCAAGCCCGCGGCGGAGTCCTCATGATTGACGACTTCCATATCCTTTTCCCGAATTCCATGCACGACACCCACGGCTCTGACGTCTTCCGTGCCGCCATCATCGATACGGTCGTCGCCCAAGTCGACCCCAATAGCACTCGCAAAGAAGCCATCATCCTCATCGGCTACCCCGAAGCCATGAACGACGCCTTCGAAACCGGCAACCCGGGTCTCGCCCGGCGCTTCCCCATGACCCAAGCCTTCCGCTTCGAGCCTTACACCCACCCAGAACTCACCGCCATCCTCGAACACAAACTGACCAAACACTCTCTCACCACCACACCCACCGCGCTCCGCGTTGCCGAGGACATGCTCGACCTGGCCCAGCACCGCCCCAACTTCGGCAACGGCGGCTCCGTAGATAATCTTCTGCAACAAGCCCAACTCGCCCGCAACGCCCGCTGCGCCGCCTGCCCCATCGACGCCGACCTTGATCTCGCCTTGCTCCCAGAAGACTTTGATCCGGACTGGGAGCGCGCCGCGGACGCCTCGCGCCGGTGTGCGGGTCTGTTCAACAGCATGAAGGGTATGGGCGATGTGGTGGGCCAGTTTCAGCGGTACCAGGCCGTGACGGCACGGATGCGCGCCCGTGGCCTCGACCCGCACCCGTATGTGCCTTGGGCACTCGTGTTTCGCGGACCGCCGGGGACAGGCAAAACAACGGTCGCGCGAAAGATGGCGCAGGTGTACTACGACATGGGATTCCTGTCGGCGCCGGAGATTGTGGAGTGTTCGGTGGGCGACGTGCTGCCAACGTACTCAGCCGGGTCATCTACTCGGGTGGTAAAGATGTTTGAGCGCGGTTTGGGCAAAGTGCTCTTCATCGACGAGGCATACCGGTTGGCTGAGGGCCGGGCGACGGATGCAATCGGGGAGATTGTAGATTGCATGACCAAGGAACGGTACTGCGGGAAGCTCGTGATCGTCTTGGCCGGGTACCGGGACGAGATGGATGACTTGATGCAAGAGAATCGCGGGCTGCGCAGCCGGTTTGCGACGAATGTCGATTTCCGACCCATGAAGTCCGCTGATGCGATAGAGTTGATGCGCAAGCACCTCGCTGAAGTCCAAATCGTACTGGACAGCGCGGTCGTGCCGGTCAAGGGGGCCCGGGCTATGAAGAGGGACGCTGTGCTGGGGTTGCTTGACGAGTTGGCCAAGTCGAGGTCGTGGGCTAACGGGCGGGATGTCATTGCCTTAGCCCGGTCCATTAGTGAGGAGGTGTACGTGTCTGGTAAGGGGTTGCCTGACCCGAAAGATGGGGAGGAACTGGGGCAGGGGACAAAGGAGCAGGCTAGGATTGTGTTCAAGACGGACGATTTGCTTGCGCTGTTGCGTCGGAAGGTGAAGGAGTTGAAGGATAGAAGCTAAGAAACAAAAAAGAGACAACGATAGAGGTAAGGATCCCGGAGTTAACTATTTGGATAGTCTCTTCATACATTCACATTTTCAATAACCTGTCGAGCCGTGCAACTCTAAGGCGGACACTATTGCCCAAGCAAAAGCCACGATTCCCTAGGCCATACCGGTAGATTTGCCGGCCTCAAACACGAAGCAGGCATCTAAACCTTCTACGCTCCGCAGTTACACAACGTCGAGGAAGCCCCTGACCCACGTTGAGAGTCATATTGAAGACGTCCTTTCACTTTCTTGTCCTATCATATCTGAGCTTTTCGCTTTATTTCCCATTGTAAGGCGTTGTAAGAGGGTTGTAATCGGCTTTTTCTTTCTTTGTCTTAATTATATATTTGTCGGTCGATAACTAGCTCAACAGGGCCACACGCCCGTGGTTGAACCGAGTTATGGAGTTCTACCATGAAGACTGACTCGACTCGATTTAAACTTCCACTCCAAGCCCCGACAAAACATCGATCCTTACGGATAAAGTTGAACGTAAAGGTCGAAAACACATAGAAGGCTCACGTGTGAATCAATGTCAGGATCTATTGCGTGTCATCTCAGAAAGTCATATTTTGAGTCACAAGCTTCTAGTAATGTCTTGCGTATTGCTTAGTAGTGGTAATTAATAGAACGACGTTGAGAAGGCGCACCGGTACTTTGGACTTGTAGCCTTTAAACAATGTCTTCCGAATAGATGCTAGGAATAAAATCCCCATTCATTCTATACCCCGGTTACGGCGTCGAGTCTTTATATACCGTTTCCATTGTGCTACAAATAGACGAGGACAACCTTTGCCTCGACATAGCTTTGTCCGTACAACACTCCGACCTCGTCCACTTCTTTGTTGCGCGATGCCGACCTGAACAAGTCCAAGTATTGCAAAAAGGCTGCTTCGTACATGCAGATATAAATACGCAAACACCCCGGGCAAGCCGACCTTGCGTGACCTGCTCCATGAAAAAAGTAACAAATTTATCTGCAACACGCTAGATGCACTCACTCATACGCATCGGCCCATTCACACCCAAACCCATTCTCAAACCCGTCTCAGCAAACCGCGCCACCACCACCACCACCACCACCACCACCAACACCACCACCAACACCACCCAGCGCGACCCCAAACAGACAGTCACCTTCCGCCACCCCATCTCCACAATCTACCTCATCGCCGACAACAAGATGTCCCTCCAAGGGCTAATCCGCACCGTCCTCACGACACTAACCACCGCTTTCTTCTTCCGCACCATTCTCCTCTACGGTTTCCGCAACGGCATCAACGCCCGGCGCAGTATCTCCAACGTTCTTACGCCCACAGCCTACGGCGCCGCCACGGCGGTGTACACGCTGATGCTTTTTAGCTGTCTCGTCACGTTGGTCACGGGCACACTGGCGTACTACGTCTATTGGTCGAGGGCGTCGTTCTGGCGCGATTACCGCGTGCTGGCGTGGTTTCCGAATCCGTTTGCGCTGCTTACGGGCCATGTGACGGGGCGCACACGGAGGAGGATTTTGCAGGGGTTGGCTATTGCTGTGGTGGCGACCTTGTCGCATGCGACTTACCGGATGGGATATATGGCAGGTGCGGTATTCGGGACGGAGAGCCTGACGTTGGTTTATTCTTTGGCGAGGAACGGTGTTTTTGTTGAAGCCCACAGGCTGAGGCAGGAGTGCTGGGTTGCCCTCGGGGGAGGGGTATTGATGACGGTGGTATACTGGTGGGATCAGCTCGCGGGGTGGGTCAATGGGCCCCAGGGGCTTAACAAGCTGCCGGCGAAGGGAAAGAAGGAGTATAGATATTGAGGTATTGGATAGGGGAGTAAATCCTAGTGTCAACGGGACCAAGGTATCGTTCATGAAGCATAACGGTTGCGAGGTGATATAACCTCAAAGTAGCGAGGTTGAACTCGGTGATCTGTGGTCAGCTGTTTGTCGGCCAAAAGAAATTAAAAATTGTTCGTAAATAAACGCAGTTCGAATGGTCTCATATTTATATTATCACTTCGTGGTGAGATACAACGCAGCGGAGGCAACAAAGGCCAGCTTGTGATGTGAATAGATCGAACAACAAGGGTCAGATACTAAAGTGAAGGGAGAAAGGAGAACCCAGCAGCGTCCCCCCAAGCTGTTGGCGTTATATAACTCGGATAGGACAATTAAAATAATTGTATCGTTTTTTGGCGTTAGACTGTGAGCCCAAATCTTAAACAACTTCTCGGGTGCCATCCTCGTAAATCTTGATGGTAGGGGTCTGGAAGCATGACGGGTTAGCAAACAATCCGACCTAATCAAGGGAGAAGAAGACTCACAATGTCCATCCCATGCATCTCAGAAAACCGGCAATCATCGCCAAAGTAGCATGAGCCGGGGTTTGAGCAATGGTGGCCGAGGTTGCAGGTGGCTTCGCGGCAAAGATGGCCGGAACCACAAACGAGGTTGCGTGTTCGGTGACGGAGCGCAAGTAATTGGGCCGGTGTCAGGCGCTCGCCGTGGTAAAAGTTGCAGTTGTTGTTTTTGCAGTTACCAGCCAGATGGTATCTGTTGCAAAGGTTCATACCGCTCATCTGCCGGCGGTCCTCAAGGGACTTTACAGCATTGGCATCCGGTTTACCCAGAGTCACATCCACGCGTTCGTCGTTTTTGTTGAGTTGATAGAACGGACGTGTGGTGGGCGCTTTCTTCTGGACACCGATATTGATGTTGGGGGGTCCGCTGTTACGTCCAATATTGGCATAGCTGCTTTGGGCAGGCTCCGATTTAGGAGTGGCAGGCGTGGCAACTTGAGCGGGCGCGGCTAACTTGGGAGACGCTGTGGCTGCTGGACTCGGGAGACCGTGTAATCCATTGGCAACGGGGCTGACTACCGAAGGTGGCGGGGATGTTCTCACGGAAGAGAACGGCGGCAAGGTCGTAGTGGCAGCAAATCCCGGAGGAGCGGCGGTTCGCGATGGGATAGGCTCTGAGCGAAAGACGGAAGGGAAAGCAATTCGCTTGAAAGCAAACTTTCTGAAATCGGCCGCTGGGGAGGTCGTTTCCAACAAACAGATCTTCTGATTGCCACGGAAGGACTCGAGAAACGTAGCATAGCCGTTATCATGGCAGCCCGCCAAGACAAGACACTTGCACTGGATGTTCCTTTCCATGATCTCAAAGAGCTTGCGTACTTTATGATCGGCCTGCTCTTTTCCGTAGCCGACATCGGTGAAAGTGAATAGAGGCTGGGCACGACAGAAGCCGCGGGCGAATTTGGTTAAGGCGGCATGATCGGTGATAGGAAGGGTTCCGGAGGCATGAAGGGCCCGAGACAACCCATCAACGCTAAGAATAACGTGAACAAAAATGCTGTCGATGTTTTGGAAAAGCGGATTTTCCTGAAAGTAAGCCTTAAGTTGGTGATGCAGCTCATGAGCGGCCGCTCCACCGCCTTCTTCGCCACGGGCAATAAGCTCCTCTCGAAAAACAGCGCCGTCTCCATCGATAACAATAAAAGCAAAAGGGGATGAATCCTAAATAAATAATTAGTACATGTACCCCGCATAGCCGGCTGATACCACGAAGAGATAGTAAAAATGGGTTGGGATCGTGGAGACCACATCCCCGGATATCCAAACGACAAACAGGGGGGCGCGAGTCGGTGACGGGAATTTTGGGGAATGGTGACTGACCGCGGCAGCCCGCAGACTAGTTAGCTCTCTTTCTCCCTGGCGCTGTTCTTTTTCCCATAGAACGGCGTTCCGTTTCTCACGGTCGCACTCAGCGCATTTGGCGCGATATTTGCTTAGCAAGTCCATGTAGCTGCGGTGGAGGGTTTCCTCAATTCCGCGCTTCTCCATAACAGCACGCTCCCATGTCTGGAGGGGAGCGAGATAAACCTCGCCGGGGTCCCGCTCAAAATCATCGGGTCCCTCGTATCGACTCATAATTGCGAAAGATTTATTATAAGCTTATTGGGGAAAAGAAGGTCGAGCAACAAAGTCGAGCAACGGCGATGAAGGCCGTGAACTATCGACGTTGTGGGGTTGTCGTTGCGATGCCCAAAACGGGAGCAGTGGACAAGGGTTAGGGCGGATTGGGCCTCGAAAACTGGGTGCCAGCCGCCAAAGAACGCGTGCGCAGGGCGTTTGCACGATTTTTGCTATCGTCGGCCAGAGCGCGCCCTCAAACAGTGAGCGATGTAAATTGAGGTAATTCGATACTCATTCAAGTTGCTGCTGGAAAGGGGACGTAAGAAGCAAGAACAGAGGGCCGTCCTAGTGCTCTTTTTGAAGGGGAAAGGCAGGCGCGGTGGAATGCTCGGTTCCCTCAAAGATTCCCTCGAATTTCTGTCGAGCTTCGCTCATCCCCACGTGATGAAGAGCTACGCGTCCTCCACGGGGTTAGGGTTATCAACCGTGTTTTTCCCGAGCATTCCACCAACGTCTAGAGGTCTCTGCGCAGCCGTGCATAGTATTTTCTTTGCTCAATCAACTTTGCCGTTTCTACACTACCAATCCTCGACATTGCCAAGCTTCAGGAAGCGTGGTACCGCCGGTCGCCTGCGTCGTGCATAGCGCGTTACCATCTCGCACGGCCGAGGTTGTTAGTTGGCGGCGCTTGCTGAGACGTGCCGCGTTCCCCCAAGCGCCATCCACGCGTTTCCATCCCCCCACCTGTGCCTTGAACACAACCTGAAGCGTTTCCAAAATAACTCTGTGACACCCAGATTTACGTATGCAGAGAAACAAACAACCGTGAATTATTATTAGCAGCACCTAGAGTCTTTGACGACCCGAGTTCGCAGACACGCAGCCCCGCAATTCAGCCAGATACAGTCTTAACAGTTGAGGCCAACCACTCCTCGCGCGCGCATATTTAGTCTGCAAGCGAGTGGGGGACACAACCACAATCCAGGAGGAGAGCGTTTCACGTTCCCGCTTCCCGGCCTACTCCCGCGTCCACTCCTCAGCAACCCCGAGTCTAAACCAACCACAATTCCCAACAGCTAGTGTACCACACACATTCTGAGCAATCAAGCCAAGCGCTTCGGGAAATCCACCTAGATAGCTCTGGACCGATCTCGTTCCGTCGTTGGTTGGTACCTTCTCCAGGTATTCCCGCCTAACCCTGCTCTCCATCATGTCCTGCGGCCAAGGCAGACTTCCGTCCAAATAATACTGGAATGTCAACCCCGCCTGGGGGAGCACAGCATATCAGTCCGGCTGGAACGGCCTGACGTCAGGTACTGTACCGAGCAGCCCAGACACCGCTGTTCCCCGCAAGCAACTGCGCTGCCCGACCGCGAGCGAGTTGTCAAAGAGCTGCAATGACCCGCTGTTTGCGTACGCCATCAACGGGGAGTGGCCAGACAATTGTGACTTGTTGCCCGGTCATAGTGCTCTCCCTGTGATGCCGCAGAAAGGGGTGCAGCAGCATGTCAGACGGTCAGGCTGCTGGGGAGTGGCACAGCTCTTGGGAGCCCTCGACCACCCAACCCAGAACAAGCGAACGTAGCCAGCGCCGGGTGTCAGCCGTAATATGCGTTCGTTAACACATTTCTCTGGGTATCACTGCCGGGCAGACGCTTGGGTATGTTACACCTGGAGACTAAATCAAGAAGGAGCAGGCGGACGGACCTGCAAAGGGACGGCCCGAGTTGAAGCATTTAAGCAAACTGTCCAAGACACTATTGGTTGCTGTCTCTGAAGGGCTACGAAGTACATATGGAGGTGAGGTCTTGCCCACCAGTTGTGACCGTCTCAAAGCCGATGCTGGCTTCAGAAGAGCTCATCATGCCAAGTGGTAGCTAGGCCACGACCGGCAAAGTTATATCAGTCTGAATTAATCAACATTATCTTTCCTTTTCCGCGGCCAATATTCACCCCATAACATTAAACAAATTTTACAAGAAAGAAAACCACCGCAGTGATTGTAAATTAACGGGGTTCGGTTTTATCTAATTAAGTCTTGAAGCTACGAAGAATTCGATCATTACGAGGCGTCTCGGGATAATTAACATAGAATTGGAAACGTTGCTCATGATAAATACTGTGGCATTATCGAATTTTTGTTTGCGGAAAAAGGGTGGCTGAGGAAACCCGGTGCTTTTTAAATTTGAATGCATCAATAAGGTTTGCAAGGAGACTCACGTATCTCGATTCTGCCATTCCTCAACTTTGAATAGGCTTGCCCTAGCTAGTTAACGACAGCGGCACAACAAAAGACTTGATGCTTGTCACGTTTATAGAAGTGAGAAAAAACAACAGAATATATATCGAGCATTCAACCGCGCACACGCTGCAAATTCAAGATATTCAACGATCGTACTACCTACGGTCATAACAACACTAATGTTTTAAGTAGGTATTCTAGTTGCAGCAGTAAAAATCTATCGGGATTTGACTAAACCTTGCTGGATCAGACTCAAGGGTTGTGTTCTGATGTGTCGCGATTTTCCCGCGAGACAGTCCTAAGGCGGGCCGACGTCATGGAATGTGGGGAGAGAGCATCTGCCGTTTCAAGTTGACAATTGGGGAATAGTGACTCTTCTCGATTCAGCAAGAAGATAGGCTGATCCTTGTTCGACGGAAGGGGAAGGAAGATCGTTGTGTTGGCCACAAAAGCTTATTTGGGTTTCCGATGTTGGTCTTGTAGTGCCCGACGCGATGGAAGGGAACGCCCCCTTTGTCACTTTCAACGGTGTTTTCGTGTCACCGTGGGCAAAGGAGCAGAAGCGTGTTTGTGGGCGCATGGTCTGTTGTGGAACGGCCAGTTTCGGGAAGAACCGTTTCGAAGCAGCCACGGATCGGCACTCCTGGAGATGAGGGGCATGTGAACGTCTTTTCTGCTTCCCACGTTGGTAGTGTGGTTATACACTAAGTCGACGCCGAAAGAGACCTCGAGGAAATCAACTCGAGCTTTGGGGGGCTACAGTTTGATAATTTCACGATTACAGATCCGTACACGTCCCTGCACATGTTCTCTGTCTTTGCCGCGGCGTGTCAATGTACATACAATGAAACCAACGTTTATATGTGGAAATTCCCTGCCCATGCGTTTTGCAATCGACACAAAGAGCATAGGTAGACCGATAATAAAACTGTGCTTTACCAGCCTGAGGCGGCAATATGTATTTGTTTCACTCACCTTCCCTTCTGGCCTTTACTTTCTCGCTTCAGGTCACTTGTCTTCAATTATTGGACGGCCGGACACTAACTTTACGCAGGACGTTCATCTTCGGAGGCTCGGAGCTCGTGCGTGAACCCTTGCTCCCTGGCCTTCCACCCCACATTGATGCTTGCCGATTGGCTTCCTTGGCGTTTTTTCCCTTTCGTGGATGCTGCCACAGGTTGAAAAAAGAAACGGCATAGCTCGGCTGGTGACATTTCCCCTTTTCTGCAGTTTGGCAATGCTCCCAACTGAGATATCAGATACTCTTCCGGGCCCGTCTGCAGATCGTTGCATCCATTCACAAACCACTTCCTTCCCTCATCCGCCGGAAATCTGGCCAGATTCGTTTGCCGAGAGCCGGTTCGATCGCCTTGAGGGGCGCAGCAGGCAGCACAGACCAAGTCAATTTTGTGGAGAGCGACAAGCGGCAAAAGCCCCTTTTCCCCCTGTGGCACCTGCCAGCATCGTTGAGCCCCTGCGACTACCGCACCTGCCCCACGGCCTGAAACGGCCTGAGCCCGCGGCGAAGGACAGAATCCTTGAAACGTGAGAACAAGTTCACCATCATCGAAAAACTTGAAAAGTAAGCAGGAGTCAAACGCATTCGACCACATCTCTCTGTCATATCCCTCCCGACGCTGGCGACGGCTAGACCGATGATGCCGAGCGACCTCGACGGATCGACTGAGCCAAAACGGGACGACGACCTGCAGCTCGGTTTCGAGGCCCCCTCATCCGACATGACGGCCGTCGCGTCATGGCTTGCCTCCGCTGGGGGGTCCGGCCTCATGCGCGTCCTTTCACCATGGTCGTCCAAACCCGCTAGCCAGCCCGAGAAACTGAGGCCAACGGCATACCTCGACGGCTTGAGAGGGTTTGCAGCATTCTTGGTTTACTGGCACCACCACGAATTATGGGCTCACGTGCCCCCTCAACTCACGGCCTTGGAATCGAGTTTTGGCTTCAAGGGCCAACACTACTTCGCCGCCCTCCCTGGTGTCCGCAACTTTTTCCACGGCGGCCACTTTGCTGTGGCGACATTCTTCGTCATCTCCGGCTACGTATTGTCCGCCAAACCCATTAGCCTCATCCAGGCGGGAGACCAGGCAAAGCTGGCCGACAACCTCGGCTCAGCGCTCTTCAGGAGATGGCTTCGGCTCTACATTCCAATCCTTGCCACAACCTTTATTTACATGACATTTGTTCATGCTTTCGGAATATGGGTTGATGGACTGGATGCCAAATCCACCTACCTGCAGGCAGCATGGGACTGGTACGCCGAGATCAAGAACTTCAGCTTTGTCTTTAACTCAGGCCAAATCGGCTGGCTGAGTTACAACTTCCATTTGTGGTCGATCCCCATTGAGTTCAAGGGCTCCATCGTCATCTACACCGCGTTACTCGCCTTTTCGCGATGCACCCGCAACGCCCGCCTGTGGTGTCAGGTTGGAATCATTTTCTACTTCCTGTACATCGCCGACGGCTGGTTCTGCGCCCTTTTCACGGCCGGCATGCTCATCAACGACCTGGAGCAACTGGCCGCCAAGGACGACTTACCCTCCTTCTTCGACCGGTTTAAGCCGCACAAAACCACCATTTTTTACACCCTGCTCGCCATTTCCACGTACCTAGGTGGCTGCCCTGCTCACAGCGCGGACGTTGCGGAGCTTCGGAAGAACCCTGGCTGGTACTTCCTCTCGTTCCTCAAGCCCCAGGCCGTCTTCGACGCGAAGTGGTTCTACCTGTTCTGGGCGTCTGTCCTGCTCGTGGCGTCGACACCGCACATCGCCTGGCTCAAGCGCTTTTTCGAGACCCGCTTCTGTCAGTATCTTGGCCGCATTTCGTTCTCGCTGTACCTCGTTCATGGCCCGGTGCTATGGACGCTCGGCGACCGCCTCTATGCGGCGGTTGGTTGGCCCAAGGACTCGCGGATAACCAATATTCCTCAGTGGGTGGATGTGTTCCCACTTCCCAAGACGGGGCCGCTAGGATTGGAGATCGCCTTCCTGGTACCGCATATCATCTTGCTCCCTGTCACGCTGTACCTCGCAGAGGTGGTTACAAGAGCATTTGACGAGCCTAGCGTCAAGTTCCCGCAGTGGTTCTACCGGTCCACCACGACGGCGGCACGCCCGGCAAGGTTGCCCGCGTAACGGCATCAGAGTTGGGATGCACTGTGTACTGTACATGTTTTTCTTGGACAAAGATTGTTGAGGGACGGGCAATGGGCGGTCAGGTCATACAAGGGTCTGTGTTCTTTTAGGAGTAATTTGTGTACACGTTTAATAGTGAGGTTTGCGGCGGATAGACCAACATGGAGGGACAGAGACTCGGAGCTTTCCAAGTTACACCATGCGACGGGGCAGAACAAGGTGGTGGGTTTCCTCGGGGATAAAAGTTGGGGTCTTCGTCAGGGTGGCTGCATGATGTGACTGGATAAATGGGCTGAACGACCTGTCAATTAGATTTTTTCCATCTTGATAACTATCAGGTTCATCACGTCTTCAGAGTTCCGCTGACCAAAGACACTACGTGTCTGCTTTTACAAGGTCCCGTTCTGCAAGCACAAGATCTCGACAGCCTCCAGTTCCTCGTGTTCCATGCCAAACTTTCGGGCATTCAGCCAATCACTGACGTCAACCCCGGCCGATACAGCCTCCCCCTGAATGCGGGGGCTAAATGCGGCTTAGCGGCCTGCACGCCCCCAGGAGCGCAGTGTTCTGGAATTGCGCCAAAATTCATCCTCCCGAAAAAGACGGGCTGTTTGATTTGGGGGTGGCATTCCGCCTTGCAGCCCGGTAGCCGAGTACTCCGTATTGCCCACGTTTCCATCAAAAATTTCCTCCTCAGTTGGTTCAGTGACGGACAGCTTTGAAGCGCGCATAGACTGTCCTCGCAGCGCAAACTAGGGAGGCGGGTTCCAGGAATGGGGGTAATCCATGGTTAGTGAGCATGCGAAACTGAGCCGGCGATCTTCAAAAAATAATTTGAGCCCCGAGCCCCAGCGGTAACTATCGAATCGCCAACCCCCACTCCCGCATTCACCAAAGCCACCCCTGCGGAGGTCGCATGCTGCAAGTCGACGCCGCTTTCTCGGATTTCTGCAACCCCACCGCATCCAATATTGAACCGTTTTGGGGCGCGCATTCTGTCAGGGTTCGCTTGGCGCTCCCACGCAAATTGCTTAGTGCGGGCCGTGGAATTCTCATTGGGAGCGCTTTCATTCACGGCCTTTTTGTCGAAGGGCTGGCTGACGGCTCGAACCCGACCATTCCCTTTTGTCCTGCGCCCCTCGTCCAACGATCCGAAGGAGCAAACGAGCGACCGAAAGCCTCCCCCCCGTCCGACGATGCGAGAGTCAGCGGCGTGACCCCGTGCCGAAATCGAGTTGCGCGCCCTGCTTCTCCAGTCTCTCTCCCCGTTGTTTTCCCTCCGTCATCCAACCTAATTTCGGCTTCGATTTTTGACAAGGAGACCACGGAGGCCACTGGCCTACCACAGACACAATCATGATCGTGAGGGACGTGAAGCGTTTGGTGCTGGTGTTCGGGCCGCTGTTGCTGCTCCTGTTGTTGAGCGTTGCACTTTGGCACGCACACTCCAACAACGACCTGGGCTCACGCGTCGGCGCTCTCCTCGGCACCGATGGCCGGATCGCCGTTTCTTCCTCTTCCGCGCGGCCACACCGGGAACCGAAGTTGACCGCGGACGAAAAGCACTACGAGATCTACTCGACATCGACGTCCGATGGCCGGTACTTCGACATCCGCTTCGGCCTCGACACCTTCAACCCCAACATCATTCCTCACCAAAAGTTCAATAATACGTGGTGGATCGTGGGCCAGTTATTTACCGACCCCGATGACAATGAGCCCGGCACCGACGTCCACGAGGTCGGCTGCATGGCGCAGTTCATAAACGACGAGTTGATGTGCATCGACTATGTGCGGCCGATACCTTACAAGCCGACGCCGGGCGGTGTGTGCGAGGGGGATATCGCCTTCTACAGCTTGAACGTTGGGCCGCACGATGCGCGCGTTTTCTTTGGGCCCCAAAGTCCCATGACCATCTGGGGCTCCAACAGCGCGTTCACCTGCTTCGGCCAGTTCATCCAGGACTTCCGCAAGCTGGTCGACTGGGAGTACGAGTTGATGACCAACACCGATTTCGAAGTGGAAACGGAAATCCAGCGGCCGCCTCCGTACTTCCCGTTGGAAAAGAACTACTTCGTCTTCTGGGACAAGAACGACGACATGTACGTCCACTACGACGCATACCCTAAGCGCGGCTACGCCAAGCTCGAGCGCGACGGCACCACCGGCCCCGAACTCGCCGAGAAGACCGAAAAGCACGACAGTAAGTGCCTGCAGCGGTACATGCCCAAGCTCCCGCCGAAGCTCGAGTCCGTCCACCAAGCGACGAACTCGCTCAAGATCACATTGTGTAACCGCGCCGACAAGTCGTGCGAGCCCCATGATGGGAACACCTACATCATCACCATCATCCAGCACAAGACCTACTACGACTGGCACAGCGAGTACGAGCCATATGTCCTGCTCATCCAGCAGCGCGCGCCGTATGAGCTGTACGGAATCTCGCAGAAGCCGCTGTGGATTAGTGGTCGCAAGCGGCATGAAGGCCGCAAGACGGACATGATGTATGTCACGTCGATGAACTGGAAAGAGCGGGGAGTAAATTACCATGGGTATTTGGATGATGTGGTGGTCCTTGGGTTTGGGTATGAGGATAAGCATGCGGGCGGCATTGATGTGCGCGCGGAGGATCTGTTGGTGGGCTTGGGGCTTTGCGAAGAGCCATGATCGAAGGGATGGGGATAAAGCTCCCGACCACTACAGCAAACGCACCACTGCCCAACACACATCATGACACGCGGCCGACCTCGTCACCCTCGATCGCATTCACATAATCGGCCTACCTCGCACCGTTGATTCCACGGGCCTCCTGCACCGCGGAATGACGCCCCGCCCCCTTCCGATCGCCCCCTACGTCAGATGAGCACCGTGCAACACCAGCATGCACCATTTCACAGCCACAATCACCCGCCTGCCACCACCATTCTCGTCTACTCCATCACTACGGGATGGCATCCATCTCGAGGGACCATCCATTCATACGCCCCTCCGCCCTGATATACCCACCTCCGCACTCTTATACCGTCTTCCTAAACTTTTCTCCGTTCCTGCATTTCCACACATAATCGTTTCACCATAGCGGGCGGTCCAGCCGTGTCAATATCATTGTTGGCGTGAATATTACCCACGGGGGGGTGCACAGAAGGGAAACATCTGACCCCAATTCCCTTCCCGACGAACACAAGCACGAACAACAAACGGGGTCTGGTGTTGGGGGAGTTGATCGATTAGCCGGCATGATACACATACGCGTCTGGTGTTTTATTAGAACTGACGGGGGACACCGCTGTGTCAGAAAAAAAGGAGGGAAACACATTTATTGTATATTTAATACTGCTTTCTTATCTTGGATAGGTATTAGACCTTTTAGAGGGAACGGTCTTGGGTAGGATGGAAATGGGAATGAAACATGGGATCTACTGAGTCCTCTCTCTCCCTTCGACGATGCATGTGATACCCTGCCTGGGGCGGTACCTTCGTGCTAATGTCCCAGCATGAGACTCTTAACCCCCAATATCACATTTCCGATGCCTCCTTACCCCATCTAACCACCCACCCTCTTCCACCAACCTCGCAACATCGTACCTGAGTAAGTCAGGTAGTGTAGACACATTACCAGATCACCCTGGAACCTGGAAGCATCGTAAAACCCCACACGCACGCCACGCCGGGCCGTTGTGTGCCGTCGTCTCTGCCACGGTCATCGTGTAAGACTCGGCGGCGGGATAGAACGGCACGCTTGTTACCGTCCCTGGTCGGTTCGATTGATTCGATGGGATGGTGCCTGGATTGTTGTGTTTGTTTGTTTGTTTGTCTGCGCCATGTTGGGGGGTTGTTGAATTAGGCGGGAGGATTGGTGTTCGGGGGGTAGGGGGGTTGGTTTTGGGAAGGGTTTGGGGGGTGATTTGTGGTTTTAACATTTTTGCTGGTTGTTTATTGTGGGCTTGTTTATTTTGCTATTTTGCACGAGATTCGTTCCAACTTGGCTAAACATGGGAGTTTTAACATGGAACACCTGTTATGCCATGAACCCATACAAAGGAGAATGGGTATTACCAAAAAGTCCATTGCAAGTAACCCCCCGCCCACCGTAAACTTTCTGGAGGGGATCAGGTGGGCCGTGAGCTTTTTGCCTTTTTTTTGTTGCTCTTTGTTTCTTTCATTTTTTTTTTACTCTAGAATTTTTCTTGTTCCTGGCTAGTTAGGTAGCTCGGAAGGAACTGCACTTGTGTTGGCCCCAACGGAATCTCGAAACATCAAACCACAACCTTAGCCTTCCACCTGCATGGTTCCAGTTTGGACCGCACTCCACCCCACCCACTCCGGCGGGCGGCCCGGCCGAGTTACGACGGCCCCCTCGAGCCCCCTTGTTACCTACCCGGTAACCTACCTGCCTGGGATTGACCCGCACCGAAAATTCGACCTACCTAGATCGGGTCGCATTCTTCGATTGGAAGTGTGGTCGAGATCTGGGGTCGCATTTGGGGGCGATGGGACTGGACTTGTTTCGTTTTGTTTCATTGTGTCTTGGGTGCTGTCGACCTTCTTTTGGTACTGAAGTCAGTTTGTGAATTTCCATGTTGGTGGTGCAATGTAAAGTGGGTCCATGATTCGGGGGTTACTGAGTGTCAGTCACACTGTCACAGCATGAACAACTGCATTGTTTGAACATGACATTTTGTTTCTCATTCAAGTCGTAACGATACATGACAAAGGAAAATAAAAAGTAAGGAAAAAAAATAAAGAATGCGTGACCCGGCCCAGAAACCCAGGCGATGCGCATTCGTGCTCTGGTGGGACACCGTTACACAACGAAAACCGCCCCCCAAAACAAAGAGCAACCCAAACACCAAACCGATCCAAACCCATCCAAACAAGGCTTGCCGCGTGTGTGTAAATGCGGATGATGCAAACAAACAAACTCCCAGCCGTGCTGTGTGTCCTCATGTATCTCCTCACCTATCAATAGTGATTCGGTTGTCGTGCTTAATACCGGTACCGATCATCGGCATACACCCGGCTCCTCTTCCGCCTGCCCCCGTCCAAATCGTCCAAGCCGCCGTATCCCCACTCGGAATCCCGTCCCCTCGGCTCTCGACCCCGGCCACGGGGAATCTCCATCCGTTCCACGGCCCGCCGCAAGTCAGCGACATCGTCTATCTCTCTGCCTTTGCCCTTCCCTTTACTGTCCAAACGGTCGCGGTAATCGCGGTCACGGCCACGATCACGATCACGATCCCGGTCGCGATCCCGGTCGCTATCGCTGAGAGACCCGTTGCGTTTCAAGATGCTCTTGACCTCGCTCGGCATCGAGCGGCTCGCAATCTCGGCGTTTTGTCGCTCGCGTTGGGCGCGCACCTCGTCTTCCCAGCGGAGATGCTTGCGGCCAGAAGACGAAGCATCAGCGGCGGCAGCGGCTAAGGAGCTGCTGTTGTGGACGATGGCGGAGGCACGGCGCGGAATGTAAGGGTTGGTGTTGCTGTTGGCGGTGGTGTTGGTGCTGGTGGTGGTGCTGCTGAAGGGGTCGAAGAAGCTACCGCTGCTGTTGCTGCTGCTTCGTCCGCTTGTAAGGTCGTAGTAGCTGGAGGTGGACGACCGGCGCTGTTTGCCCTCGCGGCGCTGTCGTCGGCGCTCGTCGTCGTCGTTGTGTAGGATGTAGCCGGCTGGGTCGTCCGTGCGTCGGCGGGGGTAGCTGCTGCTGCTGCTGGTCCCGTAGCTGCCGCTGCCGCTGCCGCTGCCGCTGCCACTGCCGGTGTAGTACAGGCCGGAGAGACTGTGGTCACTACTGTCGCGTTCGCGGGAGTGGGAGGAGGAAGAGTGACGCCGCCGTCGACGTTGACCGTAGTCGTCTGCGAGGGGCACCATACCGATGGGGATGTCGCGGCTAGATGAGCGGGAGCGGGAGCCGGATGACCTGCTATCCCGATCCCGATCACGCTCGCGGTCCCGGTCGCGCTCCCGATCCACGTAGATTATGTGAGGGGCGGTGGAAGAGCGCTTCAGGCGTGGCTCGCGGTCTCGATCACGGTGACGGTCACGGTCGCGATCGCGGTCGCGTGGGTCGCGGCGGGAAGAATAGCCGTACTTGTCGTAGTCGGCGGCGTAGGTGTCACCATAGTCGCGTTGCTTGGCGGTACCGGCCAGGTAGACACCCGAGTCCCGGCGGCCGGAAGGAGAGGGAGACTTGGAGCCACGAGGGGTTCGTGGAGTTTGTTCGGAAAAGTAAGGGGTCGGCTGGCGTTCTGAGAGGCTCCGGTGCGAGTCGGTCGGGACATCACCGAGCTTGCTGAACGGGAACTTGCGGTCATACCGGCGGACATCGGGACGGGAACAGCTGCGGCCATCCCGGCAAGGGTAGGACTTCTCGGTGATGTCCTGTGCCCCGTCCGCGTAGGTGTTGTAATAGACCTTGGAAAGACACATTTTCGCGGTGTTGAGTCGACGTTGGCTGCGAAGTTGACGGACACACAGTCGAGCAGTGTATGAGGGGAGTGGGAGGGTAGCAAAGTGCTAATAAATGTCCCGGACCGCAAAGCCCTTACCAGGTAAAGGGACCAGCGATAATGGGAAGCTGTGGGGGGGTGCTCAAGGGTGATGTCAGTCGGCCGTATCCGAGACAAGACAGTGGAAGCGTCGTCCGATATGCTTCAACGACATGAGGACATGGAGCAGAGCGAGACGGGAGAGCAACGGGAGGGCACGGTTGGCGACCCAGATATATTGAGGTCGGTGACCTCTGGACGTCGACTATGGCGGTGCGTGTAAGAGGCCGTGTTTGAGGGCGGGCCGGGCGGTGGTAGGCGTTTCTGTTGCTCAAGATATGGCTGGGCGGAGGTTGCAAAAGACGGCTAGCAACAGGGCCGACGACCCGGGGGCGGGCAGTCGGTTCGCCTTTATAACAATGAGACGTAACTCTGCACTACTGAGAAGCGGTGACCCTCCCGGGTCGGCTCTCGTCCATCGCTTGCAACCCTTTTAGCGACAGATCTTGCTGCGTACACCCCCTGCACCCCCCATCTTCGCTTCATGCAAGGGGAAGTCATGGGAAACAACGAAGCATAAGCGCATGCGTCTCGCTTTTTGGTATTAGGCGGCCGTTCAACCCAAGGGGTGGTCGTACTCATGCACGATGGCTATGGGTGTGGGTGCTACACACCAAAACGGCAAAGTCCACAAGGGTTGTGGTGGGCGGGTGACCCCGATAGGTTGTGTGAGGGTGTGGAGGGTCGGAAAGACAAGGGTCTGGTGATGCTTGCGCTCCCCCCACTCCGCCGTCGATGCTCCGATCATCGACGTCCTTCCCGCCGGCCGTTGGTGGGCGGATGAAACGAAACGTTCGGTAAAATATCCCACAGGCGGCGGGCGGCGCGGCGTTCACGGCACATCCACCGGGTTGGGACTAAGATCTCAAAAATTTCCCAGATCCCCGCAGACCAGTGCTGTTTTGCATCGTGAGTTTCGATCCTTTCGGTCAGAAAGTGATAACTCCCGTACTCAACGTCCATGCCTAGGCAACTTGTGCATCTTCATGTCAACATTTGTGTCACTCAGTAGAGACATGACAGCTTGTTTTTCGCCGTCGCTCACCGAACTTTTGTCAGACACCCCGCCTCTCGTGGTGCTCTTGCTGCTGCGATGCTGTGCCACTTCGATCGTTTGTTGGTTTGGGGACTTCTGGGTTGAGTGGAGCGCCAAGCTTCCCGAAATGGACCAAGAAACGGCCCCTTAACTCCGGCCACCCCCGTCTCGTCGTTCCAGGCCCGTCTCAAAAAGAGTCGCGACCAGCCCGTGACGACCGGGACGTGCACAATTGACAAGCCGTGGGCTTCTGCATGTAAAGCTAGTCATACATGCCATTCGTAAACTGCGTGGCAAAAGTAAGGCATCCAGGTCGGCTTCCGCAACACAGAGTCTTAGTATCCCGGTGGAAGTTTGGTCGTCTCGGAGAATCCGTGGTCATCGAACCGCACAGATGGAACTCTCCCGATGACTTGACCTCGGGAAGTCCGTTGTTTTGTCGGGGCGACGAGAAGCTAAAAATGTGAGCTCACAAGATCTTGGGGAACATACCCGAATTGCCCAATTGTGAGTGGAGTTTACGGTCACATATCAGCGGGGAGTCCGCCATCCGAGCTGTCTTGGTTTCCTCGCCCGATACAAGGAAAACTAGCGGTGCAAGTGACCTTTGACCCAAAGTTGGTGTAACGGATTGCTTCGCCACCACGATCATGGCCGTCAAACTGCTGTTCTTGGGTTCGGAGATGCCGTTGGATCGTTCAGGAACCCGGCCATGGGCTGACTGATGCTAGCGTGGCCAAAATGCTTTGAGATGTACACAATGACAACGCACGATTCGTTACCTGGCGATATATCGACCTTTCGGAGCTCTTTCCTATGTAGTGACTCTGTCGTTCAAGCGTTGTGCTTGTGCTTTCCGGCCATCGCGGTCACGCTGCATGTCCAGCTTTGATGAGCCTCAAGGTGTTACCGCCGAAGAATGCTGTCCTACCCGAGCCCAAGGGCGACATGTTGTTGGGCATCTTTTGGGTTCTGGCCAATGTCACCATATGCCTAACCTACTGGAAGGAGAGTGTGATAATGGCACTCTAGGTGTCGTGGAGGCAACCTGTCCAACCTTCGGTTGTACGGGCTCGTGATCACGCGCTGGGCTTCCAGCCCCATTTCCGACAAACACAAGGGATGGAGGGCGATAGCCCCGTCCCGATTGTAGGAAACAAAGTGGAAGAATCTTCGAATAACACCATGGAGTCGTTATAATCTTGTATAGTTTATGGCGGAATGATGTTTCATTGGGTGTGTCATGTAGTACAGGCTGGCCATCGACGGGAGTTCTGCTCGAGGGAGCCGCTATTGAATGTTGTCGGGAGGTCCAAACAACTCCCTAACCTTGGTGGAACGAAAAGCACCAGGCCTAGAGGTAGAGTATTCACGGGCCCTCGAGTTATGCGGGGCTAGGAGCATGACGGAAGGAGTCTCCCAAGCGAGTGTACCTACCGTATCTCACTAAGGCCAAAAAAAAGCGACACACTAAAACAGATAGCTCAAGTCTGATCCATTAACATTCGATCAAATCTTAACAAATTTTGATTGATATACTCTTTTCTGTCTTTTTTCACTTTCGGGATCCATTCTTTTTTGTCTTCTTTCCCCCCCCTTTTTTTTTGGTTTATTCTTTTTGGTCTTTTTTTTCACTTTCTGGATTTATTCTTTTTTGTCTGGTTCTTCTTTCCCTTTTGTTGGTTTATTCTTTTTGATCTTTTTTCACTTTTCTAGCAAAGAAAGTTACCTATCCAGACTTGGTGTGCCACTTTTTTTGGCCATAGTGAGCGTATGTAGGATGATCGCGTCGACCGCGGTTGCCTTGTTTTGGCCCAGAGGTCACATGTAGTCGAAGTGACCTCGCACGGTGTGGAGCGCGCCTTCCCCTGACTATCAGCCCAAGTTCACAACGTACGTTACAACTCTCCTGTCTCCTCTCGGATCCGTCGTGTTCACTTCAATATTTTCGAAATCCTGCTCAACCCGCTCACATTTTCATGGCATTGTGGTTTAATAACCCAGTTATTCCGGTATTGGCCACTGCGTTCAGGGAACGGAGGCGGAAACCTGCCTCGATGGTAAGAGGTGAGAATAAAAGTTCCTTGAATTATTTCTAGCTAATTAATTAACTAGTGTTTTTTGTCACCCATTTGTACATGAACCCTATTATTCCCCTTCCCTGAAATACTGGCTTTGAAACATCAAAATCGTTTACGGTTGTTGTTGAAACGCGCCAGGCTCCTTCCCTTAAACGCCATCTTAACTCCAGGTTCGCGAAGCATGGGAAATTCAGGGCGATGGAAACCCCTTGCCCACCCCCTTTACCTTGAGACCTAATTGTTGGAGTTCATCATGGTTCACCACATTACGGCCGTCGAAAACCCAGCGTGGCTCACGCATCAGGCTTGCAACCTCGGCCCAATCGACTGGCTCTTGGTTTCGGAACCCTTGCTCATCATCGCGGCACTGATTGCACTCCGGAGCGCACGGAGCTAGGGGCCTCAACCTCTCGAGAGGGTCGTCTGTGAAGTTTGGGACTTCTTGCTGTCTCATCGCCTCCAGTTCCGTGATGGTCATTTCGTCAAGACAATCATCACTATTATGAGCCGTAAACTGGTGCGTTCTCAACCCCGTCGTCTTTCTCGTATCGTCCGATGGGGGAGTTCCCAAGGACCGGCCCCGGAAATGCTTCCACTGGGTGAGGATACACACAGCGCTTGCTTCTTTCACGCATCCCCTCCAACTGGAACTGATTTTGATCCTCTCCATTTGCGCGGTAGGAAGGCCGGTTGCTCGCAGTTCGGCCTCGATATCGCCCGGGGCGCAACCAGGATCGAAGATTGCAATCTCACGCGGCATCTCGGAAACCAGGTCTCTTATGACATGTACCGCAATGCTGTTTCTCGTATCGTTTGTTCCATCTTTGAACGCGAAACCGAGTACAGCGATCTTCTTCCCCCGCAGTGATCCGTTAAGCTCTCTCACGACATTGCGAGCAAAACGTTGTCGTTGGTCCTCGTTGATCTTCAAAACGGCAAGCCAGTATTCGGCGACGACGTCAAGGTGCAACTCTCGGGCGAGATAAGCGAGGTTAAGGATGTCTTTCTCGAAACATGACCCTCCGAATCCAATGCCTGCCTGCAAGAATTTCGGGCCTAACCTCAAATCCTTTCCGACAGCAAGGCTAACATCATCCACGTCTGCGCCAAGACCAATTTCTTCACACATAGCGCTGACGGCGTTGATGCTGCTGATCCGTTGCGCTAGCATGGTGTTCGCCACCAGCTTAGCGAGTTCGCTACTGAAGGTGTTGACGGTGATGATCCGCTCCGGGGGGACCCAAGCCGAGTAGACGTCTTTCAACACCTCCGCAGCCTCGCAGCCCGCCGGGGTCCGGTCGCTGCCGATGAGAATCCGGTCTGGATACATCAAATTTTCGACGGCAGTCCCTTCAGCAAGGAATTCAGGATTGGACAGGACTTCAAAATTATGATTTTGACGGTGGTACCGAAGCTGTGGGAGTTAGTATCATTTCTCGTGTCGCGCCCGGGGGGATTACTCACAATCTCCTGGATCATCCGAGCTGTCCCACAAGGCACCGTGCTCTTTTCAACAATGATGGCGCCTTTCTTCGCGTGTTCTGCGACCGTACGAGCGGCGCTCTCGACAGCACTGACGTCGGCCATCGAACCAGCGCCCAAGCCGTGAGTCTTCGTTGGTGTGTTGACGCAGATGAAGATAATATCCGCCTCCGCGATGGCTGGGACCACGTTTGTCGAGAATACCAGATTTGAGTTTCGTGCTTGGATCCCGATCGGCTCCGTGCTCCCGGATAAGCATAGACGAACTGGCAGTGTCCCATCACGGGCTACCCGCACGACTTTTAACAACCCGTCCTCGTGGATAGGAAGATGCGACGAGTTCCACGCTGCTACGCGGTCGCTATTCAAGTCGACGACGTTCACTCGGATTTCTGGATTATGGTACGCGATTACGGCAGCTGTCGGGCCACCTGTTATGGTCTCGTTAGCGTACTTCCAGAAGGCTGGAGACTATGTACGTGCTAAGCCATACCTACGAACCCTGCACCAACAAAGCATACGCTTTTAGCGGAGCCCTGTCGCGAGCAGTGGGTCATGGGTTCCTCGAAGGTAGAGACGGCATCATCCTCCTGCGTGAGCTTGGCCTTCAGCTCCGGTGAGCCTACGCCTGAGCTGGGCGGTGATGTGTCGGGCGTGCCGCCGAGCCACTCGTTGGCCGACCATGACCGCGGCGTGGATGTCCCGGGACTAGTCGTTGATGATAGTGAGTGGGAGCTAGGGTTGGATCGGTTCAGATGGCGGGGCTTTGAATGGGCGGTCGACTCTGCCTGCCGTGACGGCGGACAAGCCTCCATTTCGAGGAGCGTTTATGTTGGATACTAGGGTCGCCAACAACCGGCAGTTGAACGTCGTGCTTCCGTTACGTCGATAATCCAGGGACATGCGCTATAGTATGGAAACTCCCGAGTGGAGTGTCTCCGGATTCTGGGGTATATATCGGATTCGTGGCAAGACTGCGGGCACTACGTGCAGTTTCTAACGACAGCCACTCCTTTTCACCATATCCGCCACGTTTCACCTTCTCCTTCGATGAACGCCGGCTGAGGCCTTTCTTCACGATCGCCATGCATCGTACCATCAGCTCTTGTCCGAAGAACATGATACTTGGCGGCTTCGGAGACCGCCACATGGTTCTCACTGCGTTTCTCACCGAAAAGCAAGGCATCCGTCGGCTTTCAATGGATTTTACGAATGCCCCTACCCGTCTGACAGCGAAAGACTCGAGCAAAACCCACAAGGTTCTGCATCTGCGGCTCGCCGCTCGGATGCAAGACCCCGGTACCACAACACCGAGGCCAATGAGCGTCGCAAAGGGCCGACTTTGACGCCACGGCGCTGTGCACAAGCGGCTGGCATGCCTGAGGCTTGGTGCTTTGAACAGCCTCCGTCTGGGCTCCCCGCTGACCACAGGCATGGGGCAGAGTGTCGATGCCACGAACGATTAGGCCGAAGTTGGGGGCCGTCTAGTTTCAGCTGCTCCGGTACGTGTTTGTTCGGGGAAACGCGTTCGTGGTTTAGCCGAAGATAGTACGCCTTAACAAGGGTTGGATTGTACGATCGATGCCTCCGAGCTTTGATACCACGGCTTAGTGCTCAGCGTAATTACTCGACGTAGTGGACGCAACATTTCCCACTTGGAACCGCTACCGGCCCTCCATAGTGAAATTGTGATGGACCTGGTGTCCTATCCCACGTCAGTGGCGCAGTCAGTTCGTGGCATTTAGGTGTAACCCGTCTCTGGATCAAACGAGGCTCGGCCTGACAGCCCGGATGGCACGCCCGATTTCACTAATTTCCCCGACGCGAAACATCTCAGGATTGGTACCTTGCAGAAGCCCCGAGGTTGCGTAAGCTTCTGGGTCGATCTGTCGGTAATAATGACCTCGGGCTAAAGTTTAATCGGCACTCTCGTGGGTTTATCAACGAAGGCTTCGGCGGTGTGTTGTATTGTCACCCCCGAATTGTCCTCCACGCCGTTCCCACCAGCAGACCATCAGGTAGCTCAGCATGTGCCCATCCGCCTTTTTCTTGATGGTCGTCGCCCTTTGGGCCCGATGGACCACTGGGGCATACGATGAGAAGCTATGCAACGAGGGAACTTACGATAGCCCAGATACTGGCTTCACATGTAAGAGCCGAGTCCGAGTTTTGCTAGAGAAATTCACAAAAGCTAATGGAGCCGGCAGATGTACCGAACTCATGGAATGCAGAGGGTAACGGGTTTGCATGCATCGCGGTCAGTGCTCATCCCCAACGCCTTCACACCGGCGCTTAGATCTCGGGCTAACGGACGGGTACGGCACCAGGTCCGGGACTCCCCGCCGTCCTTTGATGCGACCTGGAGGTGGTCATCGGAGCCAGGGACTGTCCATTCCTACCCCCACGTGAAACTTACCCATCCCGCGCTGCCGGTACCCCTGGCCAGAGTCTCGGCGTTCGTTCTCTCGGCGCAGTGGGCTATGGCCCCCGGATCAACGCCACACTCTGTGCCTGGTTTCGACTGGTCCGGCTTGGCAGACCAGGACGTGTCGGCTAATGCCGCCTTCGACCTCTTTGCCGATCGTGATCCCGATATCTCTCAGGAAGAGACAAGGGCGGAGACCGAAATCATGGTTTGGCTCGCCAAAGTTGGGAACGCGCAACCGCTTGGTTACAACGGGTCTGAGTCCTATCACGCTAGGCTGAGAATAGGCGACATGGACTTGTAAGTGGCATACGCCAAATTGGAGCAAACGCTGGCTTGTTTGCGTCATCTCGGTGTTGGCCAGTTTCTGACCTCGGCACATAGCTTGTTGTACTATGGGACCAACCAGAGGGGTACCTCGGTTTTCACCTGGGCAGCAACATCCCGCCAGACCAGCTTTGCTGCTGACATCTCGCCTTTGCTGGAGTACCTTTGGCGCAACGACCTGGTATCCTCCGAGTCCCACGTTGGTCTGGTTGGGTTCGGGACGGAAGGTAGCCACGCCGACAAGAACATCACATTTTCCTCGACCAAGTATGAGGTGGAAGTCTCCCTCGGACCTGCCCCAGGCAGCAGTGCGACTCCTCGTCCGAGTCAAGCTTCTCCAAACCTTAATCCGACCGCCACCCCGTCCGGCGCGAGACGCCTCGGTACGCCGTGGCTTTCGGACTTGACAATCTGCGCGTTTCTCGGGATGGCCTGGGTTCTTCGTTGATTAACTGCACATGGACGGGTGGTCACTGGCGTTTTCTGTAACACGGGGTACCTGCATGGGAAAAGTTGCACATACAAATCACAGATTCGGTTATTTCCTCCCTTCGCTTCGTGCACAGCAGCGGTGAACCGCCCGAACTGCCTCATGTCTCGCGCCTAGACCTGGCCTTGGGTCCGGGCGTGCAGCCGCCCATCGACGGTCCGTCGCGATGTGTTCCCGCCATCTTGGCCATCCCTTCTCTTCGGGGACATCGGGCTGAAATTACCCCTGACCCGACTTCGAACTACGCTTGAACAAGATCGCCATGCAGCCGGCGCAAGCATATTTCCGGCACAGCGTCACAGCAGGTTTCCGTCGCCGACACGAGTGATTTTCGGCCAGCGCCGACATCTCTCTCGCTCTTCGGGGCCTTTTATATTATGGCGCCAGTGGCAAATCCGTGATGCACTTCGTCAGTGATTCCCGCTAGCGGCACCGCGGTTATCCCCAGTGGCACTTTTACTTCGGCCACCTCCCCCCCTGATCTGTCATTTCTCTTTGCCGGGAAACGGAGTCATGGGCGACTATCTGCCTCGGATGGCTTTCCCGCACTTTTCGCGCCCCAGCACCGCCGGCTCTCACCCGGGCCGGCCGTCGACCGGTGAAACTCATGATCCCTTTAGGGACCCATCTGAGGCTTCCTCCCAGTATGCTGGTTCAGCGGCTTCTGCTGTATGTCATTTGACACTTCTTAGTGACTGTTCGGGAATGAAAAAACTAAACTTTGATTAGGAAATTGGCTCAGCCCCTGCGCGTCCACTTCCGCCTGTGCCGGCACACCTCAGGCTTGCTGATAGTGATGCGATAGTAAGCAACCAATGTACCCAGGGGGTGAGTTGGTTGTATCGTGGCTGACGGATCTAGACACCGGCACCTAGACGTCATGAAGTGCTCAACGAAAAAGTAGACCTTCCTCAAAGCTCGGATGAGGGCCTCGAGCGAAGTGCTCCAGCAGTCCCGGCTGTCAAGGTTGAAGCTCAGGGAGATGATGCGTTACCGGAAGACGCAGGAGCAGCAACAGCAACAGCAACACCAGAAAAGAAGAGTCGCAATCCCTTCAAGCGTGGCTACCGTGCCTTCCGCAGAACGTACTGCCCCACAGAAGAACCCGGCCTTGTGCTTCCGACCGGCCCCACGGACGACGAGAAGCTCAAGTATGTCTCGACAAACCGCATACCGCTCTATGTCTTCGGCGTCTTCTCCTTTCTCACACTATCGGCGGGTATGTGGCTTTTCGCGGTCAGCTCGCCCATCTTCTCATGGTACGGCGTCTTTGTCGGCTTTCTCAACATCTACCTGATCATATCTTACTTCGTCGGCGTCATCGGTCGTGACTGGGACTACCAAGCCCATCAAACCCGCGTCGAAGAATTCCCCATCACAGAGGAGACTGCGCCGACGATCGACGTCTACCTTCCCTGTTGCTCCGAGCCGCTGGAAATCCTTGAGAACACCTACAGGCACATCGTCAAGCTTGACTGGCCCACCACCAAGCTCCGCGTCTACGTGCTCGACGACGGAGACCAACCCGCCGTACGTCAACTCGCGGGCGAGTACGGGTTCAATTACATCGTCCGTGAGGACCGGCCACGCTTGCGCAAGGCCGGCAACCTCCGCTGGGCCTTCAGCCGCACCACCGGTGATTACTTCACCATTTTCGATGCCGACTTTTGCCCGCGGCCTGATTTCCTGCGGGAGCTGGTCGTCGAGCACATGGCGGATGACAAGATCGCGATTGTGCAGAGCCCGCAGTATTTTCGGGTCACGGACGACCAGACGTGGGTTGAGCAGGGCGCTGGGGCCACGCAGGAGTTATTTTACCGTGTTGTTCAGGTCAACCGGGATAAGTGGGGGGCTTCGATCTGTGTGGGAAGCAATGCGGTGTATCGACGGGCGGCGCTGGAGGAGGTGGGTGGGACGGCGGAGATTGGGTTTTCGGAGGATGTTCATACCGGGTGAGTTTGTCATGGCGTTGCTATCTAGGGGTGATTATTGACCAGAATCAGGTTTGGTGCTGTTGACCGTGGTTGGAAGGTCAAGTATGTTCCGTTGTGTCTGGCGACGGGAATCTGCCCAAACACTCCACGCTCGTTCTTCTCGCAGCAGATGCGCTGGGCCCGCGGCAGCACGACACTACTCACCACCAGGCACTTTTGGGTTTCAAATCTGACGTTCATGCAAAAGGTTTGCTATTTATGCGGTGAGTTCCACTATCACCTCACAATCCATCCGTTCTAGAAAACGCTGACAGCCCCAGGTTTGCTCTATTACTCGGCCGTCTCGCTAGGCCTCTTCATCTCGCCCATCCCAGGCACCCTTCTTCTGTTCATCCGACCAGAATGGTTCAAATACTACAACCTCGCCTTCGCCATCCCCTCCATCATCTACGGCTCTCTACTCTTCCGCTTCTGGGCCAAGGCCAAATACGGCTTCAACGTGCAGCACGTCATGGTCGTGCAGTCGTATGCCTATCTGACCGCCATCAAGGACCGGTTGTTCGGCATTGAGCTGCTGTGGGCTGCGTCCGGCGACAAGAAGGCCCACAAGAGCAACAAGTACCGCAACATGCGGATTTTGTGCTGGCTGTGGACGATTATTTCCGTGGGGGGTGTCATTGCGGCGGTTACGTACCGGTTGCTGACGGGTTTTCCCTGGTATCATACTATTCCGTTGTTGGTGCTCAACGCTTACAATGTGTACATTGCACACTACTTTTTACTTTGTTCGTGGAGGTGGTAGTTGGCGTTTTTCTTTTGCTTACCAAAAGACTCTCACTTTCTATTTTCTTTTGTTCGACTCTCTGGGAGGAATACTGGACTTTAGTGTAATTCTAAGCATAACCGGCGGGCCGATAGATGAAGGGCTGCCAGGGGTCAGCGGTCATATCCCTAATTACATAGTTACTCTGATGATGGTCATAAATGGTCAATAATTATCTGCTTACTCACCATCCTCAGTGTTCCGTGGTTAAGCCCTGCGGCCGCAATATTCTACGAATGCTCTCCTCTCCAAATTGATCCTCAGATAGACTTGATTCCACCATCCACCCACAAGTCAACCCCCAGCCCCTTTTCCTCAGGTAAATTTCGGACTGGTCCGACAGTACCCCAGATCAAAAAAAAGCTCTTGTTTCACACCCGCGATCAATTCTCCAGGAACAGGAAACAAAAGACAAAACAAAACAAACCTCCGGTAACACAACCACAACCACAACCACAACCACAGCCAGCCATCCAGCCATAAGCACAGACCGCCTGCCCGTAACCCCCGCCCCCAACGAATACGGGTTGGTGGCTATGCCGAAAACACGGGTACACACACCGTTTACCTTACACAACATGCATCTCACAACACAACATGTGTCCCGTAATACCATACGACCATACATACCCAACCAAGACACGACAGCACGGTCCCTCGTTCTTTGCTTACTTTGGTCACTGGTCCCTTGGACCTGTGCACTGTGCCTCGTCCCTTGTGCCTTGTCCGTAGAGGTATGTACTGTCTGTTCTCTTCCACCTTTTACTGTGACATGTGGCGGACTCAAATCTCCGGTTGCTTACCTGCAGGTCCGAAGCTCGGTTTCCGGGGGAGTTGGGGCTGTGTGCGGAGGAGTTCAGGAGGGGTTCAGGCTGTGTACATGATGGCGGGATGTTGACGGGCGGGGCATGTGGTGGATGGATGGGTGGTGGGGAGGGGGCTTCTTGGGTTACGGGGGACTATCAGAGGGGCATTAGGGTAATCAAAACAAGGGGGGTTGGTGTGGATTTGCTTTGCCTGCCTGGGCTGTGAATTGACTCATTCGGTCATGGATAATGCAAGGTCTTACATTGGAATTCGGCTCGGTGATTATGTGAGTCTCCTTTCGGGATTGAGTCGGTGATTGATACGCCCTGCCTCTGAAACTGAGTGTAATTGTGGCCGGAGATTAAGTTGGTGGTTGAAACTTGGAACATGTCCCGAGACACCCGGTGGTTTTCGGCTGGGTTGAGTTAGTGCGAGGTTTTCGTTACGGAAATGTAATATTCCTGTTCAGAACGGATGATTTTATTGAACCTTGTGGTTGTCTGCCAGATTTTTAATTATCTGATCACCAAACGTGAATTTCATGAGATGATCAGTTATTATGACTAAACAGCGAAAAGACTGGATGTCTAATTTGGTTTTTTTTTTTCTCCTTTTCGCAACTTATTCATCGTTACATAATGCTGCAGAAAGACAGCCCACCGGGTGCCGCCGAGGGTTTCACGTAATTATTTGGACTCTTAAGAGGAAGAAGTCCGGTTGAGATTTGGAGTGGATTCAACGCCAAGTCGAACAACTGCCAATGACTTACTAGCTTTTGCGGTGGGACTCACCCGAAGCCTCCGGCATGAATTGAGCCGAAGAATTTTCAGTTTTGCCGCATTGAAGTTTGTTTTCATTGCCACTGTCCTTGATGAATCTCATGCTTTCCTTTTGCATGCTTAGCTTCCCCTCTCTACTGTCGTGTTTCTAGGAGCGGGGAAAAGCAACCTGCCGATGCTGGATGCTCGTATCGGGCATGGTAACGTTATTTTATTTTTATTTTTATTTTCTCCTGCTTGTCCTTCTGGTTCCACTCACTGATGGCTTGGGTAGTATTTCAAGTTGTGATAATGCGTCCCATGGTGTTGTATTTTACCGTTGACTGACTCTTCTTATCTGCCTACGGTTGTTATCGCGGTCTTTAACCATAAAGGTCCTCACAACGATGCAGCCACTCAACCCCCACACAAGACTGGATGGATATAACTCTCTTGGCAATTTATCTTCAACCTCAAGCAACCTTTCCCACTCCACTACAGAGCTACTTGACGAATCTTATCCCGAAAATGCGTGCTCGGCACAACATTTTGTTATGTAGCGACGACCAACTGATAAGCTTATCGCAACGTAACACAGCGCCAGAGCCCCCAGATTGATAACGTTAACGTCCAACCGCCCGGAGCCGCCCAAGCCGCCCCAGCAAACAGGTGGGGTCAGCATGTCTCCTCTCAAATCCCACCTGTTTTGCAGCTGCAACACCGGCCAGAATCGGGAGTGGAGGGGTCAAATGCGACTCAAAGTGCATTTCCTGAATGGGGTCGAAAATTGAGTTCATTAGGTGGGATGCCCCGCCAACAATGATGTCCACTGGAAAATTTTCCGTCATATTTTTTGCAATTTCTTCCACTGCATAATCAATTAATTGCTGCAGTTTTATCTCAATTTTCGACTCTCAACTCAACCATCGTTTAACTGGAACGATCTCTCTCGAGTCTGCTCGGCCTGAAGCGGACAAAATAACCCCCTCGGCGAGTCTCACTTGAACGCACAACACCACCATGCCTTTCCGCCTACCTCGTCCTGGATGGGTTTCACGATGGAGCATGCCGAGTTACCTGGCCGGGATACCAATGCCGGCATTGCAGCTGATTGCGTTGATCGCGTTCATCAACGCCTTGGTCTGGGTTGCTGCGGGGATCCTGCTGCGTAAGTGCCTTCTTCTCGACTCTCTTTAAGTGAGCCGGTGAACTAAACTAGTGAAATTGCAGATTATAACCCGACGCTCATATCGCCAGCCGTTTTGTCTTAGTACGTGGTTTGGAGGTTCACATCTTGTTTACCCCTCCATGCTCACTCACAACAACAACCCCTCATCATCATCAACCTGCCCCGCCCCCACACTTTCTTGCCCAAACAGGCAAATAATCAACACCCACCATCACCACCATCACCGCCATGACCACCATCACAAACCCAACTAACACACCTCCCAGCACCCTCGGCCTCCGCCACGCCCTCGATGCAGACCACATCTCCGCCATCGACCTCATGACGCGCCGTCTCATCGCCTCAGGCCAACGTCCCGTCGCAGTCGGCACTTTTTTCTCGTTGGGCCACTCCACCATCGTGATAGTAACCTGCATAGTAGTAGCCGCCACAGCAGGCGCGCTACGCGATCGGTTTGGCGATTTCCAGCGTGTTGGCGGGATTATTGGGACGAGTGTATCGGCGGCTTTCTTGTTGGTGTTGTGTGTGGGCAATGGGTGGGTTTTGTGGAGGTTGGTGGGGAGGGTTAGGAGGGTTGTGGAGGAGCAGGAGCGGAGGAGGAGGAGGGCGGAGATAATACATGAGGAAGACAGGGAAGGGGAAGGAGGGGATGTGGATGGGGTGACGGGGCAGAATGCGTTGGAGATGGAAGGGCCGGGGTTTTTGTCGAGGGTGTTTCGAAGAGTGTTTAAGATTGTGGATCGGCCGTGGAAGATGTTGCCGTTGGGGATATTGTTTGGGTTAGGGTTTGATACGAGTTCGGAGATTGCGTTGTTGGGGATTGCGAGTGTGCAGGGGGCCAAGGGGACGAGTATGTGGGTGATTTTGATCTTTCCGGCTTTGTTCACTGGTGAGTTCTCTCGGTTTTCTCTGCCTTTGGTCCCCGTAAGCTTGATATGCTAACGCGAGACAGCCGGGATGTGTTTGCTAGACACCACAGACGGAGCACTCATGATGGCGCTGTACACATCCAAGGTGTTCTCCCGAGACGTGGTGGCCATCCTCTACTACTCCATCGTCCTGACCGGCATCACCGTCCTGGTCGCGGCGTTCATCGGGATCATCCAGATCCTGTCTCTGGTCCAAAACGTGGCCGAACCCGAGGGCAGTTTCTGGGATGGTGTCAGTGCCATTGGGGACAACTACGACATTATCGGAGGCTGTATCTGTGGCCTGTTCTTGCTTGTTGGGATAGGGTCCGTGATTGTGTACAGGCCGTGGCGTAGACGCATGGACAAGCGTGCGGAGAGGAGAGTAGCGGCGGGTGAAAGTCCGGATGACGAGAATCGGACGCCGGACCCGCTGCTTTTCGATCATGGGATTCCGACGCCGTCGTATGGGGGGGTCTCGGGGGTTGGGAAGGGAACAGGGGATGGAAAGGGAACCAAGGCCGATACTAACACGACGACGCCTGTGTAAGGCGGTTGTCGGATCTGTGGGAATAATGCCTGCTTGTGGAGATAATTAACCGGATAGTATTTCCATAATTCTTATGAAATATGAGACACGTTTTTTCGACAGCACATTATTCTGGCAATAGCCCTGAAGGTGTCATTATGCTGGAATCTTGGATGTCGAAGATACTGAGATTGACGAGGTTTATCGGGCCGTCGGACGGTCTGTCAAGATAGCTGAGCCGGGCGGGAGCGAACTCGAGGGCAATGATATACATGGTGTATTGGAGAACGGAAACGATAAGCTCTCCCAGGATTCCAAATTGTTGGACGAGAATGACCTCATCGATCTGTTGAAAAGTTAGGCCCTGGAGAATTCAACTAGTGCTAGAATCCCTGCGCCCTGGGTACGAGGTTTTGAGGCCTGTCTGCTCTCCACCTTTACATCCCTTTGGCCAAGCAGTTCAAGCACAGATCCCGATCGCAACTGCAAGGGCAAGAACAGCCAAATTGTCCTGCACCTGTTGGTTTTGCCATCCAATCACGTGCCTCACTAGCGCGGCGCGGGCCTCTCTTTCATTCCACGAAGTGTTGCACGCTACGGAGTACGAACAAGGTACATACCTAACGTAACTAAGTAGGTAACGTAGGCGCGTCTGTGGGCCTGGAATTTGTACCTCTGCCGCCGGCCTCGCCCTCAATTCACTGAAGTGAACAGGTTACTTGGCCTTCTCTAGGTGGGCGCATCCGAATTGAATCTATTTAAGACGCGTCCGAGGTGCAGATGCCACAAACACATTATCACATTAACACAGCACCACACACATCACAGGGTGCAAACAAGCATCTAGCGCCCCATCATCCAGATCATCACCCACCGACACCTACTGAGATTCGTGCCTCTCTCTCTCTCAATCAATCAATCAATCAGAGATTATCAGACCGACCGACGCAGGCAATGACTACCCCTCTGTCTCGTGGATATCGCTCCGCCGCCGAATATCGCTTCCGCCCGGACCAAGCCAACGCCATTGTTCGATCCACAGCCTACCATCGCAGAGATTTCAGTCTCTCCGTGATGTGGTTCTCGCCTCGCGAACACGCCGGCATTCGCCCGTCAATCGCCACACCCTTCCCGCGAACTCTCGCCCCATCTTCCTTACCATGAGGAATGGACTGTCGCTAACATCTCACGAGATGAAGCCACGGGCGATTTAAAGACCCCCCTCTCGAATCGAACGCTTGCTGGCGTCAAGTGTCAGTGGCATCCTACCAAAGTTGATTGCCTCGAGCTGGAGAGGATAAAGCAGCTTACGGCAATGGCGTTCGAAGCCTTCCCGCCATCGAACCCCCTTGTCACCCACCCACCACCAGCCACTGTGATCGCCAAAATCGTCCGTTTCGAATGGGAACTGCCTCGTATCGAACAAGAGACGAGAGCGTATCAGATGCTTGAGGGTACCGGCCTAGCGCCGCGCTTCCTGGGCCATATTCACGAAAATGGACGTATCATGGGGTTTCTGTTGGAAAAAGCCGAGGGACGCCCAGCTTCTTTCCCGGATCTGAGCGCCTGTGAGACCGCTCTAGGGAAACTCCACGAGTTGGGACTGGTACATGGGGATATGAACCGATACAACTTTCTCGTTACCGATGCAGGGGCGAAGCTGATCGACTTTGAATGCCTTCGTGAGAATGCTAGCCCGGGGTTGATGAGCAAGGAATTGGAGAATTTACGGGCCGAGTTAGTCGACGAGTCGGGACGCGGCGGAGGTTTCATTTTTCATGGCGATAGCGACTAATTAATTAATATTGAAGTTCGAGGTCCGAGACATGGCTGCCTGTAAGCACGTATCTTTTGATGAACTAATCGAAGTCCACCATCTATAATCTGGCATTTTGCCCTCCGTCGCCTTGCCTGTAATGAGACCTATTATGAGAGAGCAGGGCAGGATCCTGGCCGATGTCGCGCCCTCGCGCATGACAGACGTGTGTCGCCTCGGTAAGGCAAGCTTCAACCGTGGGCTCCCTATGGCCAAAAAAAGCGGCAGACCAAGTCCCTGGATGAGTAACTTACTTTAATACGAAAGTGAAAAAAGACCAAAAGGAATAAACTAAAAACAAAAACTAAAAAGAGTAAAAAAGAATAGTTAAACTAAAAAGAATAAACTAAAAAAGTGAAAGAAGATAAAAAGGATGAATCTCGAACGTGAAAAAAAGACAAGAACGAGTAAATCAATCATTTACCCAGATTTGTTTTTAACGGTAGAGGCAGGCCCGTTGAACCATGATCTCCAAAGGCATGTACACTACACTACGAATACACATCTGAAGGTACCATGTCAGGGAAGGCATGATACCGAAATCCTCCGGAACCACGGCACCACGACGCTGGAGTGCGATGGTACGGTTGTTACATACATTGCGGTAATCGTTGTCCCAATACACATACCACACTCACACCGTTACAGTACCATTTCCACTTTGCCTGCAACACCCCCCATGCAACCGCCGATCACCGCCAGACAGAGAAAAGGACGGCCGCCTTCCGATGGGAGGAGAAATTTTTCTGCTGTCCATTCGGGGTCCATTCGTCTGCGGAATCGCTCTGTGCATGTACGAGATGAGATGAGATCCGTTGTTCTGCATTCTTACGGTGAAGGTGTTACCCCACAAAGCAGGAGGGAGATTATTCCGATTGTGGCCATTTATATGACTTGTGAAGGATTATAGAGGTTTGCAGTGTAATACATACGAGAAATATAATTACTAGCGTAGAACCCATTCCAGGATGTTGATAACACTTGACGTCTATAATTTATAAAACACCCAACCCAAACCCGGCTCTAAACCCAAGATTCCCCTTGGCTTTGCTTAGTTTCTACTTGGCTTCACTTGGCTTCACTTGGCGACATGAGCGAGAAGTGAGAAAAAGAGAAGAAGCTTTTGGGGCGCGCGGGATTCGGGCTTGGCTCATACTTGGCTCATATGGGTTTGCCGTGTCCCGTCTTGGTCGTGCAGGGGTGCGTATGAGATCCTGTGGAGGAGCTGAGGCGGTAAATTACGGAGGTCATGTCATAGCTTTGCGTGGAATGCCGAATCAAGCGCGGGGAATCGATAGAGGGTTTCCTTTTTGGAGGAGGGTTTTCTCGGGGGTTGGTCATAGCATGGTATGAAAAGAGACAGCGACGCATTGATGGCTGCTGGTTTGAAGTGAATAAGGAGCAATTAACGATGCATTGGGAACGGGCGCAAGGCTTATCCGTCCGACGTCCGTCCGATAACAATCAACCTGAACAAAGAAAGGGCCGAACAGGTTAAGCTTATCGTACGAAATAAAAAGGCAATGCATAACATCGTTCCGCCACCGGCCCAAATAACCGACAATTGTTGCGCGCGGCTCGTCCAAACCAAACCAAAAAGACTGTCGATCATCACCGCCTGACTATCTGCTCCGGCGCGCAAGCATCATCATCCCCTTGCGGAAGACGGGTTGAGATGAACCGAGGACAAGGATATATCCATCGCATCGCACTCCATTCCGACAGCCGGGGGCACAGTACAGCAACAGAAGCGCTCCGCTGAGCGTCCGCGATGAAAGGGTAATGGGCCTCGGAAGTCGGAACCCGGTCCAGGGTTCATCTTTATCAGTCCCGTCCTGTGGGAATCGTGGAAAGGAAGAGTCCGATGAAACGCCGGCCGGTCGCCCCACGGGGAAATTCAGATGGCTGTGTGTTGTTCGCCAACCAAATGATCCAGAGCAGGAACGGGTGCTCCGTCATCCATCGATGGATTTCGCGCGGAGGAGGAGAGTGGATTGAATTGCGGGGAGGACGGGATGCAATGGATGCAATGGAATGTTCGACGCAGGCTGATCAGCTTCCAGAGCTTCCATGGGTGGGGGGTAAATGCTACGGCGGCTGGGGAACAAGTTACAGCGGCAGTGAGTGGAACGCATTGCTCCCACCATACCTCAATATGCCGGGTTCTTGGTGCCTTGTCCAAGCCATGTTCAACCTTGTTCAAAGTGTGTTCTGCCGATCAGATCCAGGATACCGGCCGTTTGTTCGTCGTTTTTGTGGCGCCCCCGGACGGAGATGCCGAGAACGGCTGGCCAAGGACATGTTCCGTGATGCCAAGTCGGTTTAGTGCCGTCGGCGGGGAGGGTCGCATTTGGCACGGTCAGCGGCCCGGGAATCAGGGGATCGGCAGTTTTGTTGACTTGATGTGGAACGAACCGACGATGCATTGTTGGTTTTTACCGTGGTTACCATGGTTGTTTGATGATACTCGTCCATTGGCGTGGAGAAGCAGGGTTAGGACGGGATGGGGGTTATGGTGGAGGAAAGAAATTGGGGAATCGGAATCCATCAAGGCTGCCGAGATGTGAGGATAAATAAGAAGCTCGTCACTGCCCCTGACGGACTGGCCTTGAGAGTTCTCGTTCAGGCACCACCTCAACGCAAACCCATCACCTCCTTCACAAACAACCCTCCCAGCCACCATGGTCCACAAGACACTCCAAGGCCTCATCGCCGCCGCGGCGATGGGCGCCCTCGTCAGCGCTCAGCAGCCCGGCAACGTCACCGCCGAAGTGCACCCCGAGCTGCCGACGTGGAAGTGCACCACCGACGGCGGGTGCGTCGAGCAAAAGACCTCCATCGTGCTCGACTGGAACTACCGCTGGTTCCACAACGAGGACGCCTCCGCCTCGTGCACCACCTCCACGGGCGTCGACCCAACCCTGTGCCCGGACCAGGAGACATGCACCCAGAACTGCTACGTCGAGGGTGTCGACTACGCCGCGTCGGGCATCACGACCGACGGCAACGCCCTCACCCTGCGCCAGTTCGTCGCTGACGCCGAGACTGGCGAGCTCAAGAGCGTGTCCCCGCGTGCCTACCTCCTCGACGAGAGCGGCGACTACGTGTCGTTGCAGCTGCTCAACCAGGAGCTTAGCTTCGACGTTGACCTGTCCACTCTCCCCTGCGGCGAGAACGCGGCGCTGTACCTGTCCGAGATGGACCTCACCGGCGGACGCAGCGCCTCCAGCCCTGGCGGTGCCGCCTACGGCGGTGCCTACTGCGACGCGCAGTGCCCGGTGCAGAACTGGAACAACGGCACGCTTAACACCGACAAAGTCGGCTCGTGCTGCAACGAGATGGACATCCTCGAGGCGAACTCCTTCGCCGAGGCCTTCACCCCGCACCCGTGCATCGACGACAGCTGCGACAAGGGCGGGTGCGGCTTCAACTCGTACGCCAAGGGCAACAAGCAGTACTTTGGCCCTGGGCTCACGCTGGATACCTCGAAGCCCTTCACGATGGTGACGCAGTTCATTACCGACGACGGTACCGCCAACGGCAAGCTGACGACCATTACTCGGTACTACGTGCAGAACGGGCAGAAGGTGGCCAGCGCGGTTGAGGGTGGTGACAGCATCACCGCCGATGCGTGCTCGTCGGCCGAGCCGTACGGCAAGCTGCAGGGTATGGGTGAGGCGCTCGGCCGCGGCATGGTGCTCGCGCTCAGCATCTGGAACGACGCTGGTGGTTTCATGAACTGGCTTGACAGCGGCAGCAACGGGCCGTGCACTGAGACTGAGGGCGACCCGGCCCTTATCCAGGCCAACGCCCCTGACTCGCAGGTTGTGTTGTCCAACATTCGCTGGGGTGACATTGACTCGACCCTTGAGTCGGCTTAGAGAAAGGCATTGAGAGCGTTTTGGGAGAAGGAAACTGTAAAATGAGGATGGGTTGGGATACTCACTGTATATATCGGAGCACATAACAAAACTTCCTCGACACATCTCGCTGTACATAGTTATGGGATTGTTGTTCGCTTTTTCAGTTTTCGCCTTGCGTCCTGTCAATTGTCGTGTAATTGATACCAGTGTTGTCCCGTGCTGCGTGCTGATTCCCGAATACCCGTGTAATTATCCGTAACTGCTGCGGATACCATTCTTGCGATAACTTGTCGTCGTCTTCGATTTGTTGCTGCTGCTAAAGGTAAACACTGCCGTCTCTCCACAAATTAGACCCAGGATTCAACTTTGAAAACATACCTTGCATCATGAAAGCCCTTTGTCCTCCTCCCAAAATTCTCGCGACATGACTGAGGCCAACCACGCCAAGCCACACGAAGCAAGGGTGCAACGTGGTGCAGTCATCCCCCAAAAGAACGCCTTGGCGCCCTCGGCCACGCACGCGGCAGAAAACCGCCTTACCCTTCGAAGTCCCCCCTCTGCAGAAATACGCTTAACTCCCTGAAGACTTTGGCCCGTCAAGCTGCGCCGCGCTATCGCTTGACGTATGCAATGAATGCAACAATAAAATGCGCCCCTTCCAGGCCTTCCGACCCCCCAATTCCCATGTCGTGCCGTGGTTAACCCCCCCAGCTGCATAAGTGGCGCTTTTCCAGGGCGTTCTTTGGCGTTTCGTCATCGGGCGCGCCCAATGCCCTTTGCGCAATAGCCGAGGGCTGGGGTTGGTGGATGTGATAAAAGCGGTTGAGGGTGTTTTGAGGCCGGGAGGGGCCGCGTCCAAGAGGGACGGCCCCCCGTTTCCATTGTGCCGTTTGCAGGCCTCCCCGCGCGCGCGCAGGGCGGATTCTTAGATCCGTCACTCGTGGGTGGTTGGCGAACCCCGCGATGATTGACGTATAACTCGAGTTACCCCTTCACCATCGATTGTGACTGGTTTTTGTTCGCCCCTTGCTCCCTGTCGATTTTCCCACGCTTTGAGTAACTCATACCCGTCGAACCTCGAATTTTGTCTCACCCATTCCGGACGCGGGCGACTTACTGACCCAACCCACCCGTGTGCATTTCTTTCCCTTTGTCCCCGCCAATTCCATCACCATGACCGCCGTTTGGGACCCCGATCGAGTCCTCAACGTCCGCGGCCGCGGCATCTACCAGAATGGCATCCAATGCAACGGAGCCAACGGCGGCTACGGGCCACGATGTGGGTGGACAAAGGGTCGGCGCCTCGACGAGGCACCAGATGTGCGGCGTGCCGAAGCGCTCCTGCACTCCCTGGCTGCCCGCCCGCCTACCAACATCAGCATGGACACCCTCGAAGAGCTCGCCTGGCTGTGTCTTTGCCGTGACCACCATCAGGATCAAATGAGGTTGATCGCGCAGAAGTGGGACCGATTGGTCCGCAGTGCTGCTGCTAAGTACGTTCCGCCTGCTCCGGTCCCGGTCCCGGCCCCGGCCCCGGCCCCGGCTCCCGGGCCTACACCGACCCCAGCGTGGGCGCCCCTGGTGCCAGCCTCGGCCACATCACCAGCCACAGTCCCTGCACCAGTCGTTACATTCGACTCATTGCAATGGAAATCTGCCGACTGGCAGAGCGTGCTCGTCCCTCTTACCAGCTCAACCGCGCAAGTCAAGTCCCCCAGCACAACAACGCCAGCCAAGACTCCCAGCCCGCCACCCACCCAACCCGCTATTCAAACCGCAGAGAAACCACGCCACGAACGAATACAGCACGCCAATGCCCCAACCAAACCCACCACACGTGCCCGTTCCCCATCCCGTGAGCGCACCAACTCCGAACTCCAAGCAGCCCTGGTCAAGCTCTCCGCGCTGCAAATCCAAAACACCGAGCTTCGCGACCAAGAACAGCGTCTCAAGGTCCTGGAGAAGGAGTACGCAGACTTCAAACAGAGCACCACCACCGAGTTGGCCGGTGCGCAGGTCAAGATTGTCACGCTGGAGAAGGAGAACAAGAACTTCCGCGAGGAAGCCGATCGGCTGCAGGCGCTTGAGGCGGAGTATTCGCAGTCGAGCCAGGAGTCAAATGATGCGTTGGTTTGGTCGCAGGATCAGCTGTCGACGTTGCAGACGCAGCATACTGATTTGAGTGAGGAGCATGAGACTTTAGCGGCGGAGTATGCGGCGTTGAAGGAGCAGGCTGCTGCCCAAGCGGAAGAACACGAGAAAGCACTGCGATCACAGGCCGAAGCTGTCGAGATAGAGCGTGCCGAGGCTCTCGCAAAGGCTGAACGGGTCTACACCGAAAAGGCGCTGGCCTTGGCAGACCTGCAGTCGGAGTACCATGGCCTGCAAAACCGCGCTGCGCTGACCACGATCAGCTTGCAAGCACAAACGGCTGCAGTTCTCAAACTTCAAGCCGAGTACGATACCCTCCAGTCGGAACACACAAGTCTCAAGAGCAAGTATGCCGCCCTGCGTTCCGGATACACCGGCCTCGAAGGACGACACCTGGCCCTCGAGGCCTCCCACGCCGGGTGTTTGGCGGAAACCCATATGCAAGCCGCAAACATGATCCTCTTGCAGGACCAAATCGCCGCGCTCTCTCACTCTGAAGCCCAGCTACGCGCCGAGGCCCAGCAGCGCGATGTCACGCTGCAAGATACCCGCGATAAGTTGGGGTATGCCCTGCGTTTGGCGGACGAGGTTGTATCTGTTAGCTTTGCTGCTGCAGGGCGCAGAAACACCAAGTTCCAGGGCCGGGCCAGTCGGTTGGTGAAGAAAGCTGGGGCGCGGACGGTCGGGAAGGTGAAGGATCTTGGGAGATCGAAGGGGAGGACAAATAAGGAGTCGAGAGGCGTGGTAGCGGTGAATGAAAAGGTCCGTGACGGGAGTAGCACGGGAAGTAATCCGGATCTTCACGGCCGCCAAACGAGCCCGGTTCGCACAACTGCGAATGTGGGGGTCCTTCCGGCGAGATCGAAGAGATCAGTGTTGGGCGGCGTACAAGGCTGGTTGAAGAAATTAGGGCCTCGGTCTTGAGCCCGGATTGCTGAGCGGTATGCGACTCCGCGGTAGGTCAATGGCGTGGCCAGCATATTTGTAAGATGTATGAAGTGGCAACGAGGTGTAGTGTATTATGATGTACTTTTTCTTGGTCAGTTTGTGGGAGTTAAAAGGCATTATTGGGCTACTCACTTAGGTCTCCTTAAATCCACTTTCCCTTGTCAAATGAATCCTCACATCCCGGCCTGTTCCTTTTCATAGTAGTAACTTTTTACCAGACCGAGAGGCCGGAAGCTGTGCAGAGATAATTAGTGGTGTGTTGCCTTTCTGATACACCTACATGTCAGTCAGTGTCATGCGCCCATCGCGTGGTAAACACCAATTGTTATTCCAAAACTGATGGTTGAATCGCTTCTTATTGTTCTGATTACCCGTATGCTATATTCCTTGGTTGTGAAAGTAGTTCAGTACCCAATCATTTGACCCATAATCCTGTGTATTAGCTGTCAACCACGCATCACCCAACGACTCCGACGCAAAGTAGCCCTGTAAACCCTCCACATATCCCGAACTGACCATGGGTGGCGTCGGCATAGTTGGCGGCTGTTGCGGTTGTCCCCAGTGCAAATTGTGCGCAAACGGGTTTAAAGACGGCTGGGAATGGTTCAGTCCCGGGTACAGTATTGGAGGAGGCGGTACTGTCGTTACTTCTCCTCGCGTGGACGGGAACTGGGTTGTATCTATGCGATATGTTAGTACCCAAAAGAGGGCGGAGTGAAATTAGTCGGATCGCGGCGTACCAGATCGGCCCCCAGTCCGCTGGGAAATGGTCTGTCGGTACCGCAGGAGAACCTCTATCCCTCGCTGAGCAGATATGACGTCGGATTTGTGGAAATGAAGAATGTCCATGGCGCGATTCCAGGAAGACTTTGCCGGCTCGGCATCCAACTTGACACCCAACTTTGGTGATAGTGTAGCGACCAAGAGAATGGTCGCCGATGCAAACGTAACTGTACGCTGGCGGTCAGCACAACCGAAAGTGTAAAGCAGAAGACCGCTAGCTCTCACAATGTAACATGAACCAGACCGACAGGCCAGAGTTGACGGATAACGATCCGTGTATTTCCTCCAACATAGAGTGAACCGTCTCCAAGCAAAGCATGCATATTTCGTTATGCAAACGCTCTTGGAGAGCCACTGACGCCGTCTGCACCGCGTTGGGTGCCCTCAAGGCCCATCTCTGTGCTTCAGCTAAGAGGGAAGGGCGAAGAAGGACGACCCTCAGGAGGATTAAGCGGAATCTAATTGTTTGGGATTGTACGCGGAAACATTTTATCGAGTCCGCGTTTAGATTCCACCTATTGTAGTCGGCATCTGGTTGAAGATGAGCAGGCATCCCACTAATCATGTCGTCGATCCTGGAATTGACGGAAAGGAGCACGCTGGGATCCGGCATAGAGGCTTCTTCGTCCGCGTGGCCAAACTTGAGACGAGGCGCCCGAGCGGCCTCCCGCATGTCTTCCAAGATGCCTAACATTTTCATGGTGTAGCTGATCATATCCATGCGGGATGGAAGCCCTTGTGGTTGTGAGGCTTCTTCGGTGGTAGAAAGGTACTCTTCATCGATGCAGGATGGGATTGGCGTTTGTGTGAGACCGGGGAAAATGAGACCGGGCCGCCCAAAGCTGTTGGAAACAATCCTATCAAACCAGTCAACAGGTCGCATAAAGGGGAAACGCCGGGAATGGGGTGTCCGTACTGGTCTAATGCTACACAACCGCCGAACCATACCCTTCGCCTCATCTCCCGCTCGAGTTGTCCGGGTTCTCTTTTGGGTGGGAGGTGGAGGCCAAGCCCGATGGCCACCCGGACCGCCGCCCCTGACATGAGCCAGCACCGATCCGCCCTGCCAGCAAAGTACAGGTACATGGCCCGCAGGAGCATGAGCTGAACAATAGGGATCGAAGCTTCGTCAATAGCCTCTATCGATACGAGACGGAGGGACCGTTTGTAGAAAACGTCGGGGTCATACTCCCTGTGGTCGGGTGATCGTGTTTCGTTTCGTAAGCAAGCCACTGCCATCACCATATTCACCGTAGCGTAGAACAGGACCTGCTCGAATGACTGGACCGGCGGAGGTTTTTCTTTCCAAGTAGCGAGGCATCGTTTCTCAAATGTGGGCCAATGGAGAAATGGGAAAATTGAGTGAAAGTTTTGCCAATACCACCGGAAAATATCGTTGGCAACCCGGTAGGGGGGAAGCGTCAACGCGTTCAGGTCGACTTCTTCAAAAGGTTGATTCACAGGTAACGTTGAGAATCCTTCAAAGCCCGGGTAGGTGGGCGATTCAAGAGATAGAACCGGAGACTCGGACGTGCCAGTTGGGTCGTGTGAGTTGCGCTGTTGGCCAACCGCCTCGAGAGCGTCCCGCATGAAGGTTGCGTTCGTCCCTGACATGGGTAGGTGGGTGGCAAACGGGTCCGGTATTGGGTGTCGTTGACCCTCCTGCTCCTCCTTGATATCGTCCCCAAAGGGGACGGGAGTTTGAGGGCCGGATCCTATGCCAGCTTAGTCCATCATCTTGTGACCACGACATGAGGGTAGCGAGGAGGAGGGTCATTACCAATGGACTGCACATTTGGTGATGGCCTACGCAGAATCCCAGGATCAGCTCGAGCACCGCTTTCAAGCCTCTGAACCCTTCGGTCGAGCTCCACCAAAGTTCTGTCGTGATATTAGTAAGATCCCGGGTTTGTATCGCGAGTTTGGTCGTTACTTACAATGCTGCGGATTGCTGCATGACACTGTCCGGATAACTGCATTTATCGTCCCAGCCCCGGAGGGAACAAGCTGTGCACACCGGTTTTCGTCCATCGCATCCGGTCTTGCGCGCACGACACGGATTACAGGCGAGGCGCGACTTCCGCCGCCGCTGAATCCCCTGCCCCGTTTCGGCGACGAATGTGTGGTGAGGCTTCTCCATGGCGGAGACTGGTCGGTTCGGAGGACTTGACGGATTTTGGGCCTGAATTGATCCTGAAATCGGACTCTCCACGCGAGCGTGAAGGTGTTATGTAATACGATTCGGCCCTCTCATTGGCGAGCCTGCCGGGTGCGCCAGCTGTTTTTGACAAGGGGTAAATGAGACATGGCGCTGTTCAGCCAGTTCTTGGCGACGCCTCTGACTCTCGTTCATGCATCCCCCGATTTGGCGTGAGTCGCGACGCGCGCTCAACACCATTTGCAGTGATGAAGTGCTTAGCGAGTTGACCTCTATTGGCATTTGTTTCTCGCATTTCCTTGCCTTTCCCAGCGACCAGAATAGCAGGTTCCTGAGGGGTCGAAAAGTGCCGTTATCGGTGAGCGGGCCAAACTGCGGGGTTCTCATCTCCCTCTTCTGTTAGACTTTTTTAAGGTCAAGTGTCTCGCACCCCGCGCCGGGATTTCTATTTTATACCAGCTGTTAGCTGCGGATTGGGCCGTTTCCGAACAAGTCAGTGTTTGTATTCGTACTAGGGAATCAGTTATTCCCGGCGACTTCGCCGCATGGTTTCTCTTTTTGTCGCCGATCTGGAAGAACGGGCAGCATGTCGAGCACGTGCGACCAGGATGTTCTATCCATGTCTCCGGGACTTTGCCAACACCGATCCTGCAACACAGATCAATTCCTGACTTGTCTAGTTTTGTGAGTTGAACGTTTGTCGAGTTCTTGGCGACGAGCCGAGAGTCGCCGGTGAGAGGGTGAAGAACGCCCCGGGCGCCAGGTCTGGGAAAAAAGTCCCAGGGAACGCTCAATGTGTTCAAGCTCAATTGAAGCGAGTTTGATGTGATTTCGCTGCGTTGAACATCGACAAGCCTGAGACAACCGGGTCAAAGTTCAGGAATGCCTCCCCTCAAATAATGCGCTGATGTGAGACAGTTGTTGACAACAAAAGATCGGCGACATGCCAGGTCGGAAGGCAACGAGGACTTTTCTTATCTCGTTCCTTCCTCAAACCAGTAATCGAAACGATAACTAACCAGCCCTTTGGAGCAAAGAACGACCGTTCACCACGATGCGCCTCAGAGCAGCCCCACTGTTTGAAACCGCCCTCTCGTGACCGTGCTGTTTCCCCGAAGCCCGGTGATGTTCATGTCTCGACAATTGTGCTCGGGGCCGAGGGTTCACAGCGTTTTACCCTCGGCCAGAAGCGCCACGAACTGTTCCACCTTCTTCTTCCGCGTCTCCTCCCGCTTCACAGTCTCAATACGCCACAAGAAAGCGTACCGTTTCGACTTGCCCAACCCCTCGAAGAAGGTTTTTGCTTTCTTGCTTCGATTGAGCGCAGCTTGGAAGTCGGGGGGAACCTCCATCGTGCTTGGTGGCGCGTACGCCTTTTCCCACCGCCCGTCTGCCTTGGCCGCGTCAATCTCCGCCTGCCCGGACTCTCGCATGCGTCCGGCGTCAATTAGCACCGCAACTTTCCCGACGTTTCGCTTCGACCAGAGGCTGTTCTTGCGCCGTGGCGTAAATCGTTGGACAAAATGGTCGGCATCGAGACCCTTCTTCTGACCATCGATCCAGCCGTAACAGAGTGCGGTGTCAAGCGCCTCATCGTATGTGACAGATGCAATGCCACTGCTCTTCTTGCTGATCTTCAACCATAGGCCAGTTTGGTCAGCGTGGTTGACGTCGAGCCATGTCTCCCACGCCTTCGCATTTTCGAAGAATAAGATCGGCTGTGTTGCGGCAGCTGTAAGTGTGGGCTGATTGGCGACTTGGGCGAGTTTGGCTGCGAGTCGTGTTCGTGCTGCCATGTTCCCTTGTGGCGCCGAGGTCGTCAAGCCGTGGTTGTCCGTTGATCGTGTTTGTTTTGATGGTTGAAGTCCTGCCTCGACCAAACACGCGTGCAGCTCATGAGACATTTCAGCGTAAGCGGCTTCGAAACGACCCGAGATCAGGGTTAGGGTACTAAACGTGGTATCCCCTCTTGGCCGTCCATACTCACACCGTGGTGAGGCCGTCCGTCCATCTAACAACAACGATGAGAACAAAAACAAACAACAGCGACTGACCCAATACTTACTGACTGGGTTCTGCCAGAAAGGGGTAGTAAGCTGCTAAAGGTGGGAGACAAAAAGATGAACTCCGATCCACCCAGGGGTCGAACCTGGAACCTCCTGATTCGTAGTCAGACGCTCTGCCATTGAGCCAGCGGACCTTCAATTGGATGATGAGATTAACCAGGTAACGCTCTTAAAAAGAAGTAGACCACTCCGTACTGTGAGCGCAGCCACGGTTCCGGCAATCAACACGGGACCCTTTCTTCCCCACGGCTTGGCACGCCATTTTATTGACTCCCATGGTACGAAGTAACATTCACAAACCCCTTGAAATATCTCATTTCTCTACAAAGTCTGCGTCATCGCCAACGGCGTGAGGCAGGGCCAGGAAAAGCCCTCAGTCGTTCTCCCGTCGAAGCTTTTTGGAAAAACGGATTCGTCAACAAATTAACTTCTCAAAGCGTTGGTCATCGGGCCTTATTCCCGCCCACGAGGTGAACGAATCTGCCGATCAATTGAACGGCCCCGGGACGAATACGGCACTTTGCTCACATCAGATAAATGAAATACCCCACATTCTCGGCAAACTTCCCCAGACATGACCAAACCAATACGATCCCCACTATCAAGCCGCCATTTGATGCAAGAACTGCCTTGTTTACCCGGGGAAGGATGGGACCGACCCCAGGAAGACCAAGGGTTTGGGCAGGAACGAGGACGGGAGTGCAACGGTTCACTTCGTCATTCGTCGAGATGCCTACCTGAAATGCACCCTTCCAACGAGATCGACCTTGAGAATTTCCCCGTTCTTTTTGACAGCCACGGAGGAACTCCGGAGAGAGCATTTGCAAATTGCAACTTGGGTGCGGTTACAAACCCCTTTCCCAGCCAACGAGAATTTGCTCAGTCTTCTTGGAGAGATTGTCTGCCTAGACATGAGCGCAAATTTTACAACCCCTTTAGCAAGGCCAAGCAACCTCGGAGTTCCCGTAATTCAGTGCCGAGCCGGGAGTGACGCAAAGAAAACAACGACACTTCATAGTACACAGTAAACACGCGGTCGAATTCCCGGTGAAATATGGGATCGCCGCTGCATCAGCTTGAAGCGGACGATGCGATCCCGGGCCAAGCCAACACGGACCCGGTAGAAGGGTGAGGATTTACATGATGCCGCAAACAAGGGGGACGGGCCTTAACTATCAACCCGTCTGCGCCCAGGAACAAGGAACGGGTGATCCGCACGTCTGTTATATTTTATAGAGGTGATCGTCCTTGTTCTTCCCTCCCGTGTCAAACTACCCGTGTGTTCCTGTCAATCTTCGCCTTACCTCAATTGCCTTCGGGCTGCCACTCTTCTTCTCACAGCACTTAGAGACCCCGACATAACAAAACACATAACACAACATCCAAAATGGCACCACCACTCCTCACGACCGCACTTTCCCTCCTTACCCTCGCGGCCCCCGTCCTCAGCCACTCCCACCTCGGCTACATCATCGTCAACGGCGATCTCTACCACGGCTACGACCCCCGCCCAAACCAAGTCAACCAAGCCAACCGCGTCGGCTGGTCCACAGGCGCCGTCGACGACGGTTTCGTCACCCCCTCCAACTACACCCACCCCGACATCATCTGCCACATCGACGGCACCAGCCCAGCCGCCCACGCCCCCGTACGCGCCGGCGACCAGATCCACATCCAATGGAACGGCTGGCCGATGGGACATGTCGGTCCCGTGCTGACATATCTCGCGCCCTGTGGCGGGCTGGATGGGGCGGATACCGGGTGTACGGGGGTGGACAAGACGGAGTTGCGGTGGACGAAAGTCGATGACTCGCTTCCGGTCATGGAACACACCCCTTCGTCTGGAAATGGCGGCGGCCTGCCGGAGGGGGTCCCGGGGGAGTACTGGGCGACGGATGTGTTGATTGCGGCGAACAATAGCTGGCAGGTGACGGTGCCGAGTGGGTTGGCGGCTGGGCCGTATGTATTGCGGAACGAGATTATTGCGCTGCATTATGCTGCCGAGGAGGATGGGGCGCAGAATTATCCCTTGTGTATGAACTTGTGGGTGGAGGGGGATGATGGTGCTAGGCAGGCGGCGGATGATGCGCTGGTGCTGGATGACATTGATGCAACTACGTTTTACACGCCGGAGGAACCGGGGATTTTGTTGAATGTCACGGCCGGGGTGTCGTCGTATGCGGTGCCGGGCCCGACGGTTGCTGCTGGGGCTACGCCGGTGCCGTATGAGAGTCAGGTGGCGAGTATTTATAGGGCCGATGGTACGCCGGTGGTGGTGACTAGGAGTACGGAGACCGTTCCGTTTACCACGGGGGCCACTGCCGCTGTGTCGGGCGGGTTGAAGGGGAGGTATAATCGGACCTAGGGTCTTCGGGGGGTTATTGAAATCGAAGGTTTAATTAATGCGTTGTATATATTCCAGCTAAACGTACCCAAACTTATTCATATATCTTGCATCTGTCTTTAACGCACCTGCGTGAGGTTGAACCTACAATTTCCCAAATTCAGTTTCTCAAAGTCACAATGTCCGCCTCTTTATGAGTCTTGGAGAGATGTTACATCAATAGTTTAAATGCAAACCTGTTGAGTGGCTTTGTTTAGAGAGGCTCAAGCCATCAATGGAAAGGTTTGAGAGGTTCCTGCATCCTCTCTCTCTCTGGCATTCGGACCGTTTCGGTCTGTGCAGAGCTGACCGAACGCCCGCTACAGCTGCTAGCGGACCGTTTCGCCCCGTTTTGCAACAGCACAGCATCCGCAAGAAACGAGTGAAGACATTTGTTCCAATAGAGGTCGTATTGGGAAGTTTCAGGGAGCAATGACGCTGCCCGGAGAGGATCGTGAGCGTGTGAGGGTGCGTGGGATGAGTAGTTAATATGGAGGTTGTCAGCTGTATAATCATGGAGCTGCGCAAAACCGGGTCTCAAGCCTGTCTGGCGTGTTATACAAGGGCTTTTTTTTCTTTTCCTCTCAGAGCTGCTGGTAAAGCACAACAATATCCATAACATTGGTCAATGATATAAATCCATAAACCAAGATACTTCGTTTATATTTCTCGCCCCCCCCTTTGCCAGCAAGTATGAAACTTCAGCTAAATCATCGCTTGGCCCTCACCCCTCACGCGATCCCCTGTTCCCCCAAAGCGCCGCTTTAACCTCCTAATAAGCCGGCTTCAGTTACAAGATATTGCAACCACCATCCTTATCCCTCTTCTTCGGTTTCTTCAGCCTAGTCCCACGACGCAAGCACGTATCGCAATGGCCAACAAGCATGTGGGCAGCTTCGCCCCTGTAATTGCACCGTCCACGGCAGTTGGAGTCACTAGGATCGCGGCCGAGCCTTCGTGGGCCCTCGGTGCAGCCGCAGAGCCGTCTGTCAAGCGCCCAGTTGCACATGATTTCGGGGCAGAGGTGGGTGTTGGCAGTTTCTGGAACGGGTACGCGCCGAGTTGGGTAACTAGTAAATCAAGGAGGAGCGTAGAGTTCGGTTACTTGTTTGCTTGTCCTTAGGATCTTTAGCAGTTGATGTGAGGGTAATTCAAGCGCTTATCCGGGCTGGCCACGGTTGTCTCACCATGTATTGCCGTTGATTATGGAGTCAGTGTTATGTCGGCCGAGTTGGAGGTTGAACTTTTTCCTAGCCATGCTTATGACTAGGGGAACCTTAAATAGTACTTACAAAGAGGACAGTAATAAAATCTGTCCAGATGCCACATCTCACACACTTACACTACTGTAAAGTCGTCCCAGGCTGGTCCTTATTCAATGAATCGGAGTACCTTAGCTCAACGTGTTCAGTATCGATGATGAGCAATCTCCTCAGCTGCCTGAGCAGCGTATGAAAGCTGCTCCTCCTTCAGCAATGGTGTTGGTAAAGAACAAGCTCGCCCATACGGCAGCTCCAGAATGAACAACGAACATGGCACTCTAGATTCACACACGTTGCAGTCTGAGTCCCGATGAAAATTATTAAGTTTTGAACTAACCAGAAACGATTCCGGGCAGGAAGATGACCTGTCCACCTCAGAATCCCTCTACGCTGGCCAGTAGCCTCAAGGCCCGCCATGTCCCCGTACACCTTATGGATTTGGTCGGCGCACCTCTGAACTCTTTTGAATGCTTCATTACAGCTCCTTAGGTAGGCTCTGTGTCTCGTTGCGGAAAGTTGGATTCAACTCCCACATATTCCAGGACTTCCATTACTTTGTCAAAATTCAACTTCAACTTCCAGTTTTAACCGCCGGGTCGCCCAAGCCTGTGGGCCGATAATTACGAGGCTCGAGGAGGAGGCAATTCCAGACCTCACAACCCCCAGCGGCAAGAAGGGCGCACGAAGAGGTTAAACATAATTGCCGCGCAGTGCAAGCCACCGGAGCGTTTGGCCATGTTTCAAGCCAACGAATTACTTTGGCACATGACGGGCAGCGAAGGTGCACGTCGTGTTGGCCCGTGGTTGTCGTTGATTGTGACCAATCAATGTACAGGTAACCACATCTAGCCGCCGAGCGACTCATTCAACTCGACCTCAAATGCGCAGGTGCCCCTAGAAAACATGTGCGCTCTCTTTGGGCCCTTGTGGTCTTGATTATTTCGGCCACGACCGTGTTGAAGGGAAGTCGCCAGTTGGGCGACAGGTTACCTCCCAGACATTCAACACATGCACGCAAGAGTGGCTTAATCCCAAACGCCCTCCTCATAAAAACTGCCACTATGGCCCAACCAATTGGCAAGACTAATCCGACTGCTGATTCTCAACCGGTTGATGAATGTCCGTTGCCAGCTTCCACAACCGTTTCGACATCACCACCAATGCTGGGCGACCAGCAAGTCGAACAGCACCCATCACCAGAAGCAGAAAGATTCACGTCAACAGACGCAGTATGTGATGCACCCCCAGATGCTGTATTTCAGCGGGAAAATAACTAATCGAGAAATCCCTATCCAGCAAGTCCTGTTCCAGCCAAAGCCCAAGCGGCCCGTTCATGAAATCGCTCCATTCCTCGGAGAGTTCGTCGACCCCGTCCATCCAGCGCTTCACCAAACCCCCGGTTTTGTTTCTCGGTGGCTTGAATCTGTGGGAGTTAATCCACCGAAACGCCCCAAGTCAGAGAGCTACCTCGATCGTGTGCCCGACCACTGTGAACTCAGGAAATTTGTGAGGTCGGCCCCCGACATGGATACAAAAACGTACAACAGCGGGTTCCTCGTGCCGCCATCCCCAGACCAAATGGACATTTGGTCACGGTCGTTCAAGGGGGCCGAGTATTCCAATTCCACCAAGGTGATAGGAGCTGTTCGGAATTCCAACTACCGCAGGAACAACCTAGCATTCAACGGCGTGAATATTCTCGCTCCATGCGACGAGTTTCCAGACCATATGATCCCTCACATCCAGCGACTGGGAGCCGACCGTCACTCGCCTGAGCTGCCGCCGGAAAAGGTCGAGGAGTATATGCAATGGCTGTCCGAGCTTGATGCATCGTGTAACGAGACGGACGTCGAGTCTTTTGTTGGGGATGCCCTGCTCCCCGAAAAAAGGGATCCTGCTTACGGAAGAGAAGCGGGCCTGCAACGTACCCGGTCCTCCTTGATGGCGGCTCACCTCGTGCCTCGTAACCATGGTATGGGTACGATTTATCGAATCTCTCAGCCAAAGCCCGATTATCTCTATGGGTACTCCTTCGGCAACGAGGCATTCACCATGGATCAACTACTGGCTCAAGAGCGCGTACATCCAACACACCCCAATTTCGGGATGGTTCAACCCAGTGTTGTATTTCCCTTTTTGGTCATTGAAGTCAAAGCTGACGGCGGGACGGGCGGGTCTCTTTGGGTTGCCTCGAACCAGGCAGCGGGGGCTGCCGCGGTGTCCCTCAATGCATCCGAGCAGTTGAACAAGAAGCTCCAGGAGTGTCAGAGCGGCTTCAGAGTCGACAACGTGTTCTACGCCATTACGGTGATCAACTATGCCGTCCAGCTGTACGTGGCGTGGAAGGAAGACGACTCGAAGTTCTCCATGCAGCGGGTTCGCATGTTCAGTCCCGACAACCCTAAACATTTCCGGGAGCTTCGCAAGGCAATTTGGAATATTCTCGACTGGGGAAAAGGCTCTCGTTTCAACCAAGTCCGAAACGCCCTGGATATCATCTGGGAAGACCACTGCAAGAAGACCTCGGCCCAGGCCAAGAGCCGCCCTCCGCCGTTCGAGGGTTCCGTCGGTAGTGTCGCCAAAAGGGCCAGATCCGTGTCATCCTGGGCGGGTGGTAAAACGAGAATCGGGAGTTCCTTGCGCAACGAAATTTCCCAGGTTTACGGAACCCCTAACACCGGTTCGTCAGGGGAAGCCTCTGTTCGGCTGCCCGTCGAGGCCTTGACCGAATCGTCAATGGGAACCCCAACTCCCAATGTTGACCAATCTCCGGCCCAAACCACAGCCCTAGACAGCTCCAACCCAGGATGGGGTTTATACCCAGCCCCAGCAATGCCACCGTCCCCGAGCCAGTCCGCCCAGCCGCTCCAGAACCCGTATCAACCGGTCCAACCCCCGTATGTTGCTGCAGGTGGACAATACTACTTTCCCAACACTCCGGATGGCGGATATTCTCAGTATGTCCCGGATGAGCAGGGTCAGGGGCAGGCACTGGCACTGTCACATGAGTCTGATAACAAGGACTGGCAACTCTGAGGCCTGATATGGTGAGTGAGCAGGATTTCCTGCAGCTCGTGGGAGCTATGAAGTAATGAACACGGGCAAACTGTGTGTTTTATTCTCTTTGTTGTGGCCTGTTTGGGTTTCTTTGTTCAATTATTTGGCTGTTTGTTTCTTTGCTTTTGCTTTGCTTGGGGAAGCATAGGGCGCCAGGAGGTTTTTGTTCAAACAGGTGTCTGGGGACATTAATCAATGGCGCTTGGGTTGTGGGTGGTGTTTTGGGGGTTACTTTCGGCCTCAATTTCATTATCTATCTAGGTGTAAGATACGAGGATTTTGGATACCACCGAGCGTTTAGAGTTCAAGTTTTGGAATTTCACTACATTACATACCCAATTATCTCTGCATTTGCAGCCTGTACCGATAATCTAAGCAATCTTACGGCCTGGGAGGTGCCGGGAAAGCCCACACACCTTGATCTGCAATCTCCCATCGAGCGACAAAAAAGGCCACGCCATCTAAACACGCAAATATCCAGAGAGGTGCCCTGATTGCGACATGACTTGTCACTTGGCCCGAATAGGTCATCAGTACGGTCCGCCATTTTTCCATTGTTCCTCTAGCCAGATCTGGTTCTCCAGCGGAGCCTTTCCGATATCCTCTCGGATATTTCACGGTCCTGTGCTTGACTCTGCCTCTTTGTCTGGTAGGATATCCATCCCATCTCGATCCAAACCCAGGTCACATAACAACGCACCTCCCCTTCCCACTGCTTCCCTGCTTAGCCTTGCTCAACGTGTCCTTCCCCTTCCCATTTCCCTTCCCCTCGCCCTGCCCCTCGCGATTCTCATTATACCCATCTTCCCCCCTCTGAGGAAGAGGCCATTCAGTTCTCAGTTGTTTGTCCCACCGACAGGTAGGGCATTCCCTAGTATCGCTGGTTTTTGGGATGTTATCCTGCCAGTAACAGCAGCCGTCACAGTCGGGGCCGTCGGTGTCGGGGCGCATGCGGTGGGGGCCGGTTTGGCACTCGCAGGCCAGTTTAATTATGTATTCGAAGTGGCACATTGTAATGTGGGAAGTATGTACTAGACCTGGGATTGTCAGTGCGGTTTGCGGTGGGGTGGGTAGCCGGGGAATGTACTTGGTAGTGGGCGGTGGTATTGGATTGTTGTTTGAGAGGTTGGCTGAGGCCCTGAGGGTGGTGATATCTACCCAGTTTATGTGTGACTGGCGGTTGAAACTGGCTTTAAGGCTTTGGGGTTGATACTGCAGTTTTGTTGGTTGCGATGGTAATAGGGAGAAAAATCGATGGGAGTGCCGGGAACGGCGAGATTTTATACTCGGGGTAAAAAGTGAGGCTGCTCATGATGTAGCATGTGCTTGTTACTACTCGGATGCTACTCGGATGCTTCTCGGATATTCTTCGAATGCGCAATGCCTGTGCGAAAGCGATATAATTAATTTGAACGTGACCAACCTCGCAGCGAGATATCACTACGGATTAAAACGGCCGCTGTGTGATTGTTGTTGCGTGATGGGTTCAGGTGTGGCAACTGGGTATCGGAACAATGGATAACTAATTACAGGCTTGGGAGTGTGGGGACATAAAGTACACTTTCGCAGAATGCACAGGTGATAGTATCATGAGTATAGAGACAATGGAAGTTGAGTGAGTGTGCTGATGAGATGATAAGTGAACTGCCAACTAACCCCAGATTTGTTGTATTGATGCAAGCAAAGCAGTGTTGGCTGGAATGCTTCAGTTCAGTAATAAGCTTTGAAGGGAAACCTGGTGGATTATCTGAGGCGGATGACCCCCACCAGGGGCCGAACAACCGATTTCGAGATCTGACTGTATGATCATAAATAGGTATGGTTGCTTTTGTTTTCTTGGTTTAGTCTTCGAGTCACATTCCCGTTAGTTACAAGATGTAAATAAGAAGGTTACTGATACTAGACTTGAGAAACGCCCGCATATCCGTCACAACAAAAAGGAACCGATGGTACTTGAAGTAGATAAATTACAATTCACCGCCAACTCCCTCCAGCTAAAATCTTACGATATTTCTACACCATAGTCCGCCCAACTACATCCTCAACCTCATCACCTACAAATTCTACCTCTGGAAAACGGCGTAACGGAAGTTGACTGTTGCTGATGAGGTAATAACCCAACCAACTCGCCCATATTTGTTGTCATGTTGAAGCAAAGCCCTGTTAGTTAGGTAGTGACACTGTTTGTTAAACAACGTTCAAACCGAACTGATTGTAAAAAGACGACGACAAAGAAATTGCTGAGGCAAATGACTCGGATGAGGGGCTAAACAAACGATCAAGATCTAACTAGTCATATGATGGTTTGTTAATTCGGTCTCTAAGTCACAGTGACATGACAAGATATACTTATATGTGATTACCCTTGAGATATCAGGAGCGAACTCAGAGTACACAACTTGCAATTCACATCAACTTACTCCCTATAAACTCCAAGATCCTACCATATCCCTATACAATAATACACTTGGTTGCATCCCAATCTCACAGCCCCCCATACTCCACATCCGGCCAATGGTCCGTCTCGAACCGTCCGGCATACAAGTTAAACCTAACCCTCCCCCCCACGGTAAACCTATACACCCACCGTCCCTCCGCCTGCCACTTATCCGTCGACATGCCATTCCACGCCACCGTCCAATTCTTGGCCGGCCGCCAATACCGCCGCCACCTCTCATTCGGCTCAATATTCCTCGGTGTCTGAATCACCACCTCCCTGAGTCTCGGCCAGCCATTATACGGCAATTGCTCAATAAACTCTGCCAAATCCCACATCAACCTATCCTCCAACAACACATTAAACAACGACACCGTCTCCAAATTCCCCAACCCATCCAGCATCCTCGCTATCGTAATCCTGCTCTCTCCGCCATTCCCATTACCCCCATTCTCAGCATCAGACACCCACCCAAAAGCATTATAATCCAAACTCACCGCCCTCAACCCCGGTCCCACCTCTGCCAACGACCGCCTATACTCCCCCAAAAACCCAAACTCCCCCGCCGGCACCGGCCGCGCAGGGTACGGCCGGACTTTGAGATGGGAGTTCTCGCCGTCGTCGCTGTGGATGGACGAGACCAGGCTGGAGAGGGTGGAGATGGAGTGCAGCGAGCCGGAGTCGGAGTCGGAGTCGATGATCATGCCGTCGTCGTCGGGGTGCACCGGGTTGCCGTCGATGTCGAGCATTTCGTCGTCGTCGTCGTCGTCGTCGTCGTCGTCGTTGGCATCCGCGTCCGCGTTGTTGTTGCCGTCGCGACGGGGGTAGTAAGGGTTTTCCGGGGCTGGGATGGGGGCTGGCGGTAACCAGGTGTGGATGGTGAGTTTCTCGAGGGTGTCGCGGCATGCGGCGCGGTCGAGGCATTCGAGGATTTGGGCTGGGGAGACAGGCATGAAGGTGTCGCGGAGGGTGGAGTAGACGTCGTGGGTGATCATGACGCGTCGGAGGAGGACACAATCGCGCAGGAGGACGCGGAGGGCTTTGTAGGAGAGGTGGCCGCGTTTGAGGTAGAGGGTTTTGAGGTTGGGCAGGCGGGCGGTGAGGGTTTCGCCGTTGCGGGGGAGGAGGACGTTGAGGCGTTCGAGTGCTGGGAGGCGGTGCAGGAGGCCGTTGAAGAGTTGGAGACGCACGCCGACGTCGGTTTCGCCGAGGCGGTCGTCGGGGATGATGTTGAGGCCGCGCATGTGGAGGAGGTTGACGGGGGGTTCGGGGGCGCCTGGTTTGGTGAGGAAGGACGTGCTCAGCCATTTCTCGCTGGTGATGATGAAGAGCGAGGTGAGGTTGGGGAGGGACATGACAAGCGCCATGAGAACGATCGTGGCGGAGATTCGGCCGTGATCGAGGACGTGCACCTTGAACATGCGGCGGACGATGTCGCGCACCATGGTGACGAGGTCGTCGGGGACGGAGTCCATGGCGTTGATGGGGCCTGGCGGGCCGATCTTTAGGTGTAGGACCAGCCTGGCGAGCTCCGGGGTCGAGCGGGCTGTGCGGAGGAGCCTGGATGAGGCCCTGAGGCAATCGGTGATGAGGAATTCGTGCGGGCATGTTTCGTCGTAGGTAGGGAGGAGATCGGCCTCGTTGTATATGACCCTGGCTGTGATGGCGCGCAGGGCGGGAGCGGTTTGGCACAGGGTGGACACGCTGGGGCGGCTGAAGAGCGAGCGGCTCCTGTCCATGTTGTCCAGCTCCTGGGCGATGAGCAAGATGATGTTTTGGGGCAACCCCATAAACGGGCTGCGCCCGGGGGGGAATGGGATGCCATGGGAATCGATGGGCTTGCTCGGATCGGGCTGCGACATGTTGACGGCTGATCGATATCTGGGGGGTTGTAGACCTAGATTTGAATCTCGAGGTGCTTCTGGAGGTGCTTCTCAAGGTGGCTCTCGAGGGTGTTATGACTCTGCAAAGGGTATCGCCAGAGTCACTTACGTGGAACAGGATTGTTGCCATGGTAGTTATATTCCAGGCACGAGGTAATAAACACTGCTCAAACTTACAAAGATGGCCCTCGGGATAATGGAGGACTCGAGCCTTTCATCCCATTAGTAGACCTAGTACACTTGCTTTGTTCACCTCTCGATTCCCAATTTGGCTACAAAGCGTTATTTACTAGAATGAACAGCACCTCTGTTCGAGTCCAGAACACAATGCCATTTTGTCTCTCAGTCAATTGTCAGTGTAGGAGAGGGGGTCAAAGACTGGGCTGGAAATAGATGAGCCTTGTGTGTCATTTTTGGGTGTATTAGGACGTGCCAGACGACTACGGAGACAACTCAGAGTTGGCAATGAACATCAATTAATCGTCCGTCACTGAGAAGTGATCTGTTACGAAAGGCAAGTCGTCTTAATCATGGAAAGGCTAACTATCGTAACAGCATTACACGACGAGATGTGAAGGCCGGGCTAATGCGATGTTTTCTCTGACAAGTGGTATAGTTTCTCGGGATCCAATACGGGGATAACAATCTGTTAATTACTCGTCACAATCACCATTGCGATCATTATCCGAGAAAGAAACAAAGCACGGTCAAAACATAGTCAACCCCAGCTTTGTGTATAATTACCACAAACTACTTTGTCCTCGTAGACCCACTTAACCCCTTGACCCCTTAAACACAACAATGAGACCCGTATTCCTTACTTCCTTTCACCGCACCCTTCACCACAGTGACCACATTCTCACCACACCCGCTTCCACCTCACTTTCATATCCCGGTCCGGCGGAACCGAAGCAGCCCCGCTCCATCGCACATCATTCTGCGGTCCCCTGTCCGAAGGCGATCCATCTTTGTGTGTCCAGCCCACAAACTCGATGTCAAACCTCGAGACAAGAATGCTAAACGTCAGGATAATCTCTTGCTTGGCGAAAAAGCGGCCGGGGCACATCGATGGTCCACCCCCTGTTTCTGTTAGCACGTCCAATCCTTATCAAGCTCCCTCCTCGTATTTAGAGGATATAGACATACCATAAGGATACCAATCACTAGCCCGTCCCGTCATCGAAAACTGCGGCACCTTCTCCGTCCTCCCATCCTCCCCAACTCTCTCCACATACTTAACATGTCTTTCCGCCCAAAACTCCCCCGCCGGATGGCCCTCGGCGCCCCAAATCCCCTCGTCCAAATGCGACACCTCTGTCGGTGCCTGGATCAACGAGCCCTTTTCTAGTTCGTGTCCGCCGACTTGGATGGGTTCCATGACTTCCCGCGTGATGTTCATGGAGACGTGTAAGCGCATGGCTTCGACGTAGATGGATTGGAGGAGCGGGGAGGCGAGGAGTTTTTGGATGTCGATGTGGCGGGTGGAGGTAACAGGGTCCGTGACGATGGCTTTGGCGACTTCGGACCGGACGGTTTGGAACAGGGTGGGGGAACGGAGGATTTCGATGAGGCACCAGCCTACTACGGGGGTGGTGTTAGCGTTGGAGCTGGGGTAGTTAGCATCTGACCACCATAAGAAAGAAAAAAAAAAACAGGACAAGGCAGAAGCAAAGAAACGGGAAAAAATACCCAAAAATATACATAACCGCCAACGTCCCCGCCAAACTCCCCACTTCCCACCCCTCCCTCTTCAACCACCTCAAACTCTCCCTCGTGACACTCGCCCCCCAAACCTCCTCCCAGTCTTTTTTGCTTTCCTCCCCCTCCCAATCAAACCCCTCCCACTCCCGCTCCACATGTCTCCGACACGCCGCCAGCAACGCATCCCTCTTCCGCCAGATAGATCTATTCATCCATTTCGGAAGTCCCCAGACTAACTTGGCAGCGCCCTCGTCCATTTCCCAGAGTAAGTTCGGGAGGTCGGGCTCGGTTTGCAGGATGCGTGTGCCGGCTAGGGTGCCGGTTGCTGCGGAGGTCGTGTCAGACAGTAAGAGGTCGTTGTAGACGAGGGCGGTTATCCATTCGCTTTCGCCGGTGTCGGTGGTAAGGGGGAAGCGTTTGGCCAAACGGTCTTCGAAGAGAGACTGGAAACGAAGGGCTAGGGCATCGGTTTTGTGGGCTTGGACTAGGTGTTCATGCACGATAACATGCATCGGGTAAAAGTACCGGTCCAAACCACTACCATCATCCCCTTCTTTGGTGGCTCCTGCAGGCGTGCGCATCCGCCCTGTCTTGTCGGCTTTGATACGATTCATATCCTTCTCAGGAAACCCCGCTACATGCTCATACACGAGACACAAAAACTTATCCGGGCTGATGGCCGGTGAGGTACGGAACAGGGCCTGGATATTCCGCGCGGTGGTGAGCATGTAGATTTTTTCGGGGCCGAGGCGGAACTGGAAGATCGGGGTTTGGGCGGTGAGGTGGGTGCGGCAGCGGGCGAGGAAGGTAGTCATGTCGGTCATGTATTGGTAGGTGTTAGAGAGGATGGGGATGGTTTCGGGCAGGTGGGGGATGGTGCTTTTTTTGGCGGGATAGAAAACGGAGGTGAGGAGGCGGACGGTGAGGAGGGCTCCGACGAGGGCCACTGGGAGTGGGTGGTCGAGCACCCATTGGGTGACGGCTGTTTGGGACGCCATTTTGGTGGCGATGACTGTTGAGGTTCTCAACTCCTCAGAAGGAAGAGAACGGATGCGGGTTCGTGGAAGCGAACTTGGGGGCCACCCGGTATTTTATTTTACCACGTAAATAAGGTCCTGGAACTCAACACCAAGGTAGCAATCGAACCCCACCACCGGCAGAGGACCGGAGATGCAGAATCTAATCGAGCGACACCCATGTCGTCACATTGTCCACGTCAAGCTGAACGCCCAGTCTGCAGCCCAGAAATGCGGAGTTGTCTTGGTTGTGATGCTGCGCTAGGCGTGCCGGGTTCAGTGTGCCGTGTTCGGATAAGGAATAAAACCGCTGCATGGACCGTTTGCCGGGTTCTTTGAGGTAACACAAACTAATGTTTTTATGGACCAAGGTCGATCACTTTTCGGGGTGTCGGATGGATTTGAGTGATGCTGACTTTGTCAAGTCACTTGACGGACATTTCGAAGTCCGGTCTGGGAATTGACATCGAGGAAGGGGCTTACTTTGCGAAGTTTGCATCGGTTGATGTTCTGGGTTCACCACACTGTTAGCTTTGCAAACGGGAGCTGAAATACTCAATCTAGCCAGCTGCATAAGGTCGCGCATGACAGGACGTTTCATTAACCTTATCACAGTTACCTAGCTAACCTGATTCACCCAAGGAGTTTAGGTATTGCCCCACATTGAACGTGTTGAACTCGTCGCTGCATTCTTCATCTATTCCTCTTCCAAAAATCGGACTATTCTCACATATGTTCAAGGTTAGGGACCTACCTACTTTCCAGCTAATGGTGAGTCTACCCGACGCTGCGATTAAGAAGGTTGAGTTTGGGGATGATGGATCGTTTGAGGTCGGATGAACGTCGTGCTTGGCACATCAACAGTTATTCGCGCCGAAACCGCTTCCCTTGGAGGGTATTGGGCGTGCGCACATGGTCGAGGTGTGACAGTGGAGTGGTGATACCGGGGATTTAATTGGGCGATATTCCCGAACCGTCGCATGTGGCGAACCACTCTTGCGGGGCCGACCAACCGAGTGATGATGGTGGTGGTGGTGGTGGTGGTTTCCGGAGCGGAACTTAGAATTTGGATGGGGTGGACGGTCGACGTATTCTCGAAGGCATCGCATCCGCCATCAAACGAAAACAGGGGTTGCGTGAAATCGGTGACGTCCCATTCAAAGTGTAAATTGATAGTTGTAAGAAGTAATTAATCCTGGATAATTACGGAAAATAAAACTGAGCAGGCGAAGGATGATTGCGTCTTACTCTTAGGATACGAGAGTTTGTGAAGCCAGTAAAATCTAGTTGTCCAGAGTTGAGAAGTGTTGTAGGCTTTAAAATGGAGGGCCCGAAGGGTCTCAGTCCCTTCTGGGATCGAGTTAATTAAACGAAGGCGGAAAGGGCGACCTGCGAGCACGGAATCTGCGGTGCAATGTAATGAATCCCCCAAAACCCGTTCACATTAATGTAACTTACGTCTAACACTGTCTCGAATTTTAGTAGGACCGAGTTGTCTGACGCTCTCATTTCTCCCCCATTAATTACCTAGGTACCTACCTATCAAAATGTTCCTTTACTAGAACGTAGCCACTTATTTCGGCAGTCCTGCAATCCAATTCCCAACTGGGAGGGCGTGATGGTGTTGGTAAGGAAGAAGGCGGAAGCTACATTAATTACCTATTGTTAACGTTAAGCTTGATTCGAGACTTTACATGAGGATCATGCCATGTCATGACGACCTCATAATACATCCGAGACGGATCCAAAAGGAGATCTCTCAGTACCTACACAAATTCAGAAAACGTAGATACATAACTACCAGTATCGGGGGCCGGAAAATGGGTCTGGGGGGATCATGGTTTACTGCCATTAGTGTCTGCTGTTAATTTAATATTTCTCAGCATTAATTCGTAGTTACTCCTTTTTGTTGGCAGTAATTAATTAAAACGACAGTTCTCTAGGGTCAAGCTGCGTTTCACGTTGCACCAACAAACACCACGCGGCCATTGCCTATGCCTTCCACTATTAAACTCTTCAAAATAGATTTAGTTATCAACCATCCATCCACCCTCGCCCTCAGCCTGTTAATTAACCTTTAACCCGCTAACACAGAACTACTCCGGCCTCCACCCGGCCCCATTTCTCCGATTCCACTGATGGCGATCCCCCTTCACCCGTCTCTTCTCCTCCCACAACTTCCCACTCAACTCCTTATACACAAACGCATTCTGCCCATCATACCGTATCCCATGATCCGAATCCGTAAAAAACGTCACATCCAACTTCTCCGGCCCAACCCCCCCACCCATCAACAAATCCCCCAACGCCGCCGAGTTCTGAAAATGCACATTATCATCCCCCGTGCCATGCTGCACCAGGAACTGGCCCCTCAATCTCTTAAACCCCTCCACCTTCCTCACCGCCGACCGGTTATACCCGTCAGGGTTAATCTCGGGTGTCTTCATGTACCGTTCAGTGTACATACTATCATAGAACCGCCAATCCGACACGGGCGCCGTGGCCAATCCAAAAGCAATCACATCATCAGCGCCAGCCTCGACCACTTTGGCGGTTAAATACCCCCCGTAACTCCACCCCCAAATGCCCATCTTATCCCGCGCTACCCACTCCGGATGCGCATCAGCCAACCACTTAGCAGCCCAGATCTGGTCCTGCGCCTCCAACTCGCCCAAATTCCCCGCGACAGTAGACCGAAACGCCCGGCCCCGGAACCCAGTGCCGCGGTTGTCGACTGTGAGCGTGATGTACTCCAATTGGGGGTCGGAAGCGATATAAGCGTTCCAGTCGAGGCCCTGGAAGGATTTGCTGACTTCTTGAGCGCCCGGTCCGCCGTAGGGGGTTAGGAGGACGGGGTAAGGTTGGTGAGGATGGGGGGTGAAAGAGGCTGGGAGGCGGAGCATGGCGGAGAGGTTGTAGCCTGAGGGGTGGGGGAGGTCGAGGTAGGTTATGCGGGGGAGACGGTAGGATTGGAGGGTGCTGTGGAGGTCGGCGTTGGATGTGATTGTGCGGATTAGTTGGGGTTTGCCTGGCTTTGCCTTGGAAGGCGACGCAGAAGAGATGGAGTAGAGTTCTTGGTAGGGTACGTCCGGGCCAGAGTAGGTGAGGATGTAGTAACCTCCCGCAGCGGAGAAGGAAGCGGACCAGACGGCTGGGACGGTTGGGTCGACGAGAGGGGTCTTGATGCCGGTGGTGTAGGAGACCGAGTAAAGGTGGCGTTCGGTTGGGTGGTGCTCGGTGGAGGTGTAGTAGACCAGACCGCGGGTGGTGTCGACTTTGAGAATGGACGCGACTTCCCAGGGCCCGGAGGTGAGGGTGATGTTGGAGCCGTCGGTGAGGGAGAAGAGGTATAGGTGGTTCCACCCGGACGCGTCGGAGAGGTCGAGGTAGTACCGGGTGGTGTCGGTGCCCTTGCCTTTTTCTTTCCCCTTTCCGTTGCCGTTGCCGTTGGATTTTTGCTCGACCGGGCCAATGTAGGTAATCGCCAAGTTGTTGTCCAGCCAGCCATCTGACCCATCCCGCTGCCGAGAAACAGTCGACTTCTGCGTCTGCGCGTCGACCACGATCAGCTTCTCCTGATCCTGCACGCGGTTAAACGCCCTGTAAATCAACTTATCATGTTCCTCCGTCACCCACGCGACCTCCCCAATAACCAAATCATCCTCGGGCCACGCATCCACCACCACCGGCTTCACCTCCCTGCCCTTGACATCCAACAAATTCAACCCCACAGTCGGGTTCTTAGTCCCAACCTTGGGATACCGCAGCGGCAGTTCCCTCGGATACGACGGCGCCACCTTCTGGTTGGCCATATAATACGGAATCGTAAATGTCTCGACCCCCGTCTCATTAAACGTCAAAAACGCAATGTACGCCCCGTCCGGCGAGTACCACAGCACGTTGTTACTCCCGAATATCTCCTCCTCGTACACCCAGTCGGGGACAGCGTTGAACAAATCCGGTCCTCCGTTCTCCGTGATCCGCGTGATGTTCCCACTCTCCTCCCAAATAAACAGATCATTCCCCCTCACGAACGCAATCTCCCCGGCCGACACGGGATTCCACACCGCGTACTGAATATCCCCCTCCGACCCCTCCACCAACGGCTTCGTCTCCCCCGTCGCGACGTCCTGGACAAGATAATCCGCAAAATACGAATGCCGGTACTGTTTCGTGTAATTCACAGCCCACAACACCTTGGAATAGTCCCCAGAGATTTGATAATCCCAGTAATCGGCGGGGATCTTGTCAGCCGACAAAAAGGTGGTCTGGTTGCCGGTGACGACATTTTCGAACACGAAGGAACCGTCGGAGGCGGTGGTGATGAAATCACCGTCTTGGTTGGAGTCCGAGGAGCCTGCGATCCAAGTGACGGAGGTGGAGGAGGGGCTGAGGGAGCCTGGGTTGGCGGTGGTGATGTTGTAGTTGAGGAGGGTGGTGCCGTTGCCGGTGGGTTGGTGGGGGAAGCGAGGGGGGTCGATTGCTGAGACGGAGATTGTTGCTGCTGCTACAGCGAGGAGGTTGGTGAATTGGCGCATTTTGGAGGTGTTGTTCGACTTCGATTTGAGTCGAACTTGACACACGCAAGCACTCAATTGGAGTTGGTTAGGGGAGAAACAACCAAGGAGAGAAAAAAAGGAAAAAGAAAACACAAACAAAGGGAAATGGCAAACTTATCCGCCGATCTTGTCCGGTTCCCTCATCTAACGCCAGACGGGAAGCCCGGTTATTCAATCCACGCATGGCAGGTCAAAAACATGGCAGGCTGGGCAGTGATACGATGCAGCCGAATGCGGAAGGTCAAGATGCGAGCGGGGATTGCCAAGAGATGTTCCAAATGATACCAGTTGGGGTTCCAGATGGGATCCCGGGTTTTTGGGCACGCCATTTGTATTGTTAATGTCATTTAGTCTAAAAAGAGAAGACGGGAGGTTGAGAGGTGAAATTGAGGGAAAAGGAAATGAGTTGTGATGGTTGAACAAGACAACTCCCTATGTAAGTCTAGTATGTGTATTTACACCGTGTATGAAATGAACCCCGTAACAAACCACGACAGTCTTGTAAGATAAATCCAAAACCTCGAACAGAAAGCCTCATCTTACGAACTCTGACTTTTAACGTTGGGTTTACAAACCCCATTTGTCGAGGAACTGCATAATAACATCATAACCCGCCGTGGCGTTGGTAGCCACAGTCAGGGCATGACCGGTGTTGGGCTGCAGGTAACTCTCCTTGTGCGACACGTGCGGGAACAGGCCCGAGGCGATCTCTTCGTCGTAGGTTCCGCGGCAGTCGCCGATGCAGATGAAGTTGTCGAACTCGCCGTTGAAAAACTGTACCGCCGGTCAGTCACTGGGCAAAGAAGAAGGGGTAAAGAGAACAAAAGATATACCTGAACAGGCCCCGTATATTTTTCCACCGGCGCCAATGGATTCAACGCCTCCGAAGCATACTCCCCCACCGACTCCGGCTCCTTCGTCCGCTGAATATACTTCAACATCTCCTCTCCCTCAAACGCCCCCTTCCTCAAAAACAGCTTCTGCAGCACACTATTCGTGCCCAGGACAAAGTACCCCGACTTATACCCCCCAAACCGCACCGGGTCGTGTTCCGCTGCGAACTCGTGGTCGTAGTGCAATACGTCGATGAGAGGGAGTTTGGTGGGGAGAAGACCGGTGAGGATGACGCCGTCGGCGAGGTCGTTGCCGTGCGAGGCGAGGCCGAGCGCGAGGAGGTAGGCGCCGAAGGAGTGGCCGATTTGAACTATTTTGGTCGGGGTGAAGTCGGTGGGGATGGTGGCCATTTTGTCCGAGCCCTTGCCTTTGCCCTTGCCGTTGCCATTGGCAGAAGCAATCTTGGAGGTGCTGAGAAGCTTGCCGTCGCGGGCGAGCTTGGTCAGGCCCGCGAGGACCTCGACTTCGGTCGGGATCTGGACCACGTCGTAGGCGTCCGGCTTGGCGGATCCGCCGGTGCCGAGACGGTCGTAGGTCAGGATGGAGTAGCCTTGCGCGATGGCGGCGTCGACGTAGGAGTACTTGGCGCGGTTGAAGTCGACGTCCCAGTAGCTGTGCGTGTCAGCATTCTTTTCCTTGGGGTGAGAACAACACAAGATGGGATTGGATGATATGGAAAGAAAAGGAATACTCACGCCTTCCCAAACCCCAATCCTGGCGTCGCAATCTGCAAAATCCCCGCCTTCGGCCCCTGGGCAGTCGGCACGCACAACTGCGCACTAATCACAAACTTGTCATTCACCAACACCTTGGGCAGATCGGCTGCCACAGGTGCCTGGTGCGACCAAGACGTCACGTTGATCGTCCAGTCGATCGCGTCGATGCTGCTGTCGACGGGCGGCTGCGTGTAGTGGTAGTTGGTGGCGACCACGGGGACCGGCACCTCGAGCTGTACGCAAGTTTTGGTGTTGGTTGTTGAGATGGTGCTGGGGGCGGCCGTGGCGAGGTGCGCAAGGGCGAGAGCGCTGAGGGAGAACCCGGAAAGGCGGGAGTGGGCGTTGGCCATGGTGGTTGTTTTTTGTTTGGGACTTTAGGTGAATTGATGAGGTTGTTGGTGATGGCGGATGATGGTGGCGGGTTATGTCCTCGAATGTCGAGGTGAGACTGATGTTTTATAGCCATCATTCCCTTCTCTGCGTGACAAAATCAAAACACAGCCACGGCCAGCGTATTCGCGACTCGCCCTCAATAGTTCTCATGATCACTGTCTCGTGGTGTTGAGGCGTGGACGTTTTGTGCGATGGGCGTAATACGCATTTGTGGGGAATCAAGGAGCAATTTTATACGCGTTGGATGTTGTCTAGCCTTCCACATGCTGACATTGTCAGCCTTACATTGTTGACATGACCGTTGTATTTCCAATATTCCAAATACTTGAGAGTCGCAACTGAATATTGGGCATTTGGAAAGGAGCGGTTGTGGGTCGAGTCTTGCGAATACGTATGGCAGGGTCTTGGGACAACGAAAAGTTATAGCATTCCCGTCGCTCCTTCTCGACACTGACGGTGATACAGACCGGACATCGGTAACACAGCATGCTCGGCTCGGCTTCTCACGGCCCACTTGTCCTCACTTCCTCAAAAATGCCGGAAGTCTCGACCACCTGCCAAACTGACATCCCGCTTCTCAAACCAACCCACAACGCGGAATTCCCCGTTCCATTCTTGCTCCCCATAACCATCGGTCTCCAAACCGATCATCCCAACCCACAACCCCAACCACTGACGACACAACCTCACAACCCCGACAGACTCAACAACCCGCCGGTAATCACCTCGGCCCTCCTCACAAACCAAGAAACCACCCAAACCGCAGATCCCTACCCCATCAGGAAATCTTCGGGGTAACAGACCCACGCGGGGGTGCGGGGAAGTGGGGTATTCCGAGGTTGCTTGTTCCCTGTATTGCTTGTGGAATGCGGGGGAGGGGCCAACAATCCAGCACTAACACAGGGTTATGAGCCGTTTGGGGAGGGAAAGGGGTAGATTGGGGCGAACTTATGGGGTTTGAAGTGCGGAAATCGATTGTCTGGACCCGTTAGACCGTTGGATGTTGCGGTTAGAGATTCGCGAGAGATGGAGATGGGGATCGGGGGTTGATTGACTCGGTCGTCATGTCTCGGTTTTAAGGGGAGATCGCCCGCTCTGTAGACCGCCTCTCGACTTTTTTGCTCTCGTTTTTTGTTTCCCGTTTCAGTATTTTTTGTTCCCCTTTTCTGTCGCCGTTACGCCGATAACCCGTCACATCCACCAGTGTTGCCCACGATGGCAACAGAAAAGGCCGACGGCCAAACCTCCCAATCCGACGACCGCATCGATGTCGAGCAAATCGATCGGGCCATTTTGCCCCCTGTTACGTTGCAGGCTTTTGCTCACTTGGACGAGAAGGCCATTCTGCGAAAGGTGATACACCTCGTCCGTCGAGTAAACGAGAGTTTAGACTGATTCCCGAAGATGGACCTCCGGTTGATTCCCATGCTAGCGCTGCTCTACCTCCTCTCTTTTCTCGATCGTACGATCCCCCTTACAACCAAAGACCAAGAAAAAAACCCATACTGACTGATACAATAAGGCGGCAACATCGGCAACGCGAAAATCGAGCACCTCCAAGAAAACCTCTCCCTGACCGACGACCAATACAACTGGTGCCTAACCGCCTTCTTCTTCACCTACGCCGCCTTCGAAGTTCCCAGCAACCTGGTCCTCAAAAAAGTCCGCCCCTCCATCTGGCTGCCCACCATCATGGTCGCCTGGGGCGTCGTCATGACCCTCATGGGCCTGGTGCACAACTACACGGGGCTGCTCACGGCGCGGATCTTTTTGGGAGTGACGGAGGCCGGGTTGTTTCCCGGCGTGGCGTATTATTTGACGAATTGGTATCGGAGGGAGGAGATTCAGTTGAGGCAGGCGATGTTTTTTAGTGCGGCTAGTGTGGCCGGGGCGTTTAGTGGGCTGTTGGCGTTTGGGATTGGGAAGATGGATGGGGTTGGGGGGTTGCATGGGTGGCAGTGGATTTTTATTCTGGAGGGTATTTTCTCCGTTTCTCTTTTCCTGCCTTGTTTCTCCCATTTATGGTATGGCAAGGCGCTAACAGACCAGGTATCGCCACGGTCATAACGGCGAGCATCGCCTTCTTCGCCCTCTTCGACTTCCCCGCCACAGCGACCTTCCTCACCGAAGAAGAACGGGCCTTTGTCGTCTACCGCCTCAAATACCAAGGCCAGTCCCTCAACTCCCCCCACGCTCAAGTCGCCCAAGCCGACGAGTTCAAATGGACCTACGTCAAAGACGCCTTTCTCGACTGGCAAATCTGGGTCAACATCTTTGTCTACTGGGGTGTACGTGTCCTTCTCTTACCCAAAACTCATGTTGTCAGCTAACAGGACAGGTCGTCTGCCCCCTCTACGGCATCTCCCTCTTCCTCCCAACCATCATCAAAGAACTCGGCTACGAAAGCAGCCAAGCCCAGCTCATGACCGTCCCCATCTACATCACAGCCGCCATCCTCGCCGTGGTGGCGGCCTACGCCTCCGACCGCGTGGGGAAGCGCAGCCCCTTTATTATCGGCTTCATGCTCATGATGGTCGTCGGCTTTTCCATGTGCATTGCTACCGATCCGAAGGAGAATCCGCGCGTGGTGTATGGGGGTGTGTTTGTGGCTGCGTGTGCGATTTATCCGGCTTTTCCGGGGGTTATTGCGTGGTTGTCGAATAATTTGTCGGGGTCGTTGAAACGGTCCGTGGGGATGGCGTTGCAGATTGGAGTTGGGAATTTGGGGGGTGTAAGTTTTTCTCTCACTCACTCAGCATTTCTAAGAGTACCTATGCTAATCCGCACTAGGCCATGGCATCCAACTTCTACCGAGCCAAGGACAAGCCCCGGTACATCCTCGGCCACGGTCTGGAACTGGGCTTCATTGTCGGCGGAATTATCGCGTCGCTAATCTTGGTTGTGGGATACACCGCCCAGAACAAGAAACGAGCGAAGAAGATGGATGAAGGCGGGCTTGACGCGTACACCCCGCAGGAGCTGTCGGAGAAGGGAGACCGTGCTCTTACTTATCGTTATGTGCTCTAGTGTCAGTAGTGATACCCAGGTGTTGGCCAGGTGTTGGCCAGGTGTTGGCCAGGTGTTGGGGCGCAGGTGGCCGGATACGTATGAATTATGAGCAGAGGATCGTGCACCGATAAGCATTGTACACAGCCTCTGGACTCGTCATTGAACTTTACACAGCGCTACGAAATAAGTGAACCTAAGGATGATGTTGATCTCCGCAATCTTCATGCAATACTGCTAGCGCTCACATTTTTGAAGCGCGTCGTCAATGCGAAAATGTCCGTGAGGACATATAAAACCAAACACCCCCCCCCCACTAGTGAATCACTAGCTGCATGTTCTCCCACACCCGACCACACTCGTTCAACTCATCTTGACCGGACCCTCTCAAATCACTCGCTTCAATGACAACTGTCGCTCTCACCACTACCACTATCATAACCAGCTTCATAACCATAACCGCCTTCGCAACTATAACCATCTTCACACCCACGACCATCTTCACAACGACAACCATAAAAGTCACCCAACAACAAATATGCACACTCTCACCCTCTTTATTTGCCTCCTTGCCCCCATCGACGGGTTCGAGATCCTCCCTCGCATCCTCCCCCGCGTACACACCCCCTCCCGACACCACCGCCGTCAGTCAAACTGTCCCGCAACAGGCGATGCCTGCGGGTGGTACCTCCTCCCTGGGGCAGACGGGCACAACTGTAATTACCCCTCCTTTCCTTACCCCCCTTCCCCCACCCTACAGCCCCAGCCAAAACAACCACCTAGGTAAACTAATAGTAACACTAACAAAAGACCTCTGCAGGTACAACCGAACAAACCCTAACTGCCCTCAACACCACCGCCGAAGATGTGTACGACTCCATATACACGCTCAATAACGGCCAGCCCGTGGGGTTTGTCAGGCAGTGTACGGCCGGTTGTGATCAACAAGTGGATAATTCCACGGAGACGGGTTGTGCCGAGGATGAGGACCAGTGACCATGCTCTTGTTGGTTGAGTTGAGTTGTGATGGTTTATGGTTTCGGTTGTAGATAATTACTATAATTACTAGGCGGTGGTGAACATCAGTGGTAAACACCAGTGGTGAACACTAGTGTTATAAGCGATCAAGGATAAGCATCTGTTAGCATCTATTAAATTATTTGTCACTCAAAGCGATCACGGCATCAATTGATTAATATTATTATTTCCTACACCGATATGCCCTTAGACGTGCCCGTCCTTCCACTGGCATTCACTAATTACCTTAATTAATTCCCCTTGATCTCAACAACTCTGGCATCAACATTAACTAACAAACCCAGGAGTCAGGACTGACCCATGGTACCCATTCTTGTCTCTCTGATATCCTCATCTCCCGGCAGGGCAGATTCCCAACCCAATAACTCAACATGTCACGGGTCATGACAGTGTGAGATTTATGGGCGCAATTCCTGGTTCGCCTGGACAGTTCGAACCACGGTCATCTTTTGAGGTGTTACATAGTGGTCAATTGCGCCCACTACCGTAACACAACAACCCCTTCCCATCGCACATCCATCTTTCTAAGGCGGCTCCCTAACATCCAAGAAACCATGTGCCTGCCTTGGAAAGCCCGTCTGCATTTAAACAAATCGAACTCGAGGCAGCTGTGTTGACACAGCAAGAACGTCTCGCAATACATGTACGGCAGGATGCTCGATTCACTGATTTGGAAGTATTAATTACAAAGTAGCACCACCAGAACCTCTCATAAAACACCATTCAATTTGTACGGCTCTCCATTATCCCGTGTACTAACCCTCGAGTCCGTTTGACTAGTATATAACCCACGACAACACTTGTTAATTAAGTCAGAGGGTCCCCCGCCCGACCAATCCGATGAATCCAACGGAGTCACAGCCTCATGCATTAACTATTGTAAGCCCTCCACTCGGCCAGGGCATTGTCTAGGTACTCGTGGCGCCTCGCAGCATCCTTGAATGTCAAATGGTTCGCCTCGGCCCCCGTCGCCTTCGTAGCCGCATACGGCTCACAAACAGCACCGATTGCGCGAGCCGGGTACGGCAGCTCCTTCTGCCATTCCGGCCAGTCCCACTCGTGGAGCCGACTGCATAATTGCCTCACATCGCAGGGACAAGACCATCATGACAACACCATATATTAACTACCCAACTATCCCCCCATGATGCAATCGCTATCTTCTTCTGGAGCCTGATCCTCGCTCTGTTCACTGCGCCATCATTCAACGCTCATGTTCACCCCGTGTTCCCTCCTCATTCGCGATGTCGTCCATATCAGACACCAGCACAGCTCATCGAGAATCCCGAAACAGCCAAACTCGAACAACCCCCCATTTCGACCATGCTGAAACCCCAAACTTTTCCGCCTCATCCCGGTCCAAGAATGGCTCGCCAATTGTTATCCATCCAACGAAAAGACATGCCGTGATGGGAATGTCTCCAATGTCGAAGTACATACTCTGACGAACCAAACGGAAGCCCGCCCGCCCCGTAAGAGAGTCCAGCCAAATCGAGAACCCGTTGCTCGTTCTTCTGAAAGTGGTGAGAGACACGGGGTTCAATACACTCCCTCCACGAAGCCAATCCGCCGTTATGCGTCCCGAAAATCTCGATCGCTCGGAGTTCACCCGGTACGTCATCGGGCTCATGAGGATGATGAGGTCGACTTCGGTGTCGGGATGCTAGTGACGTTTCGGATGCTTCGTTGTTCAAGAAAGGCAGGTCAAGGAAATATCCAGGAGTAAACGGGACCGAGTTACGGGAGTGAGAAACCAGCGGCCACCGTGTGTACCGCGTGACCGACACCGGGCGGCGGCGATTCAGGCGCGTCGCGTGGACGAAACTGACGGCAGGACCGGCTACTGGAGCATCGACGGGGAGCGGCCAGGGTCCTAGAAATTGGATTAAGCCCCGAGAGATGGCCAGGGGCGCCGAGGATGCATATTATGCGGGGGGGCATCTCCGACAGGGCGTGGACGACGCGGTTTGGTGGTGGGAGAATATCCGTGGAGCAGGCGACGGATGGATCCAGATGAGGCGGCGAGCCAGGGCAGCAACATCGCCAAGTCGTTATGATGGCCGAGTTGGAATGGGTGAAAGTGACAGGGGCAGAGAATGAGATTGGATGAAAAAGTGTAAGGGGCAGCCATCCATTGACAATGATAATGAGAGAGGTGACGCTCGTCCAATGCCTGTGGGACCTTGGTTGGATTCCCGGAAGGAAACGATGAACTGTTTCTGTTCTGCTTGGGGGCTGTTGATTGGGACTGTGGGATGGTGGAAGAAAAGATGAACCGTTTCAGCTGGAAGATGCTGATTGAGATTGTGGGATGATGGGAAGAAAAGATGGACTCCTTGGGGCATCCATGGCGGACCTTTTATACTTTTCCCATCCTGTCTGGTTCCCAGCTAGACATGAGTGTGTCTCATCCAACACAACTTCCCGGGCAGCAGTATTGTCACCGACCAGAGAAAGAGCATGATCGACGGTCCCTGTGTACCTGTCGTGGACATCATGAGAATGTGATAAACGGCAGCATCGTTGGCCGTATGGGTAAAAAACGACTTACAATAAGGAAATTGCATCTTCTCGGTGCTCTCTTGCTCTCAACAATCATCAAATTTGCGAGGCCATGACTATCGACGCATCAGACGCAAGTGGCAATCACAAGGTGGAACATCGGAAGCAACAGTGCCCTTGAAACTGACACATCTTTCACCTGCCAAATGTCTGACATCATCATCTCAGGACACTCCTGACATCTTTGATGGTTTCATCTTGTGCAGGTGTACTTGGAAATCAAAACAACTTCCTTGGCCTAATTAAGTCCAGTCATTCCTCGCGGTTTCTGACGTCCAGACGCAGACGGGAACAGATGGCCCACACATCCTTCCGGCCCGTGTTGGCTCAGTTGGTGGAAGGCACGACAAACATGCCTCATGATGGGCGCGACCCGTTCCCAACGGCAGCACCTAATGAAACATCTCCAGCGCACTTACAACTCTTCAGTTCGATCATGAGGTCAAGGAAAGAATGCCGTGTCACCGTCGTGTCCTGTTGTGTCAGAGAGGAAAGCCCGAGTGCAGTCCAAGCACGATCTCACATCCTCCTCAGTTGGCTATAAATACGAACCATCTCCCGGTCCTGAATTGTTGCGTGCCCCAGTCACTCTTCTCTCCTCCATCAAGACAACACACGCTCTCCCGATCACACACACACACTATCCGAATCACGCGCACACTTTACCGATCACAGCACAGCGAAGCTCACTCGGTTGGCGCCATACTTTTCGCCCTCCTGTCTCCAGCTTCACGCCTAAGTCGAAGTAATTCGTACGGCCCCCCCTGCCGAGCTCATCTGGACGGTCGCGAACGCGCCGCAATAAAACTCAGCTCGGCTACCATGAAGTATGCTGTACCTCGCCGCCCTGCGCCCTCCGAACACTTCACACGAAACGGCCGGTCAACTGTCAACTCCACGCACTACTGCTCTCCGCCGTTTCCCTCCAATATCAGACTCCCGGGAGCCTGGCGTGTCGCAGATTCCGCAGTCAAGTCTCGATATCCCTCTCCTCGATGCCGCTCGTTCTTGACCACCCACTATCCCTCAACTCACCTTCACCATATAACCGGTAAAGACGCAATTTTACACTTAACCTCCGGCCCTTTCCGCACCCTACCTGACGCCCTGGGGCCCGGCTTGTCGCACACTCCGAGATCTTGCAAGGCCCGCTTTTCTTTCCACCAACGCCGCCCGTTTTTGACCATGACAATCCAACTATAGCATTGGCACCCTGACAGTTGGGTATCAAATCGCCGCCTTGGAATGAACGCACTCTCCCCAGCTCGACTTCTTTCTCGCCCATGCCGGTCCCACGCGGGCTGGGGCTCCGAACACTTGGGTGGCTCAGCGTGTCACCTCACGCGGCTTCCGACGTTCATGGGCCCAGAGACAGGGCCACCTATGGGACGTGGCAAGGGTAACCTTGCTGCCACTGGGTGGGAATTATGGAGGTGCCGTTGAGGCGGGGGTTGACGTTGAGGAAGCTGTCAGCAGTGGGTGTGGTCGATAGCCCTCAAAGCATGTGGTCAAGTTTGTCCCCCGGAGTATTGGACGGTCATTATGGGAGCCGATCTCGCTGTCCATCTCTTTTGGGAGGAGTGATTCTGGGTCGTACAGGAGTCATTCATTAGGCTTGGTTGTCGGAAACTAAGAGATGGAAGGTTTAAGGTCGAGGTAATTTGTTGGGTACACTGCTGCTTGGCTTAATAGTGGGTGGTTTCATGTAATTGCACGGGTGAAAAAGGCAGCTTGCGTTGCATTGATTCTGCTTTCCGAGATGTGCAGGTCAGAGAGATATGAGGGTGATGCGTGATAGTATATCGTCGGAGGGTAGCTTAATTCCACCACCGGGTTTCTGTGACGCTGAGTTGGCCCGCGTTTTTGACATCAAGTTAACACAATAACTGCTTTCAAAATCTAAGTAATTTTCAACCCACATTGCGTATCCCCGCTTCGTTCCTTCGCAACAACCGTCGAGTGTCGTCCGTACCGCAGGAAATCCCAGGAAGCCCGGCGGGGCGGTGGATAGTACGTTAAGAAGGTCGTCGCAACAAGTTTAATCAATGAGTAAGACTCTACGTGCTCAATCTGCTCAACGACGGGTACGGCGGTCCGTAGCGGCCGAAGCCCCGTTTCCTGGAGATTGTGGAGGTTACAGTGCGAGAGCAACCTCTTCATATTGGTGTCAAGATAACTGCTGGCGGTGGCGCCGAGCACATGGTACAAGGCAGCTAAAAAGAACCCGTCCTCCGTCATAATCGTAAACTTGCCGCGAATCTTGACCTTTTCAAGGGCCGGTCCGGCTTCCCAACGTCAGTCAGGGCAGTCCTAGATATCAGAGCAGGAGTTTGGCGTCCTCGTTGTCATACGCCTCCGGCCGAACAATGGCATAATTACACGTCCCGAGCGAACTCGTCGTTGATTCGCACTCTGAACGACGTGAACTCGTGGACCCCAATTGACCTGGCGTCCGAAGTCTTCAAATGCAGGTTTCCAAACCCAATATCAGACAGCTTGTAAACGTGCATCCCATGCTGCTTCACCAGGCTTTGCAAGATGACACTCGCGTCAGAGCCCTGGTCAGCTTGGGCGCAGTTTTTCACCCGAAGATGGGTCCAGTTTAAACCGATCTTGAATGACACCTTGGGGCTCAATCGAAAGGCCTTGCTGTTACCCCTGCTTGGTTCGACGAAGTGAGTATAATCAGCAGGGAGCTCATCGGTTGCTCCAGAGTGAGAATAAGCATGGGGTTGAGCAATTTTTCTCCGAGGCTGGGAGCGAGAAATCAGTTTCCGGACGTTCTTGGCCACGTCCGGGCTGACTTGCATGAGGTCAAGGAACGACAGGTCGCAGGAGACCATGCCCATGTCTATGCTGTTGGCTGTCCCAAGCTTTGGCGTAACTCTGGGCCTCTTGCCCGTGTTCAGAGGCCTCAACATGCTGTATCTCAGCAACACTCTGTGCGGACACCGACAAAACCCATTGATCCACAGCCTCACGAGAGCTCCCTAAGTTTCCTGGGCGGAACCTCGCCATATCATGCTGCTCCTTCAAGCGAAGGTTTCTGACGTCGAGACGGTCGTGCTGTTCAAATTTCCATCCACTGCCGCTTAGACCACTGAATGACATTCTTAGAGACATGGAGGATGGGGTGGTGCGGGAGGACGGCTCGACGCAGCTCGGCGCTATGGTGAACGTCGCCTTGCAGATGAGGGCGTAGGGCCATCACATTGCTGATCTAGCTTTAAACGAATGAGCCTTTATTACACTACACATTGCTAGGATAATAGTATACTACCCAGATTTGTCGTTGTATAAATCTTCGAGTATAACCACAACTAGTACATTCGTGTAGTATAACCACAGTGTATCTGTAATGCTATGTTTTTCTCAGTTTTGGCTTTTTCTTTTATTTTTCTTTCTGTTCTCTTGCCCTTTTTCTTCGCATTTGCTCCTTTCTAATTTCCTTTCCTTAGTTATCTTCTTTTTTTCATATTTTATTTCCGGGGGATCGAGGGCGGTGGATTACACTGTCTGTAGATTCCCAGCTGGTGGTCTAGGTTAAATATCGATAATAGTAACTCCAATGAACCCAGCTAACAAGGTCGGAAACGGCCCAACACAGCTCAACTACGTGCTGGTTAGGTAGGTAGTTTCACCAGCGGCCGACCCGCAACAGCGATTTTTCCAACTGCCCCATGATGTTGAGTTTGCTCAGCGGCTTTGAACATGAAGATCACAGAATGTCTTCAAAGCCCAGGTACATGTATCTACCCCCATTATGTTCTCTTGCTTGTTTTTCGCGCGGAAACAATCCGAGCATCTTCTACGACGTCAGAAGATTCCCAGGAGAACCAGGTCGTGGGTGATGTTCGGCCAAGCCGGCTTCACCGAGAAAATGCCAATCACAACTCATTTGGGGCATGGAGACACACCGGTTTGAGTCCCCGCATGTAATAATCTCCGAACACAGATTCTCTGTCCTCCGTCGACCAAACTATTGTCACCGTCAACCAAGACATGCAACAGCTCGGCATTATTATTACGGACCTCAGTGTCACTAAAACAAAACTAAGCGGAAAAATCACGGCAGTCAGGGGCCGCCAACAACAAAGTTATCCTTAGGTGTGTTCCAGATCCGTGTAATCCGGACAATAAAAAGGGGCGAAAAGGGAGCCATCAAGGGGGCCAAAGGGCGAAAGGAAGCTTGGATAATACTTACGTGTAGACTGCGTAGTAACCCTTTTTCCTTGGCCAAGGTGCCAATCCACGAATCAACTCCCAACTCTCCGGGGATTTGGTAGGGTTCCCCGCATGCAGCAATTTATTAAATACAGCGATGCATGCACCCCGGACTTTTTTCGTCTCGCAGTCCGGGTTTTTGTCACGAGGAAAGGAAGCTGGCAATGGGGAAACGAAGATGTGCCGTTCTTCGGTTAAGTACCTCGTTGAGTGCTGACTCCCGAGTTACAGTCCTGCCGACTCCCGAGGGTGGGATGGATGCATGCATGCGGGCTGACCTGCAGTTTGGCTGTGAGTCTGGCTCGGCTAATATCAGGATATGGGGATCGAAGTCATTGGACCGCACTACAACATGTGTGTGAGGGAACCGTAGACGGAAGGATTCGAGAAGAACGGGAGAATTGTCCGAATGTGGGGTTGGTTGCATCTGGAGTCGTGGTGATCAGGGGGGTAATTGTGGTATTGGGGTGTCGGCAAGTCGTTGTAGGATGATCGATTTGGGGATGGGATATTAATAGGGTGTACACAAGATGGAGGTTCGGGAGGGGTGATCGGCTTTGGGATGGATGATGGTGTGCATACAGAGACAGTTACAGGGTTGTGGGAGGAGATGCCAAGGTTGTTGGTTGGGGATACTTATGGGGTGATAGCCCGGCTGTGGGGTGTTCTCGAGGGGTTCGTTTCAGTCATCCTTGTCTTGTGATCGTAGTGTCAACATGAGCGTCATATCTTTCAAGTCGTTGGCGGCGGTGGTTGGGTTGGGTCTTTGTAAGTTCATCCTAAACTAAACCTTGCTCTCACAACACAGCATACGCCTTAACGGACACCACTACATCCTATACAATTCTAACCCACCTCAGTGACCCCCGTCGCCAGCCAAGGCCAATGCGCCAATGTCTCATCCACCGACACCTACGACTACATCATCATCGGCTCCGGCGCCGGCGGCATCCCCATGGCCGACCGGCTCAGCGAAGCCGGCCACAAAGTCCTCCTCATCGAAAAAGGGCCCCCCTCCACCGGCCACTGGGGCGGAACCATGAAACCGGAGTGGCTCGCCAACCTCACTGCCCCGGCTAATCCAGATGACCCTCCTATCGAAGACCCGCCCACTGAAGACCCTCCCCCTGACCAAGGCACCAACACCGCCACCAAGATGAAAAAAAGAGCAGACGACATCCCCCACACCCCCAACACCAACCTCACCCGCTTCGACGTCCCCGGCCTCTGCAACCAGATCTGGGCCGACCCCACTGGCGCCATCTGCACCGACGTCGACCAAATGGCCGGCTGCATGCTCGGCGGTGGCACCGCGGTCAACGCCGGGCTGTGGTGGAAACCACACCCTGATGACTGGGATACGAACTTTAACTTTGTTCCCGCCGATGGTAGTGATGATGGCGGGTGGAACAACGCCGCGCTAGTCGGGGCAACGGAGCGGGTGTTTTCGCGCATTCCGGGGACCGTAGCGCCTTCGATGGACGGGGAGCGGTATCTAGCGCAGGGTTTTGATATGCTCAGCGGGAGTTTGGTTGGTGCTGGGTGGGAGAGGTTGGAGGTGCCGAACGAGGAACCGGGAAAGAAGAATAGGACCGTGGGGCCGAGTACGTTTATGTATGCGGGGGGGGAGAGGAGTGGGCCGTTGGCGACGTATTTGGTTTCGGCTGTGGGACGGACTCCTGGTGGTGGTGATGGGCAGGATGGGGGAGGTGGGAGTTTGACGTTGTGGATGAATACGACTGTGAAGAGGGTGGTCAGGGAGTGGGGGCATGCGACGGGGGTGGAGGTCGAGTGTAGTGGGAAGGGGGGGTTTGGGAGGAATGGGACGGTGGCGTTGACGCCGGGGACTGGGAGGGTGGTGGTTTCGGCGGGGGCGTTTGGGACGGCTAAGTTGTTGTTTAGGAGTGAGTCTTTTCTCCTTTTTCTCCTTTTTCTCCTTTTTCTCCTTTTCCTTCAACGAGTGTGATTCACCGCCGGATAGAACGCTAACGATAAACATAGGCGGCATTGGTCCGACGGACCAACTCAAGGTCGTCCAGAACTCGACCGACGGCCCGACGATGATCTCCTCGGACCAGTGGATCGACTTGCCCGTGGGATACAACCTGAACGACCACGTGGGGGTGAGTTTAACTTATTTTCCTAGAAGATTAGGACTTAACGATGCTAATTACTGATATCGCGATTAGACCGACGTGGAAATCGCGCACCCCGATGTCGTGTTCTACGATTACTACGGTGCCTGGGATGAGCCCATTGTCGAGGACACGGAAACATATCTGGGTAAGTTGCAATCATGAATCAGTGTGGAAAATAAGCACTAAGAAAGGGTAGCAAACAGGACCGGCCCATTAGCACAGGCTGCCCCCAACATCGGACCGATTGTAAGCTTTGCCTCTGCAAGTAGCCAGCCAGCCTGCTAACGTGACCAGTTCTGGGAAATCATCACGGGAAGCGACGGCACCAACCGCCATCTCCAATGGCAAGCCCGTGTCGAAGGCACACTAAACAGTAAGCCAACAAACAATCCCCCCCAGTCGATCACAACAGCCCGCTGATCCAACCCCCCAGCCTCAATGACCATAACCCAGTACCTCGGCACGGGCACCAAATCCCGCGGCCGCATGACCATCAGCAAGCAGCTCAACACCATGGTGTCCACGCCCCCTTACCTGCGCGACGAACACGACCGTGAGGCCGTCATCCAGGGTATCACCAACCTGCGTGAGGCGCTCAAGGATGTGGCTAACCTGACGTGGATTACCCCGCCGTCGAATATGACGGTGGAGGATTTTGTTGATTCGGTACGTCCAACCCACATCCATGTAGAACAAACAGAAACAACGTGTGAGGCTGACGAGACGTACAGATCCCCGCGACCCCCTCCAGGCGGTGTTCCAACCACTGGATAGGGACCGCCAAGATGGGTCTCGACGACGGGCGCGCAGTCGACGGGACGGCGGTGGTGGACCTCAACACCAAGGTTTATGGGACCGACAACATCTTTGTAGTCGATGCGTCGATCTTCCCGGGCCATATCACGGGCAACCCGTCTGCGATGATTGTTATTGCGGCGGAACATGCGGCGGAAAGGATATTGGCGTTGTCTGTTGAGGATGCGAGGGAGGGGGTGGATGAGGGACCGGGGGATGCTTAGGTGGGTATTAGGGTGTTGTGTTGTGTTGTTGTTTCGGCTTCTTTCGGCTTCTGCAGGATTGTTAGCTCCGTTGCCTTAACAGATTTCCTGCGGAGTGTATGAACGGTTTGCTGTTCAAGATGATGTTTGCAAGCCATAATCCTAGGTTTCCGATATGGGCAAAACATCTAAACAAAGCAACCATCAACGCAAATATTACGTCGGTACCGAAAACACAGCCCTGTTGTGGATATTTTGTACATTGGAGCCACTCAAAACCGACGGTTGCCATGCTAGCATGTAATATCTCATCGCGATTCACCAGCACGCCTATTGCTATTCCTCCTCAATTGCGTGCTGGGGAGCTTGATCCGATGAGTCTAACCTCAGTTTCCTCAGTTTGCTGCGGCGAAAAGTGAAGCAAGCATTCTCTGTTTAGGTATCGCGCATGGCAAACGACGGGACCAGCCAACCGATTATGCTTTCGTGCTGAGCAAACTGCGAACCGTTTTTGGTGCTATAAGGAAGGGACTGTGCCGGGCGTTATTACTAGGAAAGGACTGGTTATTCCCAGGAGTGTATCGTTATCGTCTCACCTTTGTTCTAAACTCGACAACTGTCCCCCCACTTGTCAGAAACTTTGACCGCCGAAGAATAGCTACTCGCTCCGTCTTTAATCATATATCACTCTATTTCCGCTTTTGGTGTTCTTGCTGGGGTTTTTGCGTGGCACTCCGAATCCAAGAACAGTGGCCTCGATTGTTCCAACGTGACAATGCACGTCTTGGACAGGTCACAGCGACCACAGACCAGGGAGACTATTCCGTAAATAGTGGCCTTCCTCGAATATATGCGTTAGCCGACAACGCGACATCCAACACAACCGAATTGTGAACGCGATGCGGGAAAACGATTATAAATACACGGACACGCTCCCAACAATCCTCTCGCGTTTTCATCAACATCGTCAACCAACTACCAACCATCACACCACAAAACCATCACACAACAAACCCACCACAACCACCTAACCAACACCTATCCACAACATACCTACCCAGACAACCACCATGTGCTTTGGCGAGCTAATAATCTACTACTGCTCCGAAGGCTGGGACAACAAAAACCCCCTCTGCCCCTACTACAACGCCAAGACCGGAAAAACAAAGGCCTTCAAGGAGGACTGGACGGCCAGCCAGACGGTCCACTGCAAGGACATGGCCGCCCTTGTCGAGGCCAGCCTGGAATATGAGGATGCCGACCCTTGCTCCAAGACCAAGGAGAAGGGGACGTACAGGACGGATGACGAGTATGAGCATAAGTGTCGGACGTGTCGGGAGCGGTGGGAGAAGGAACATATGGGGGAGGAGAAGAGGGCGGCGGCTGATAAATAGGTTAACGGGGAGGTGAGACGAAGATATGAGGGGGCTAGCCCTCTCGGTAGGAATGTTGGGGCCTGGGATAGAAGATGTGGGATATGCATGGTAGCAGACTATTGAGATAGACACATCGTAGGCAACTCGGGATGTAGTCGGAAGACAGCCGTAGATGAATATACCTACCAGGCTAGACCTGGATATTTCCGCATAGGATGACCGTGGCCAAATGGGAGCCCGTAATTAGTGACTGTGCTAGGGTAAATCTTATGAACACTTGATCTACTATGTAACTATCCATCCACGATGTATCAATGATGATGACTACTAGTGAACAGCTGCTCGCTCCTTATGTAATGAGGTACTCTGTTTTCGCTGCTAGTCTTCCCGTAGAGATCTGTGTGTAGTCAGCGCCCGAGGGTGAACACAGCACTAGCCTCCGCCGTTCCAACATGACAATATCATCGGTTGTCGGATGGGTTCCACCAACCTCAGAACAGCAACACTATTCTACAAATTATGGCCTGCCACGGGTAAATAACTTGACTCACAACGCAACACCTCACACAACCGAGCTGTAAACAAGTTCTTCAAGTTGTCAAATGGTGCTGGCAGAGGACTATATAAACACATGGCCACCCCCCTAGCCATCCTCTCTCATTCCCATCCAGTTCTTCCAACGACCATCCACCAAGCGCATACAAACAACCCACCACCACACCACGGAACATCCACAACCACAACATCACGCGCACACACCTACATCCCACCACCACCCACTTCTTCCCCCCTCACAACCCTTACAACAAACAACCCCCTACCCAACCATCACCATGTGCAAAGGCATCTTCATCCTCTACTACTGCCGCCACGGCGCCGACAAAAACCCGCTCTGCCCAACCTACAACCCCACCACCGGCGACACCACGCCCTTCGACCAAGAATGGTCGGCCGACCGGACGTTGTACTGCTACGAGGCCTTCCCCAAGCACAGCTTCCGCGGCAAGATGCCCGAGATTACGGGGCCGTGCGCCGAGACGAAGAAGAACACGAACATGTTTAGTGTGGAGACGGATTATAATGGGGAGTGTGGGGGGTGTTTGGAGAGAATGTTTTTGGCGCAGATGGAGAGGGAGATGGTGAGGGAGTTTGAGGAGAAGATGGCGGTAGGGAGGATTTTTGGGGGGGAGGAGGGGGATGCTAAGGAGGAGGATGCTAAGGAGGAGGATGCTGAAGAGGGAGATGCTGAGGAGGATAAGGAGGAGGAAGATACTCAGGAAGGTGAGAAGAAGGGTGATAAAGATGAGGATGGAGACGCGGAGATGGAGATGTAATTACGGGGGCTATTGCCGAGGAGTGTTAAGGTTGGGGATAGGAGAGGTGAATGCTAGTGGTAAACACCTCATAACATGTCCTAACGTACCTCTAGTCAGACAATTAGATAACAGCCGATACGTAAATGTACATATCAAGCTGGGGCAATCCAGACATTTCGGCGTAAGATGACCACGGCCCAATGGACACCCTAGTGAGTAGTGACTGCCAAATGGAACGCCGTAATTAATGAGTGTGCTAGTCTAAATCTCATGAACGCTTCGTGATCCTACAACTGTTACGCAGCTGCCATGTTACAAAATATTACTAAATATGTCCGAGTAGCGAGCAATTCTACATGGCGGTTGATGTTAGTCAATTTTGTTGCCAACTAATTCTCCGTTAGTGGTTTGTTGACAGGGTTATGAAACCTTAGATTGACATTATTTCCTCGACTAGATTCTGTCAGAAGAGAACCAAAAGGAAAAGAAAAAGTTGTAAGTGGGCATACCTAAGGTACATAGGTAGTTCCTTCCAGCTTAGACGTCATGAGTGGAGCAATCATCTCCGTTCCGTTTTATCGGTCCGACTCCGCACTCCGCATTCCAAAATTCTCTCATCCTCAACCCATTTCTCAAATAACCTCAATTGAACACCTTCCTCACTTAAACATCATACAAAACCTCACAAACCACACCTATTTCTCACCAGTTCACCCCAATAAACACCCCTTCACAATGGCCCTCCCAACGCCCAGCACCGACGTACGTAGACCCCCCTCACGCCTCAAGTACACTACCCCCACACAATAAATTCCCCACTAACACCCCCAGCCCGTGGTCCTCCTCACCCAAGAACAACACGAAGCCTACCTCTTCCACCACTTCAACGCCGACACCGCCTGGACCCTCGGCACCACCCTGCGCACCAAACTCCTCTCCCTCCCCGCCTCACAGCGTAGACCCGCCGTGATCTCCATCACCTCAGCCACAGCCGCCAACCCGCCGCATATTCTCTTCCAATGCGCCACTGAGCCCGGCACACTGCCTGATAACGAGCACTGGGTGCGGCGGAAACGGAACACGGTGCTTAGGTGGGGGGTGTCGAGTTGGACGATGCGGCAGAAGATCACTGCGGGGCTGGCTGCGAAGGCTGGTCGCGATGGTGTGGTGACGGCGGATGAGGTGGAAGAGGCGCTTGTGCGGAAATTTGGGCTGGCGAGTGGGAGTGGGGGTGCTGTTGCGGATGAGTATGCGATTCATGGCGGGGGGTATCCGGTACGGGTGCGCGGGGTGGAGGGGGTTGTTGCGGTCGTAGTGGTTAGTGGGTTGAAGCAGGAGGATGATCATGCTGTGGTGGTGGAGGGGATTCGGGAGGTTGTTGCTTCTCAGGGGCAGTAAGAGAAAGTTCATATATCGTGATAAACACGGGAGAAAGTAGTTCCCGTCTGTACATACCTGGGAACATGGATAATGGATTTCGGCCGCGCGGTTCAGTGGTGATTCGTCATCGTTTCAGTTGTGATTTTCACTGGGAGAGGCATCGGTTCAGATGAGGACGAAACCAAATTTCCTAAATCTTGAACCGCGCCAGACTATCAGCGGTGAACCAACACCGGATTGTTGGATGCCTAATTATCATGGTGTTGTTGAGACAAAAAAAAAGTCGGTCTTGGCGAAACCCACAATCATCCGATCAGGGGCCGTACCCAACCCGGCAGTCCCAACCGTAAGGAGACAGCAACAACAGTTATCAATCCTAGGAAGGTCAATTCTATTGGGCAAAATAGACGAGATCGCGTTGTGTTTGCAGCGCTTCGAGAAGAAGAATCTCGCAGCCTAGAGCAAAATAATTTCCCGGCTTGGCGAAGCGTCGTCATCACCTACAAAACCACAAACAATGTTGACGAGATAGTCCGAGGTGACGCGTACCAGCCCAATGCTACCATACACCCATGATAGTCGTTGGCGGCCACATTGAGAAGAATGTCAACAACGATGTCGTCGAAAGATATAAAGTTCTTTTCGTTTATGCCTTGAGGTTTCTGCTTTCGTCCTCAGGCTTCGTCTGTATCAATGTCGAGATTCTAAGTGTCCAAGAAAACACCTTGTGACACATCCCACGTTCTCTACTCTTGCTTGTCACTCCTTTGGCCCCTAGCAGGTTCAGCCTCGTAACATCTTCGCCATGGCAGCCGGAGATCCTGGTAAGAACTCACCCACTAATTGCCTCAAGAAGACCTCACATTGACCCCCACAGTCCCTCGCAGTTTGTACATTTACGCCCCTAACCAAGGCGCCCCGATCTTCTTCACCATCGCCTTTGCCATCTCTGCGGTTTTCCACATCTGGCAATGTTTGTACGTATCTCATCGCCTACTCCCACTCATCCAACAGATACAAACCTACCTAACCATTGTCCACACAGCCGCTACAAAGCCTTCCGACTGATCGGTCTGCACCCGATATGCGCCGTCCTCTTCACCGTCGGCTATGCCCTCCGCGAATGGGGCTCCTATCATTATTTGTTTGATCCCGCCGACCGAACCCCCTTGGTCACCTTTATCGTCAGCCAGGTCTTCATCTACGTTTGCCCGTACGCCTCCCACCTCATCCCTTCACCCCCTCCCATCCCTTCAGAACAACGTCCCTCCCCAAAATCGCCCTACTAATGAAATGCCAGCCCCCTCCTCGAACTCTCAAACTACCACATCCTCGCCCGCCTCTTCTCCTACATCCCCCACTGCGCCCCAATCCCCCCCTCCAGCGTCCTCAGCACCTTTGGCGGCCTCATGGCCATCGTTGAGCTCCTCAACTCCCTCGGCGTCTCCTTCTCCGCCAACCCGTCCTCTTCCACCAAACAACAGACTCTCGGCGGCCAGCTCACCATCGCCGCTGTGTCGATCCAGTTGGGGATTATCACTGTTTTTGTTGGGCTCGCGGTGATTTTTCAACGGCGGTGTGCTGCTGCGGCGAGGGAGCGGGGGCAGCAGACAGGGGGTGGGAAGAAGGTGAGGACGATGTTGTGGACGTTGTATGGGAGTATGGGGTTGATTTTGGTGAGGTGTGTGTACCGGCTGGTGGAACATGCGGGGTATACGCATATTGAGTTTCGGGATATCGAGGCGTTGAAGAGGTTGAGTCCGTTGGTGAGGTATGAGGCGTTTTTTTATGTGTTTGAGGCTTCGTTGATGTTGGTGAACTCGGTGGTGTGGAATGTGTGGCATCCGGGGAGGTTTTTGCCGCGTGATGGTGTGACGTATTTGGAGGTGGATGGGACGGAGGCTAGGAGGGTGAAGAGGGGGGAGAATTGGGCGTCGGTGGTGTGGATGGTGGCGAATATTGCTACGTTTGGGGTGTTGGGGTTGGTTTTTCCTAGGAGGGAGAGGAATGAGGAGGCTCATGAGCTTCGAGGGGGGTCGCAGAGGAGCGAGGCTGGAATGATCTGAGGCGGGGTGGGTGGAATCTGGCCGGTGCAGGCATCCATAGATCGTCGTGATGTATGAGGTGGTGGGCTTGGAAAGTAATTAAGAGCGAGGGAAACGGGGGTAAACCGAGGAGTAGTAATACCGGCCACTAATTAATTATCACGGAGGACTGTTTAACTTAACAAAAATCGGTCACTACAGTTTGATGTGATTACTCAAGTCAGTATTCCGGACCTGGTAGGCAGTTGAAGGAGTACTGATACTTGCTTTTTTGTTGTATCTTTTTATTTTCATTTTTAGCTAGAAACAAAAACAAAAAAAACAGACTTCCTAAACCCACGCGGTTTGTTCCACCGAATGGTGTCAATGCAATGCCCGCAATTGAAGCATAGCAAGTACCATTTATTACTTCGTGTCGTTAAAATCGAAACTGTAGTCGTAGGGGGCTTAAAAAGGCTCATGGTCACTTCGTCATTCAGGGGTACTCTCTGTACCAGGTATCAAAGAGTGGAATGTCAACAAATCGGCTTTCCCATTCTTTGGTCTCTCTCCTAGCGTCGCGCCAAGTGAATAGCCTTCATGCTGTATTTAATAAAAATACCGCGATAAATTCCTGAACAACAAAAGTGCAACACGATTACGGACTTCTAGATTAGCTGTCGCGCTTGTAGTTATTTCTTTAGTCAACTCTTTTCGGCAAGACTGGAGTTTTCTTCACATTTTCAGGGGTTGCGGCTGGAAAGATGGGGCAAATCCGTTGCAACTCAGCTGCCCCATTTTAAGTCTGGGGAAAAGATCCGAGATCAGGGGATCAGAAATCAAATCGGAATTCAAGAAAAGGGGGGCGGGAGAGCGGCTTCAGCATGCTCGAAACGTTTAAAAGGATCTCCAGCGCCGTTCCGAAGCTCAGCCAATACGCTTCCTCGATGTTCGCAGCCGCGCATCGGCGTTTCCGGGACAGAAGCTGCTTCTTTGGGGTATCGGGATCGGGATCGGAGCACTGGAGGCAAAAAGGAAAAAATCTAACAGACGCGGCCGTAAAGAAACCGCCGTTTCTCGCTGAAGAATGAGGTATCCCCACGTGCGTTTTCTCTTTTCCTGTGCTTTCTTCTTGAGTTACGTCAAGAATGGAATGTCCACTGGCCTGGTTACGCGAACATTTCTTTTGAGCGCATCTGCACGGGCGTCTTTCCAAACATAGCGGCAAACCAACAACTTGCAGAAGCCCGAAGACCCCTGTGCCACTTGCCCGTCCCCAAAACAGCAACCAAAATTGGTGCCGCACGAGCCGCTTTGATCGCCGCCAAAAAAGTTGTTCTTTCTGCGCCTCGCTGTTTCTGTTTCCGTCTTCCTTTCTTGTCATCTTTTTGCAGCGGCGACGCCTTTTGGTCCATTCGCGACAATTTCCTTGCTGCTTACTTGTCTTGGATTTCGCACCACGACCAAGTCGCAGGCTTCAGGCGAATCCCTTCTTCCTGACTCGCTGTTCGCCCGGCCTCTGCGCGTGGAGGCGTTTCGATTTCCGGTTCCCATTCGCCCCCGGGCTCCGCAAGTCCTGTCAGCATTTCAACCAATCTTCGCGTTCCCGACCTCCCGACCCCACCGTCCTTACTGACGCGGGTCCTGGAACTGAGGTCTTCCGTTGCCTCCTGTTCCTCGTCGTTTAGCGGCCCCGGCGTTGCCTGTTCGTGCGGCCGAAACCGTTCCTGAGGCGTTGCAGCGCCACCGGACATTGGCACAGGGAGAGCCTTGGGGAAAGGGCCGGACAAACAAAGGGGAAAAGGGGCAGTTCAGCAGGGAAGGCTCAGCTTCGATTTTTCGCGGTTCGAGCCGGTAGCCGGCCAACGTCCCATACAAATTCGACCATGGCTCCGTTCGGCACCACCTCTGCGGCGCTGTTCGCTTCGCAAGCCTCCAACTCTGCTGACCGCAGCACACATCCCGAATCAACGACGGCTCATAGAACCGGCCCCGTGCAAGACTGGGTGTTTGCTCCCGAGGCGACCAACAGCGCTAACACGAACCTTGCTGTACCGACGCTATCACATGAACACTCCCACGAGGTATACCCGCACTCGCGACTTCGAAGCATGAGTGTTTCGCTCCCTTGGAAACAACGCCCCAAGTCAGCCCTGCTTGAACCCGAGATGGAGAACATGTTCCAAGCATTGTCGCTGGAGAAGAGCAAGAGCCACGCGTTCGGGGGGCAGGAAGAGCATCAAGATGGATACCTCGCGCCGACATCGTCGAAGCATGGCAACTTTAAGAAAATGCTGCGCCGAGCCTCGGTCTCGCTGAAGACGGGCGTTAAGGGCTTCATTCATCGGCGGACCTCCGTCCCAGCGACATCCACATTCGACCACGATGGTCGGCCCACGCGACCGCAGCTGTTTGGGGGTGGTCACAACCAACACAACAACCAAGCAGGTCGCCCGACGACCTCTCACTTCCCCTGGAACCGCCTGCGCCAACGGGCCAGCTTCCACCGACACCCACAAAGCGCTCACCCAGAATTCAACGATCATGTCTTCTTGGACGACCTCGGCACCATCGAGTCCCCGACTCTCCCGGTCCCCGGCTCTGGCGAGCAGCCCCCGATCATCCCCCGTAACACTGGGGCCGCGGCGCGGCACGCAGCAGCCATTGCCTGCAACGGTCTGCGGGGATACGACTTGATGGACACAAACGCGCCGTTTCCACACCCTGGCTGGTTGGCTGCAGGGGACGCACAGGACGACCGCGAAAGCGGCATTGGCATTGCGCCGACCTGCTGCGACATGGACGCATACGTGCCTGGGGATGAGGTCGACTCGGACGTGGATGTGGGGAGCAGTCTACACAGCGACGAGGCAACCATCGTCAAGGTGGACTTTGTTTCCAAGCTACCCGTGGAGCTGTCCATTCAGATTCTCGCGTTGCTGGATGCGCCGACCCTTAATACCGCCAGCCGCGTGTCGTCGCACTGGAACAGGGTGATCAAGAACCAACACATTTGGCGCGAGTCGTTTTTGCGTGAGCAGACGACCACGTACGCGACCAGCGGGCCGGTCAAGCCCGGTGTTGGGTTGGGTGTTCCCCAAGTACAGCCGAGCAATGACTGGAAGGAGATTTACCGCGTCAAGACGGAGTTGGATCAGCGCTGGAGGGAGGGCAAGGCGCGGCCGGTGTATCTCAATGGACACACCGACAGTATTTACTGCCTTCAGTTTGACGAGTGAGTTCTTTTGGTCTTTGTACACCTGCATCGTGATTATTAACCCCTTTGTAGGTCCAAGATCATCACCGGTTCTCGCGACCGTACCATCCGCGTCTGGGATATGCACACATTCGCTTGCAAGCTGGTCATCGGTCCCCCGGAAGTCATCCACGACGGCCCTTTCAGCATTCTCTACGACGACGCCGACGCCCCCCGCCATCACGCGACCATACCCGACCTTGACCCGACCCCGACCGCCGACGGCCAACCGCGCGCTCCGATCCGCGCCTACCACTCTGTCCCAGCCCTGTACTCCCCATCCACCTACCACAAGGCGTCCATCCTCTGCCTGCAGTACGACGACGAGATCCTCGTCACAGGCTCCTCCGACTTCACCTGCATCGTCTATTCGATCGCCAAGGGATACCAACCCGTCCGCCGCCTGCGCCACCACTCCGCCGCCGTCCTCGACCTCGTCTTCGACGACAAACACATCGTCACTTGCTCCAAGGACGTCTCCATCTGCGTCTGGGACCGCGCCACCGGCGCCCTGCTCCGCCAACTCCGCGGCCACTCCGGCCCCGTCAACGCCGTCCAGATGCGCGGCAACACCATTGTCTCCTGCAGCGGCGACTTCAAGGTCAAGCTGTGGAACATCGACACGGGCAAGAACATCCGCGAGTTCCTCGGCCACTCCAAGGGCCTTGCGTGCTCGCAATTCTCCGAGGATGGCCGGTATGTCGCGTCGGCGGGCAATGACAAGGTCATCCGCGTCTGGGACGCCAACACGGGCGAGTTTGTGCGGGAGATGCAGGCGCATGATAACCTGGTGCGGAGTTTGCATGTGGACAGCGTCAGTGGACGCCTGGTCAGTGCGAGTTATGACTCGGATATTAAAGTGTGGGATATGGAAACCGGCCAGCCGCTGCTGGATTTCCCCAAGTGGCATTCCAGTTGGGTGTTGAGTGCCAAGAGCGATTACCGGCGGATTGTGAGTTCGGGACAGGATCCGAAGATTTTGATATTGGATTTTGGAGCGGGCGTTAAGGGGGTAGAGATGTTGGAGAGTCCGCCGCCTCCTGGGGGATTTGATAACAACGGCAAGAGGCTTGAGAGTGGTGTAGAAGGGCCATATATTTAGACGGAGGGCACAACACAGCAGTGATACACAACGAGGAGCGGGGGTAATGGTAAGATTGGAGGGCGTTACGGGTCGGTGTGCCCGCCGGCGGGCATCTAGGAAGACAGACCTATGGCGTTGGATGGATGGATACACATACATTGCCAGTATTGCTTTTTGATGGTCATTGGGGAAAACAACACATATCGGCGGCGTTGGGTAGGGCGGGGAAACAAGTACCCTGGGACGGGACGGCACACCTGGACAGTGATTTTTAGGACGGGGTCATTGGCCCTGGGTGCTTCGCTTCCCATTTTGTGGTTCTATTTGTTGCCTTTCTGGTTTTCTTTCCCTTTGGAGGATTTGGCTGTCAGATTATAGCCAGATGGGCGAGATTTGTGGGATTTCTTGTTCTTCTTTCCTTTTTTTGTCGTCGTCTTTTTTAGCATTACACACACGGCATCGCCTTGGGTTTTTTTTCCATGTCGTACTTAGTCACTTAGCATCTAGACAGATTCAGCTGTGTATCCTAGACAAGAGGTATTGTTAGCCATGTATGGCTGTTCTGTAACGCTTTCTGACTCCGTTCTCACGTCCCATTTTGGTTGTTGTTCAAGGAACAGTTCATTGCTAGCTTGCCTTGCTTCGGGATGGAGCCAGGGCATGGGCTCTGCTCCATTATGTCCATAGATCGGCATTTACAAACTGTAAGGGTTTGCTTAAGCTTCGATATTCTTGATGGTTACGCAAGCAAGAAACAGTTGGTCAACAATTAAGAAGCGCACATGACCGTCAAGCCAACATTAGTGTCATTTTCGTCAACGTTATCATCGCATCTCCGCCAGGGGCTGTAGCTACATATCAAGTGGAATCTCATTAACAAGCGGCCTTCAAAGTCGCTGCGGAAGCCGCCAAATAGATCGCAAATTGTGCCAACATAGTATTTTACAAAAAACAAAAGCCAGGAAAATAAGTTTGTAAAAACCACGTTAAATCCCAGGGGTTTTGCCGGAAGAACAGAAGCAGTGAAGATGGATCTTCCAACACTTGATGTGAATGAAGAGTGATTCGGTTGTTATTCGGGGACTTTTCTGATCAGCACACGGGAGGTTGGAAGGCTTAATATATCCGAAGCGCCGTCCCTGGCAAGAAGGTTGCGTTGCAGCTGCACTCTAAAGTGGGATCCGCTGGGAGCAGAATGTGACGGCGAATCGCGATTCAACCGCCCATATGACCGGGGGTTGAGCAAGTTATGGAGGGGTCTTGAGTGTGCTAAAAATGAAGTCCTGAAGCCCCGCGCTTTGAGTTTGCATCATGGCCTCACTCTCGATTACCCTTCATCTCCGGGCCGTTGTGATGATGACGATAAACGGAGTGATGGCCAGACAGCGGCCTGCATCGGATCGCTCACATGGGTTTACCAAACGGCGATGTGGATCGCATCAACCGGGATTCGAGGTCGCGCAGGTCCCCCGCTCGGCGTGGGAAGTTCTATTGATGGGGCGTGACTGGCCTGCAAGGCACGGCATCTCAAACACGCGCAGGCGGTCGAAAACTTCCAAGACTGGCCAACGATTCAACACCGGGAGATGCGAGGGGCAACAGCGGGGAGCTAGTGACAAGGCTCGACTGGCTGAGAGAGAAGCTCAGATGGAAAGAAGTTTTGGCAGGCGACGTGGGGTCGGACCCACTTTGCGTTTCGAAACGTCGTTGTCCCTTTTTGCCCGGTGGGTCCGAGCTTCTCCCCCACCAATGCGCACTTCTTTTTCCCTTGTTCTGTTGCCTCTTTGGTGCGCCAAGATTTCGGTTTTGGCGATTCTCAACCAACCCTTTCTTTCCCCAGGAACTCGGAAAAACTTGGAAACTTCACTATCGACGGAGGTCCCATGGAGCGCTCCGCGCCTGTCGAGGAGATCTTTCGTCGATCGCCCGAAACGCTCAACCACTCACCGCGAGATTGATACTGAGCGATTTGAACCACGCCTTGCAAGCATCGTTAACGAGCCGAAGTCCAGCGCCCTCGGTCGCAACCGCGCTTCGCAAGCGACCGATCGATGGGCGGTGCGCGCCGCTTGGTTCCTGGCTCTGGCGGTTGCATAAACTTGACCCCTGAATAGACCCCCCTCCACTCGACTTGCCCCTGGATCAAGCGGCCAGATCCGCGTGGCCTTTTCTTTGGTTTCCTTCGTCCGATGTCTGCAGAGTGTTTCCTTGCACATCCCATCCCGTCTAGTGGCCCAGTCGGTCGGTTGACGAACCGTTTTGGGCGCTGGTTGTTTGACAGTAGGCTTCTGGTCACCAGTTGCGAAGGGACAAGCTGGCTGTCGCTTTTTTCTTTTCTCCTCTTGGCTCTAGCTTCAGGTTGGGCTCGGGTCGGAAAGCTAGACGTCAATGTTCTGCCACGACTGTAACTGGGAATTGGGTTGATAGTGAGGTGCAGTCAGGTTCCAATCATTTTCACCCCGTGTTGAGACATCTCCTTGTTTGTTGCCAACGAAGCTCGATGGTGCAGTGGTTGGACCCCCTCGCACCTTGTTCCTGCATTTCATGTGGGGGCAAGTCATGGCTCAGAAACGGGCCAGGACAAGGGCAGATCGATCTCTTTCTCCGTGTCTCTCCAGCGGGAGATGCTATCTCGGTGACTCTTTGTTTCTGAACGGCAGGGTCATGGGGGTGGCCGATCTCCCACAGCAGGCGGCTACGGTTTGCCGCCACCAGCCCAATGGCTATCCATCCTCCGTCGTCCATTGTTCATGCAGGGTTCGCCTCCCGAAGGCCCGGCCGTCACCACCCTGGCCTCCGTGCGGGCGGCTGGCTTGTCAATGTCACCGTGCAGCACGTATAAGATCATCTCGCCGTCGCTTCCTGCAGCTTGATGATGTCCCCTCCACGTTGGCTACGTTCCTTGTTTCGTTTCTACCCAGCTTTTTGCTGCTTTCCTCTTCTTCCTCCTCCACATTCTCTTCCTTGTTTGTTTATCGCCTTTGCTGGCCAGGGCGCACTTCTGGCTGGTTCAGAGGAGCTGTAGAGCTGTAAGTACCAAAACTTTTTTTTGCTTTCGCTTTATTTCAGAGTTGCAGGTTGGCACCTCAACTTTGGTGCTTGGTGTTGATGGTTACCCGATTGGGAAATGCCACGGGTTCATGATAACTTCAAGTGAGGGAACAGCTGGCACAGAAGTGGAAATAGGTGCAGTCATTCTTTGTCCTCCTACCCGGGGCACAGTTCCATTGTTACCACCCTTGACTCCCCCGTTTGAGCTTGGCCTGGTTGAACAATGGGGTTATTGCCAACTCCATTCATCCTATTATTGAACAACACACTCCGTGACTTGCACCCCACGTCCGCTGCTCAAGTTGGCGCCCTATTTAACGGGCGGCGACGAATTTTCCGTGCTTTCCCACAAACACAAAACAACCAAAACAAAACCAACTTCCGACTCTCTTTACAACTCACTTCTGGAAACAGCTGGACTGACCTTCATTTCACGGCAGAACTTCTACCACATCAAACTCGCACAAAACAAACACACAAACTTGAAGATAACTAGGCTTCCACCATGATATTCTCCAGAATATCCACCGCGGTGGTTCTGGCGCTGGGACTCGCCGCGCCGGTTCTTGCCGCACCCTCCCCGCGACAGGCCGAGTCTGGTTGGTGGTTCTCGAGCATCGAGCGCAAGGGTGCCGCTGCCTTCAACGAGGACGCAAGCTACAAGGTCTTCCGCAACGTCCACGACTACGGCGCTATTGGTGACGGCACCACCGACGATACCGACGCCATCAACAAGGCGATCAGCGATGGCAAGCGCTGCGGCGAGGGCTGCAGCTCGCAGACGACTACCCCGGCTATCGTGTACTTTCCTCCCGGCAAATACCTTGTGAGCAAGCCGATTGTGTCATACTACTACACCCAGCTTGTCGGTGACGCCGCCTCGCTTCCGACTCTGCTGGCTTCGGCCAACTTCGAGGGCATGGCTGTCATCGACACCGACCCGTACGACTCGGAGGGCAACAACTGGTGGACGAACCAGAACAACTTCTTCCGCCAGATCCGCAACTTTGTCATCAGTCTCGAGGACATGCCCATCAGCGCCGGCGCTGGCATCCACTGGCAGGTGGCGCAGGCGACTTCGCTGCAGAACATTGTCTTCAACATGCGCAAAGGTGGTGGTGAGGAGAACAAGCAGCAGGGAATCTTCATGGACAACGGCTCCGGCGGCTTCATGACCGACTTGGTTTTCAACGGCGGCGGATACGGCGCCTTCTTTGGCAACCAGCAGTTCACGACCCGCAACCTTACGTTCAACGACTGCCAGACGGCCATCTTCATGAACTGGAACTGGGCCTGGGCCTTCCACGATATCAAGATCAACAACTGCGCGGTCGGCATCGACATGGCCAACGGCGGGTCGACCGGTCAGACGGTCGGTTCCGTTCTCGTCCTCGACAGCACCATCTCGGCCACTGAAGCCGCCATCAAGACGGCCTACGATCCAGCCTCTAAGCAGACCAACGGCACCCTGGTGCTCGACAACGTCGACCTCACCAACTCGCCCAAGGGTGTGGTCAACGACGGCGGTGACGTGATCGTCGAAGGCAAGCAAACCGTCGGTTTCTTCGCCCAAGGGCGCGCCTACGGTGGCTCAGCGGGCACCAGCGGCAAGGCCGTCCAGGCCCCTCAGGACGCCATCAAGAAACCCGATGTCCTCCTCAACAAGGACGGCAAGGTCTTCACACGCAGCAAGCCCCAATACGAAGACGTCCCCGCCAGCAGCTTCGTCAGCGTCAAAGCCAACGGCGCCAAAGGCGACGGCAAAACTGACGACACCGACGCCATCCAAGCCATCTTCGACCATGCCACGGCCGACCAAATCGTCTACTTCGACCACGGCGCCTACCTCGTCACCAAAACCGTCAAAGTCCCCAAAGCCATCCGCATCGTCGGCGAGATCTGGCCTCTCATCCTCGCCGGCGGCTCCACCACCTTCCAAGACGTCACCAAACCCCAACCCGTCTTCCAAGTCGGCCAGCCCGGTGACAAGGGTGAAGTCGAAATGTCCGACCTCATCTTCGGTACCGCCGGCCCGCAGCCAGGCGCCATCATGATGGAGTGGAACCTTGCCGGTTCCTCTAACGGCGCCGCTGGTCTCTGGGACGTCCACACCCGCATTGGTGGCTACGCCGGCACGCAGTTGGAGCTGGAACAATGCGCCAAGAACCCCAACGTCACTAACCCTATCAACAAGAACTGTTTCGGCGCGTTCATGATGCTGCACGTGCCCCAGGGAGGCTCGGTATACCTCGAAAACACCTGGTTCTGGGTAGCCGACCACTCCCTCGAGCCGGGTGCCCACGACGGGCAAATCGACGTGTTCAACGGTCGCGGGGTGTTGATCGAAGGCGAAGGCCCCGTATGGGGGTTCGGCACGGCCTCAGAACACTCCGTACTGTACAACTACCAGTTCCACCTAGCCTCCAACGTCTACCTCGCCCTCATCCAAACCGAAACCCCCTATTTCCAGGGTAACCCCGACGCAACAGAACCGTTCGCATACGACCCCAACTACGCCGACCCGGACTTTTCCAAGTCCTGCGCGGACGACACCACGGGCACGTGTAAACGCGCCTGGGGCGTGCGCGCGATAGACTCAAAGGATATCTTCATTTACGGCGCAGGGCTGTACTCGTTCTTTGATAACTACGGGCAGGACTGTCTGAAGACAGAGAGCTGCCAGGCGAATATGGTGTCGTTGGAGGGGAGCGGGGCTAAGTTGGGCGGGGGGAGCAGTCAGGTGCACTTTTATGGATTGAGTACGAAGGCGAGTGTGAACATGTTGACGGTGGATGGTACGGGGAAGGCGCTGGATAGGGATAATAGGAATAACTTTTGTGCTACGCTTGCGTTTTTCCAGCCGGCTTAGAGAGTTGGCGGGGGCGCGGGCGTGGGCGGAGGTGGTGGTTATGGGGGTGGTTGTGGAGGGGGATTTTGAGGGAGAATTCTGAGGGGGAGGGCTTTTCTGAGAGAGAGGGGGGCACAGGTGGTTAGGATAAAGGACGATACCCACGGGAGAACGTAGCATGCCATGTTTTGTCTTCTTCTTCCCGAGTCTTTCTGGCGTGGGGTCTTGTGAGAACTGGGTTCTTCGATGTACATTCTTCTGAACTGGCCGAGAGGCATTTGCATTTTACTTTGAGTTCTTTGTTGTAGCCTGTACAATGGGCAATGATGTAGGGAAATGACTGAAATGTGTTGATGTCTGTAGTGTAAATACGGCAACGTTGTGTGTGGTGTTGTGTAAACTTACCTGGGGCGTAACGTTGAAAGATACCTCGGCCCGCTGCAGCGTGATCCCTGCTCATGCCAAGCCTCCGCAATCTCGCAACGTCATAGCTTTCTCCCTTCACTGCCACTTTTCTCTGGCATTCGTATCTTTTCCATTCATTGCCGCTCAACGAAAACAGATTGCTTGCTTTCATCGCGCTTGTCCCGTGCCGCGCTCCTTTGTATTTCCTTTCCATCTCGACCTCCCATCCAATCCGTCCGATCGGCGCAACCTTCGTTTTCCCCGATTCCACGCGTCGCACGGTCATCGATCGCATCGTCGCATTATTTCGAAAGAACTTCAAACCTGTAGCCGCCGACGCTCAACACCCCAAACGATTGATCGCGTCCCCTCTCGAAACCCACAATGTCCGACGCCGACCGCCCAGCCCGGCGCTACAAATCCCCGTCCCAACTCGCCCGCGAATCCTCCTCCCCATCTCCCTACCAACAACCCCCATCCTCAACCTCCTCCCCCGGCGCAACAACAAGAACCACCCCCCCAACCACCTTAACCCAAACCCCCCAACGAAACACCCCCTACCTCCCAACCCCCACCGAGCTCTCCCTCCTCCTAATCTACCCCTCCATCCTCCTCTTCGGCACCCTCTTCTCGCTCCTCTCCCCCGAAACCCGCGCGTCCCCCTACGACCCCATCCGGCAAGCCCACACCCAAGATGCCGCGCTCGTACCCTCCTATTTCGCTCGCAAAGATAATTTGTTGAATGTGGTGTTTGTGAAGAGGGGGTGGGCGTGGGTGTCGGTGGTGGTTTTTGTTTTTTGGGGGACGCATCCGCGGTTGGGGTCGAACACGAACACGAGCGGGAGGGAAGGCAGGGGGAAGGGGTTGGTGAGGGGGTTGATGAGGTATGGGTTGGTGACGGCGTGGTGGGTATTTGTGACGCAGTGGTTTTTTGGGCCGGCGATTATTGATCGGGGGTTTCGGTGGAGTGGGGGGAGGTGTGAGGTTGTGGAGGAGGCTGTGAGGGTTTCTGGGGATGCTGTGAGTGCGAAGGAGGTGTTTACGGCCGCGGCGTGTAAGGCGTCAGGGGGGAATTGGAGTGGCGGGCATGATATTAGTGGGCATGTGTTTTTGTTGGTGTTGGGGAGTTTCTTTTTGGTGCAGGAGGTTGGGTGGGTTGTCGGGAAGTGGGCGCGGGCGGTCAGGGAGGAGAGGTGTGTTGTGATGGGGGATGGGGCGGTTAAGGGGGCTGCTGTTACTGCGGAGCGGAAGGGGAAGCAGGAGGAGGAGGGGGTTGTGGTGTCGGTGGTTGAGGCGTTGGGGCTGGGGGGGAAGTTGGCGGCCGTGGTGGTGGCTTTGTGTGGGTGGATGCTGCTCATGACAGCCATCTACTTTCACACTTGGTTCGAGAAGGTGAGTCGATCCCCGCTGGGGGTCCTTGTTCGGAGGTATTATGCGCTGGACCAGCTAACCAGACGACTAGTTTACGGGCCTGTTGACTGCATTTATCGGTCTTTACGCGATCTACATTGTCCCACGATGGGTTCCTGCTCTGCGCGGGATTGTTGGGCTCCCGGGGATATAAGTGTGAAACTCAGCATATAGAGAATAGACCGACAATTTCGAAATCAGCTGCAACTCGATTCGCGATCTCCATCGCCTTGTTGACCTAACAATGGAGGCTCACTGTGACCAAACAAAGTGGCAGACCAAATCCTTGGATACCCACTTTTCTACAAAAGTGAAGAGAGACGGGAGGGAGTAAACAAAAGAATGAAGACGAAAAGCAATAAACAAAAAATGAAGACGGGAACGAATGAACGGAAAAATGGAGACAACAAGGAACAAATCGAAGTCATCAGTGGTTTCAAGCAAGATTTATATAACAATACTGATCTAGATACTAGGCTTCTCAGCCACTATCCCAGTTATAATCGTCGAAATCCGTCAAGACTTGATCGAACATTGAGGCATTGGACTCTAGTTTCCGGATAGTCTGCCGCTTTTTGGGCCACTACCGGGCATCTGTGTTTTTCGCTCACCAATCACCTCCGGCTCGCGCGAGCAGGTGGAGCAGGGGTGAGCTCGGGTAAGCAGGGGTAAGAACGAAGGTGAGCGGCGTGATCCAGGCACCCATACATAATGGAGGGTGTGACGGAAGGGGCAAGTGCAGTGTACTCCGTACGAAGTCCGCAAACTTACACCTAACTTAGTCAGGGGTACGAACACTCTACCAGCTGAATGAGCTGGGCCTACTAATTGGTGTACGGAGCGGAGGTGCGCCAGTCGGGTGTTATCACCTGCCAAGAGCTGGAGCCAGAAAGTCAGCGACGGAAAGGCGGTGAAATACTTCTTACTGGACAACCCTAGCCCGCGGGCGGCCTACGGGCTGACTTCTCCTTATCACTCTCTCTCACCTGGACTTGGCAATACATCCATTATAGCTATAAACTACCATAACAACCCTGGTGTGAGGAACTGGCCCTATGGCGGAATGCAGATAGGCGTTCTATTGTGTTATTGAGAAAGCTTGCAGAAAGAGAACTATCCAAGGGGGTGCCTTGCCCGGGGCTCCTTATATCCTGGTGGTCCCCCTCTCTTGGTGTGCACATCCGGGGCCAAGGCCCTTACGAGAGCACGGCCCTAGGCCTGAGCCCCTAACAGCGACACCCATTTCGCCTTCCACTGTAGCACCTGCGTTTTGCAACGCACATGAATTAGCGATCTCAAGTTGGCAACATGCGCCAACAAACCAAGACAAGAAATCAATAGCAAGAGAGGTTCCAGCGCCGGCTCCGCACTTATATAAAGGTTGCCAAGAAGCTCCACATCGACTTTGGGATTCGAGTGTACACTGTTGTTCGTAAAGGGGACAAGTACTGGGAATATCGGTCAGCGGATGACCCGGCCGGGCCTCCTTCGTACGATGAGCTTGTAAGTCGAGACTTCAAATGCCCTCTAGATTATTGTTAATAGGGTTTTGAGCAGGCCACCTTTTACCCGGTTCTAACGAGGCTTACTCCCGCTGATTTTAAACCGGAGAAGCCGCCTTCTACATTGTCTATGGGGTCAGAGCCAGATAGCGAGATAGGGAAAATAGAGTAAAAGACCATAGTAAACAGACGACAGGTGATAGCTCAAAACTTGCTGTTGCTCTATTGTTGTACATATTTTAATATTGATCTCAGATGACTTTCTTGCTGGGCCTAGGCTTTCAAGCTCCCACTCTCCCGATGTCTTCCCCAAGCCCCACATCTGGTAGTTGGATTCCGACCACCAGATATGGGGCCTCTTAAAATGCCAAAACCAGCTGAGAGATCTGGAATTAGGACTTGACGTTTCGTTTACCGAGTTAAGAAGGCCGCTCTTAGTACAGGATATCCTAGAATTTACGTATGACTCTATCTACTCTCATTTCACTGTCATCCTATTCCCCGCCTGCATCTTAGAATTAACAGAACGAAGATAACTGTCTCAAACTATCCGCTATCAAATCAGGGTATACTATACTAAAAGGCGAATCGGGTGTCGTTAAATTTTTAGTTAACATTTTGGAGGAGTGCGGGGTCAGCCAATGGCGTGCGTGGCTTGGCAGGGTGCGACGGTACTCGGCAAGCAAGACCTAACAATTTCTCGGCGTAGAGACCCTCAGCCATTTTTGGAGCCGACACCGTCTGCTTTTTTGACCCGCCCATAGACAAATCAGAGGCGACAGCATGGCTCTACATTTGCTGGCCATTTTCCGACCACCAAATGTGGGTCTATAATTAATGATGTCGTCGCCATCGCGGTTGCTCCCCTTTCTGAGAGCTGTCGGCTTGTCATAACGACATAACCCTCTCGCAGGGTGGTGAAGTCTGACAGTCTTTACAGCGAGAATCAGTTTCGTTGGTAAATATTTGTTGATATCCGCTTGCTGTCAGGTACTTTACGTGAATACGAGGTTGGGAACGGAGTGGCTCTGGTGGGGTTGTCGAAGCAGAAAAGAAGTCCTACAAAGCCTGGGCTATGTACGTCATACACGATCTGTTACTGTCTGTCCAGCACTCTGGCATTACGTTGCGTCATCGTTGTGAAAGAACGACGCTGCCGAGCGTTAGAGGAGGAGCAAAAAGAACATTCACAAAGGAGTTAATTCATAGTATAAATTTGCCTTAGCCCCTATGACCCAGTAAGAGCAGAGAGATGAAAGAAACAAATGATGAATGAATGACTTCCACAGACATTATACTCTAGTTCTATCGCGATCTGCTGCTTCCAATATTCGTACAAGCGTATACTGCAAGGCGAGCCGGTCGGGGTGGTCTTCGGCGAGGTCTTGCTTAAGAATAGCGACGACCCGCTCGAACAGTACGACGGCCTCTTTGACCTGGCCGTTGGCCTGGTAGGCTCCTGCGAGTGCGTGCTGCGAGGCAAGCCGGGAGGGGTGGTCTTCGGCGAGGGTTTTAGCCTCAATAGCAACGACCTGCTCGAGCAGTACGACAGCATCTTTGACCTGGCCGTTGGCCTGGTAGGCTCCTGCGAGCTCGTGCTGCGAGGCGAGCCGGGAGGGGTGGTCTTCGGCGAGGACTTGCTTATGAATAGCAACGACCTGCTCAAGCAGTACAACAGCCTCTTTAACTTGGCCGTTGGCCTTATAGGCTCCTGCGAGCGCGTGCTGCGAGGCAAGCCGGTCGGGGTGGTCTTCAGCGACGGTTTTAGCCTCAATAGCGACGACCTGCTCGAGCAGTACGACAGCCTCTTTGACCTGGCCGTTGGCCTGGTAGG